CGTTTTACCTTTATTTTGTTTACCAATTGCTGCAGTGATTGAATTTAAGTAACATTCAGAATATGGAATTTTCATTAATTTTTCCTTAGATAGAGCATTTCTATTATCACTCAATGCTTCATTAATCATATCATCTACGTATGTATTATATACTCCCGCTAATTCTTCATAAGGGGTGAATGAATTTAAATCCATTTAATCAAAAATAAATTTATAATTTTATACATTTCTATTCATCAATATTTCATCATATGAACTTCTATACTGCGGTGGTGTACCTGTTGGATGATATTTCAAACCTTCATCCGGTGTCCATGTCCAATATGTAGTCCTAGTAAACCAAACCTGAGGAGGATTTGTCACTTTTGAACAGTAAGTGTCATTTTCACCCTGAATGATTGGATAAGCTTTCACTTGTACTGTAACTTGTGAGTTGAAAGTTTCTAATCCATCAAAGAATATACCCGCTCCATCACGTTGAACTGGAATAGTGCATAAGAATGAAGTTTGGTCTTTCCATGTTCTAGCTAATGGCGTGCCATTATCATCATTCAGTGGTCTAGTTAATGAGTCCTCGTATTCTTCTGTGCATTCATTCACCCCATCTAAATCAGAAGCTTGAAGCATACGTGTAAAGAATATGTCACCCACTGTGGTCATCGCTTGATCGGGGAAGTTTCTGGAATCTATAGTGACCTGAAGACCTCGAAGCATTGGATTTTCTAAAACTGTTCTTTGCATTGCATTCTTCGGAAATGTTAACACAACATCTGTAACATTATGAAGAGCGTATGAGAAATCTGAGCTGATACCTTCAGGAGTGATGCAACCTCCATTTAGTGAACGAACGTCAATATGTTGAGCTGGAATCATGAATGGATCTTCCTTACTAAATAAACGTGGTATTGCTTTAACTGATTCTTCAATTAAACCGTATCCTGGTGTAATGCATTTATCCTCTAAAACTTCCATCTTTGTGCATGAAATAATAACGTCATCAACTGTTGCGTCAGCAGATGTAGCGGCTAAGCTTGTAATTAATTTGGTAGGAAGTCCGATTTGTTGGAATTTGCGATCATATTTATAAACATGATTCATAATCTTTTCATAATTTTCATCAGTTATCTTTTCATAAACGTAATTTTGTAAATCAGCAACTCTTAACGGGTCAACCTGACAAAATACTAAAGTATCCCTGAAAACATAATATTTAAGAATGATTTCACCAAATGATTTAGGATAATCATCGAACGCCTGAAATGCTAACAAATCATTTACCGGAATAATCATATCAAAAGTGATATCAACTTCTTCATTTGCTTTCTTGAAAACTTCTGAAGGGTCAATATATTTACCACATACTGAGTTATCATATTTTTGAACATTATTATATAACGAATGAACAAACTTTTTAACTTTCCTTTCTGATTTTGGTTTATATGTTGCAAATGCGAAAGATTCACGGGCACAATCCATCTGAAGATAACCGGCATCACCTCTTTCGGTTTCTACTTCTAATTGTTTAAAGCTTTGATTTGATGATTTGTAACCAACGAATAAACGCATGCATTTAAAAGCGGCATCGCATGTGAAAGCTTTATTTGAAACTAGAGTTGCTTTAACTTTGCGTTTAATATATGTGTCACCTAATTGGTTCACATCATGAGCCGGATTTGTAATTCTTAAATGAGTTTGTTTATCATCAAAATATGGAGCATCAGAGTCATAGCATGAACTTTCAAGTTCTCTATAATATCTTCTTCCGTCATTCTTTGCGAATATTTCATTTATCTTTTCGAATGAATGAAACACATTTCCATTAATCGGTTTAGTGTTTGGCATCAAATAGTTAGTCGTCATTTATTATTAAATAAAAAAATCAAAATTGAAAGATAAAAATGAATTTTTAATTTTAATGAAATAATCAACTATGGCTGCAGGATTCTTTAAGAAACTGTGGGATAGAGTAAAAAGAGGAGCGCATAAAGTTTGGGAAACAATGAAGAAAGGAGCAAATTGGATATTTAAGAATAAAGAAGCAATTAGTGACATTGCTGAATCAATAACGCCAAAAGCTGCCCCAATAAGAGAAATTTTAAATAAAGGAGAAAAAGTTTATCAAAGACTACAACCGATACTAAGATAAAAATAATATTTATTTTTCCACTATCTACCCCCTATTTTATTAAGTATTCCTTCAGCAATTCCACCAATTGCGTTACCTGCTTGTGCTCCCATCGCCGGATTACCTGCTTTTGTACCTAATACTCCACCTATGATAGTTCCTGCCGTTTTCGCTACTGGTGCCAAAAAGTTTGCAACAGGTTTAATAACCTTTTTATAAACCCAACCTGCAGCTTTCTTAATTCCATCCCATAATTTTTTAAAGAATCCTGCCGCCATTTCTGATTTAATATTAATTAAAAAATATATTTCATCACTTATATTCTAATTTTTATTTAATGATAAATGAAACCAATTTTAAAAATAAATGAAACAAAGGAGGAAGAAATAAATGAAAGTGAAAATGTTCAACAAAAAATAAACGTTGTTAAACCAATTACTGAAATAAAAATTTTTTCATCTGTTGAAGAATTTAATGACTATTATGCTAATAATAAAAAATTATTTGAAGAATTGACAACGTGTAAATTGAATAAAATGTTTAAAGTTGATGGATTCAAAATTTCAAAAATAAAAGGAGTGGTTAGTTTGAAATCTATTCCTCAATCAAGAATCACCTCATTAATGAAAATAGATGATTTAACAAAAAGAATAGAAGAGATTGAAGAAAGAATGAATCAAATAATTGGTTTCATAAATTCAAATAATCATTAGTTTCAATTTATTTTCAAAGTTTATTTTTCATTCATGAAAATAATTATTTCTAATTTCTTTTACTCTCTCGTACATACTAGATTTAAAGAATTCAGAACTTTTACCATAATCTCCTAAATGTTTTCTTATCCCTAACGTGTGCCAGTTATTATATGAAACTGAATAAACTTTATCTTTATCTTTACACCTTTCATCACTTCCAATATATTTATATTTCAATTTTGATTTAGCATTTTCATATTCATTAACGTTTAATAATTCACAGTCTTCCTTTTTAAATAAATGTTTTATGTATTCAGGATTTAATACTCTACGTTTATATGCTCCTAACTTAGTTCTAAAGGTTTTTCTACAAAATTTAGGAATTCCATCCTCTTTAATGTCATCAATGATTTCCATTTCATTATTTTCAATTTCTTCTTCTCGTTTATGAGGTCTTTGATTATGACTCCATTGATTCCATGAAATTAAATATTCTTTATCATTATATTTATACCTCATTAGCTTATTTTGGCTTTCATATTCATTTAATAATTCACAATCTTCATTTTTAAATTGAAGTTTAACCCATTCAGGATTTAAACAATGTTTAATTAATCGCGGAATATCTGACATCATCTATATATAGCTTCTTTTATAAAAGATAAAAAAATAAATTATTTTAAAATTAATGTTAATTTTTTTAATGTGTTTATAAATTATATTTTAATGCATCGTCTATATATAGATGTAACAAAAAAAGTCACTAAACCCTTTCACATATACTACTACAAATGCCTTTAAAAAAAGGGACCAAAAAAATTTAACTTTATATGTTTAAATTTTAGAATAAAACTAGTTTTATATCATGTACTTCATTTTAGAATGAATGAAGTATTCATGTTTATTGATATATCAATGCGTAATTGTACAATTTTTTTTCGAATTTTATGCAATTATCAGTTTTGTATCTCATACCGAAATGGCTCACCAAAAAGGTGACATTTTTGGCGCCAATAATTTGATTTTTCTGATTCTTTCTATTTAGATATATTTATTTAATATTCATATTCCTTTATATTGCCTCATATTATTTCCCATTTTTAATCATATTATACAAATCTTTAATAATTTTTAATGTTTTGAGCTTCAAAATCTTGTTCTAACTATTTTCATTCATATATCCTAGAAAAAATTAAAAAGTTTTTTAGAAATAAAAATGTTTGTATGTAAAGTATTGAAAATATTCTAGATGAGAAGACATTCTCCAGAAGAGATTGATATTGATTGGCTTTGTGAAGCCATCACAAAATCAAATAATGGAGTTAAGTTAACTGATATTTGCGCGAAAGCTAAAATAAATCATGAAGGCAGAGTTATATATAATCATACTATCTTAAAGTATTCCTAGAAATTCCCAAAATTAACCGAAATATAACTGTACAGAATTACTATTTTCGAGATAAAATTCATATGGAAATACTAATTCATAACGCTTTATGTTATATAAAATTTAATTTATAAAAATTTCAAAATAAATCAAATTTAACACAATGAATATAACTGCAATCGAGGTTTTTGACGATTGATTCTTACGAGAAGTTTTCCAAACTTTGAGTTAATGTCAAGACATTAACTCAAAGTTTGGAAGTCTAATAAGGGGAATTGTAGGCTATGAGGTACTGATTATATATCAGTGCCTCATAGCCTGCAATTCCCATTAGAAATCGGAGAAACTTTGTCCGCATAACTTATGATGCGGACAAAGTTTCTCCTATTTCTACTTAGAATGAAAGGGCAAGAGGTATATAGGTACACTATATATCTCTTGCCCTTTCCTTCTTACCTAAAGACTTCCAATCTTATTTTTTTTCCAATTTTTCCCCTAAATTTAAATCTTATATAATATAAATAAAATGCATAATATCAATCACAAAAATTAATGTTTATTTTTTAATTAAAATTGCCGCGCAATTTAAGGTTTTCTGTCACTTTTTGTTAGCCATTTCGGTACGAAACAGATTTGCATTAATAACAATTTCCACAATTATGGACTACATATTGAAATTCTTGAAAAATTTGTGTTCTTATGTAATGTGAAGCAAATGACTGCAGAGCAATATCAATTTTAACAATGTAAAATTTTGAATTAAAATTTTTGCCACTTCAAAAATTCTTTGTTCATGAGTCTTTGCGAGAATTGCCATAAGAATAAAGCCAACTTAAAGAGATTTGAGACAGGAATGAAAGTATGCAAGGAATGCTTCGCATATCTCTTTGAAGAAGAGGTTTATGAAACATGCACAAAGTATAATTTAATCCAACCAGGAGATGTAGTAGGAATTGGTGTTTCAGGTGGCAAGGATTCAACATGTTTGCTCCATGTTCTTCATACAATCAATCAGAGGCATAATATGGGCTTTCAGATTCATATGATATGTATAGATGAAGGTATTGTTGGCTACCGTGACAATGCACTTGAAGCAGTTAAGTTCAACAAAGAGAAATACGGACTCCCATGTACAATTATTCCATTCAACGAGCTTTTCGGATGGAATCTTGATGATATCTACAAGGCAACACATACAAAGGAAACTTGCACATATTGCGGTATCTTCAGACGTCGTTCTCTCGACATTGCTGCAGCTAGAGTTGGCGCAAATAAGGTCGCTGTTGGTCATAATGCAAATGATGTTGCAGAAACAGTCCTTCTTAATGTCCTTCGTGGAGATATCAACAGATTTGGACGTTCTGTTGATATTAAGACCGATGGAATCAGCTCAAATGTCGAAGAAGGCACAGTTGCTCCAAGAATCAAACCATTCGCATTCCAGACTCAGCGTGATATTGTACTTTACGTTCACTTCCAGAACTTACGCTACTACGCTGTTGAATGCCCTTACGCAGTCACAGCTTTTCGCAGATTTTCTCGCGAATATCTTGTTGAAAAGGAAAAGACAGATCCAGGTGTTATGCGTCGTATTATCGAAGGCTCCATCAAATACCAGAACCAATTCGAGAAAGAAGCACCAAATATCGGATTTTGTGAGAAATGTGGAGCTCCAAGTAACCACAAGATTTGCATGGCATGCAACTTAATCCAGAGACTTGCTGATGCCCATCCTAAAGTCCAAGTTGTTGAAGATTCTGAAAAACAAAATACAAAATAGAGAATAAACTTATGATTATAAAAATTTGTAACATCAAGAATTAAAATGTACAAATTATTTTGAAGTTTTCGAATTTCATTATTTTGAATTTTGTCACTTTTTTCATTATTATGTTATCATTGTTTTTCAACTTTTTACGAGCAGAACAAGAATTTGGCGGCTCAAGATCGTCATTTTTTGTTGCATATTATACAATGATTAAATTACAGCATGATTCGACAAAGCATTACCTTTCTTCATCTCCACTCCGATATATCAACGGTAGCCATCAAAATATTGCATTTGGAACAAAGAAAGGAATACTCGCTGAAACATTTTGGACAGTTTACCCTCTCGAAAACCAAACAGATATACAACAAGGAGAACCAATTCAATGCGGAACTACTCTTCGTCTAAATAATGCAGCATTGCAGATGTTTTTACATTCACACGCAATTGAGGGTCCATTCAACCATGGACAAGAAGTTACTGTTTTCGATCAAAAAGATATGGGCGATTTATGGACAGTTGAATGCGATGATATGTGGACAGCTGCAACACCATTCTACTTAAAGCATTGGGAAACAAATCAGTATCTTTCTGCTACTAATAATTTTTATCCCGCTGAAATGTTAGAAGGATATGAAATTTTTGCCGATAATACAACGACAAATAACGCGTGGCATGTTCAGGGAGGAATATTTATTGGTGATGATGAAAAATAAATGTTTTTTACTATTTGAAATTTATTTCTTTTTTATATTGAGCCAAAACTACCATAATATTGATTTTTGAATACATTATACCTATTTGATTCTGCTTACATTATATTTGAATACATATTAACCTGTGATTTCTATTTTTGAACTTATTTTCTTATAAAGTTTTCTTCAAATAGGAGTGCATGCAGTTTTGTTAGACCATCAAATAGAAATCTACGTTTTTGATATGCTAAAAAAACAAATTTTATTAAATATCAAAACAAATAATATATATAAACAAGAAACATACAAATTTCTATTAAGTCAAAACAACTTGTAAACATAAAAAAACTTCTATCCGCTAGAAAAGAAACAAAATTTCTCAAAAAACATGATTTTGTTATTGATCTTGTGCTTGATCAAATTCTCCTTCAGCCTCAAACTCAGGTTGCGTCTGTTGCAATTGAGATGTCTCAAATCTTCTTTGTAATAAGGCAGATCTTGCTTTCGATCTTTTTTCTTGAGCTCCAACAACCCAAATATCAAAAGCAGGCTTATCTTTCCACATCGGAACTTCTCTAGGCACTGCTTTTGGTGCTTTTGCACCCATTTGCAAAAACATTTCTATATGTTGTTTTCTAATTCTTCTATGTGTAGTATCCTTCTTTGTAGTTTGTTTCGTAGTCTTAATACTTGATTCACCAGCAGCTAATTTCTTTTCTTCTAATTTCTTGGCAGCTAGCTGAGAAAACCAAGGAGGAAGCTCATCATCGTCCCACTCATCGGGAGTTAAAGGTTCCAGTGGTTCATCTAAATTTCTAGTTTCCCATCTTTTTATTGCTCTTATTACAGAAGAAAGTTCTTGCACATCTTCTTGTACAAGTTTAACTTCATTGTAATTCCAACACATTCCTAACTTCCTCATTGCTTGATTAACTATTTTCCAATTTGTTACTCGAGAAAATTTGTCAACTCCGTCTGTAATTTGATGAATATCTATGATTCCTGGTCTCATTCTAAATAATATGAAACAAACTATATCACCATGAGAAACTCTGGACCAATCGTGAACATCTTCTCCAGAAGTTCGACTTAACCATGAAAATTGTTGTTTGCTGATTTGATCTTGAAGTTCCCTTGATTGTAATAGCCTTTCCTTTCCGATGATGTCTCTTAATGGTACATGAGAAACAGTCATCTCAGGAATAACGAATTTTTGACACATAAAATTTTGAACTATCATTCAACTCCTGTTCTTGATATAAAAAGGTGTTTTTATGCATTGCGAGCACAAAACACGTAAATTTGTTAGAACAAGTAACATTTTTCAAGATAAATTGCAGAGATACATGATAAATCGAGTTATACTAACAACATCTGTCCCAAAAAGATCTAGAACGTTTATATTATTTGGCTGCCAACCTTCAATAAGTCTGAATTCATCATCATATTTTTGGAAAATATATTGAAATTGGACATTAAAAAGACAAAAACACCTTAATATTGTATATGATTTTTCACTGGTATGAATACAATATAAAAATAAAACAAATTGATAGGTTGAATTTATTTTCCAACTTATTATACATTAAGCTCATTGCCATAAAATGTTTTGGAGTACTCTAGCTCATAAACGAAAGAATAGGTCATATTGAATAGCTATTTTTTTTTATTTGAAAATGAAAACATATTTAAAGCATGTAAACGTCTAAATACTCTCAACTTTTTGGGTGTTAGACATAAAATATGTGAACTAAAGTTTATTTCAATAAATATTTTTATTATCTATTTTATTAAATAACAAATCTTAAAGTGTTTCTAAGAGCTGCAATACCTTCTTTGGCACTTTCTTCTTATTGCTATCATTCTTCATGAATGTGAGTAATCTAGGACATTTCTTAGCGACTTCTTCGATTTTTTCAAGTGGTAAATTATAAATCTTAAACATATTCATCTTTTCAAACAAAGTAATCATCTTTGGCCAAGCGAATTCGTTAAAATGAACATTCATTTTAATCAAATCTTGGCAAATCTTTTCGACGTGTTTTGAGTTTTCGCTGTATTCATCAACGATAAACAACAAAGGTTCACAAATTAAGTCCAAATTCTTCTTAGAACTTGTCATTGTTTTATTTACAGCAGCAGCAATTGTCGTGTAATCAATGACATCTTTCTTGGACATGCAATAGTTCAAAGCAGCAATTTGTGATTTATATGGTTTCGCTTCTATGGGTTTCAACAATTCAGAAATCAATTTCACACGTGGTTCTTTAGCTTGGTTCTTCAGTTTCTGCATGATGTAGATTTCGAAAGCTCTGTTTCTTCCTGATTTCCTGAGAGTCAAGAATATCGGAATATAGTTGAAGAACTCTGTTTCTGTGAGTGTCTGGATGATAGGAATAAGGAATCTGCCGTCGTTTGTCTTCTCGAACTCGCTCTTGATCAATACAGTGATCTGGCTTGGAATTGTATTGATCTTTGAAAGATTGTCTAAAATAAAGTGAATTAATTTGACATTTTCTGCATTTTGTGCTGCAAACAAACCACTAATGATGTCGTAGTTGAAACCAATCTGTGGCATCTGAGTTAAAAGATGTGTTCTGACACTGGATTGAACTTTTTCGTTCATTTTATCGTACATTTCGAGGAGATTTAGCAAAAGATTGACATTTTGCTTGAGAACTTCGAAGAATATGTGTAGGTATCTTTCTGCGGAGTTCTGGTCCTCTTCTAATGATCCTTGCTTCAATTTATCTTTGCTATAATCTTCAATTTCGGTAACAAACAGTCTTCCAGCGTAAAATGAGTTGATCATGATCTCAATAGCGTTCTTTCGGATTAATTGGTCGGGGGAAATGCAAAGTTCGAAAATTGAATTTAATGAGTCTTTTTGGATAAGGATTGTGTTCTGTACGACGTTGGCCATGGCGAAGATAATGATTCTGGAGGTGTTTGGACTGCGATTAACTTGGTCGGCCAAAACGGAAAATAATGAAGGATCAATTGCAGGCAACGAACGAAGGAATACGAGAATAGATGATTCTTGTGGAGCATCCTTTTCGCTGAGCTTTCCACAGATTGCAACTGCAACTTTTTCCGTAATTCGAACAAATCTTTCTCTTGGGCTCTTTACGTACTCATAACAGACCCAATTGATGAGGAATGGAAGCAATGATGATATATCTGTACTTGCACATCTAATGGCTGTCTCTGTGCAACGTCCTGTACAATTAAGATATTTTTCTCCTTCTGATTGGTCAGTTGTACAGATAATCATGGCGAGGAAGTGTGATTGGACTTTCTGAGAAGTAAACTTCATGCGCTGAGCCATTTTTTCAAGTCCTTGCTCAACAATATATTCTGATGTTTCAATATTCATTTCGTGCATGTCGTAGTCGACGTCTTCTTGAGTTATACTCATGATCTCTTGAATTGTAGTGTTAACAGTCTCAGAAAGCTTGAAATTCGGACTTGGCCGTAATTTTTTGAATCCTTCGATAACAAGAGCAAGAACTATGTCTGGTTGGTATGTAAGAAGAGTATTTTGAACTTTAAGACGTGTTTCATTGTCTCTAGGGGTTCTAGGAGGAATTGCATTTGTATTTCTTGTTGTTGTAATAGCAATTTCAAGAGAAGTTAAAAGCTTCCTTAAATCCTTTTCCCATGCTAAAATGGAATCATTCTTGGTGATATCTAATTGTAAAGCGTACCTTAGAGATGTTTTCTTTGAACTTGATAGTTTAGGAACAACATTGTTAAGATTATTGATTGTTTCGACGTATTCTTTATTATCACCAATCTGAAAACGTATAAAGTGGAAGAAAGCATCGAGTAAAGTAATTAAATATCCAACATTCGGAGTTTCTTTCTTGCATTCATTTTCAAATTGATCGGAAATAATACTTATTGCAACATCGGCTTGAGTGATAAACTGCTTTTTGGTCATTATAATTGCAGAATTTTGAAGAATCTTTACAATTAAAATTTTTGTCTGCAAAGTAATTTTCTCGGCATGGGATTCTAAGAATTCTGAAAATTTAGCAAACATTTGAAGGAAATTGCTCTCGTCAATGGCCTTTTCTGGCAATGTTGTTACGATTTTACCGAGATTTGTTAAGATTGTTGCGGTATTCTTCCAGTTAACTGCAGAAGAAGATGCCTCCTTCTCAAATTTGGCCATCAAAGATTTGACATCATAGCCGAGATTGGTATCTTGAGTCATTCTTGTCACTTTTTTCTAATATTTTTGTTCTAAATATGGAAACACCTAGTTTTTATCATCCATGTCGCGAAATTCTACAAGAATTAATGAAGCAAGAGAATTCATACTATTTTTTCAAGCCAGTTAACCCAGAAGATACATCAGCACCAGATTATTACTTAAAAATACCTAAGCCAATGTGCTTTTTCATGATTCAAGAGAAATTAGATAACAAAGAATATAAAACACCCGAAGAATTCGTTTCAGATGTAAATACAATTTGGCAAAACGCAAAAATATATAATGGTCCTCATCACTCAATTTCTCAAGCTGCAAATCAAATGTCAAGAAAGTTTGAGATACTTTTAACTGCAATGCCTAGGACTGTATCTGGTTCTGCAAAGAATACAGATTTACAAAGATATATTGAACTTAGATTCGGACGATATCTTATGAATAAGACTACTCATGAGTAGAAACATCATGTTTTACTTATAATTCATCGTAATATTTTAATAACGGCATATATTATATGAATTATTGTTATATTTCGCTTTAGTATCTAGAGTAATACTATATAGCGAATACTTGTATAAATTTAGCATATTAAAACAACTTTTTTGAAATTTTATTTTCAATTTTTCATTTTATTCAATTGTTAATGATTATGAATTGAATAAAATGCATTCTTTGCCCTGTGAATAAATGTTAAGAGGCACTCTTTATATAGAAATACAAAACCTGAAATTTATTTTTCCCAAGCTAAGGATTTATATTTGAAATATTTTAAAGTTAAATAGCACGCAGTAATAACATATTCAAGTAAACAGTAAATGTGACATTTTGATGTTGAATGTATTAAATTAAGTAACATAGATCATTTTGAACTCCGAGTTATTAGATAAATCAAAAGGAACGAAACATGTTGGCTATGATGAAACAACTCATACATACACTTTCGATTATCCGTGCACATCACATCACGATTGCACCGATTATGTCATTACCCTTAGACCAGGGTTCTATAAATTCGAGCTATATGGAGCCTCTGGCGGTTATACATCCAATGCCTTGTCATCCCATATTGATGAAAAAGGAAATTGCCTAAATACAGAAATAATTGGCCAATTCCACGGAAATACCGTTTGCAGGAAAGTAGCAAACCGTGGTGGAGCCGGCGGCTATATATCCGGCAACATCAAAATTTCCAAAGAAATAATCGCGTACGCGACAATAGGCGGCAGAGGAATATATGAAGCACCCCCTTCCCATACCCAAAAAGGTGGCTATGGTGGCGGTGGTGATGCACTGTCCTACGGTGATACGGGCTCCGGAAGCGGAGGTGGTCAAACCGCCGTCATGTTTTTGTCAAATGATTTGTGGCACCGCGTGATCGTGAGCGGCGGCGTAGGAGGCTCTGATAATTACTGGGATCAAACCCAGATATATACTGATGACGATGGCTCAGGAGGATCAGGAGGCGGTTTTACTGCTCCCGGTGCTTGGCGACATGGAAAATATGACGCATCAAAATCTGCCAATTCCACTTTTGGTTTCAGCTTTGGCTATGGAGAATCCTCTCGTTATGATGGATCTTTGAATAAAAAATATGGATACACAACTACTTATGGTGCAAACGATCGCCCGGGTGCTGGAAGTGGTTGGTTTGGCGGCTTCGCTTCTCATGATGGAAATAGCGGCTCTGGAGGTGGAAGTTCGTGGGCTTTGACTAAAGATGCAGCAATTCCACGCGGTCCAATTACTGCCTACGATTCATCTTATAACCCTGTTCAAACACGACCATATGAATTCATTGATCAGAACGAATTTTTATTTACTGATGTGAAATCTATTTCGGGAATCTGGGAAGGAAATGGAAAGCTTTTGATAACAATCATAAATTCTGCAGCTGCCATTTCATGCGTCACGCGACATAATAATTTTTATGGATTCTCATTATTTCTTTTATTTGAAGTTTCTTCTACTTAATAAACAGCAATTCATGAAAATATTGATACATTAGATATCAGCACTTCCAAATATATAAAAAAAAAAAATAATTTTTAATTTAAATTTGATAATTATAGATGAAAGAATAAGAATTGGATCAGAAGTAAACAATCTTAAAATCCATCGGGCGTTAAATAAAGGATTGAAAAATGTTCATAAATTATTTTGAAGTAAACATAAATTTATTGACAAAATTGTTATTGCCAAGCTATGTCTCTACTATATCACTAAAAATTACAGATCATTAATTTTTTCTTAAACGTGACATTTGTAAAGTAGAGCGAGACGATAGAGGTTTTGGCCGTCCTTTTGTAATGGGCCGCAAGAAATTAAGTCGCGCACGCGAATCAATCATCAACTCCCTCTCCCTTGTCACAAAGTCCGGCAAGTACTCTCTTGGTATTTCCCAGACACTTAAGTCACTCCGCAATGGCGAGGCCAAGCTTGTTATCTTCGCATCAAATGTTGCCCCAGCTCACCGTTCCCTTATCGAATACTACGCTATGCTTTCCGGCTGCGATATTCTCCCATTCGATGGTGACAATGTCGACCTCGGCACAGCTTGCGGTAAGTATTTCCGCTCATCAGTCATCTCAATCATTGATGCTGGTGAATCCGAAATCCTTAAGATGATCAAGCAGAAGGACGAGTAAATTATTTTTTTATATTTCTACTATTTAGAACCAAATTTACATTATTTTAAAAATAATCAAAACTTTATCAAGTAATCTTTAAAATTTGATTGATTATTAAAGATCTCTTATGATGGTTTGAAATTGATTTAGATATTTGATACATTAATTTTCTTTGCGCAACATTCACTGAAAAATTTAATATTCATGAAGCATAGATGTGTGTAGTCGAGTGTATAACACATAACAAAGCATTATATAAGCTATAACTCCCCATATTATATGAAATTGCTCTCATAAAAATCTGATCTCGGAGAGAGTATTTTTTGAGCAACTTAAAAAGTGACAATAATACCTATCAAAGTTTAAACCATGTTCAATAGCTATAGCTCTTCTGAAATCCATGCCGTTTTAGCATCTCCAAACCCAGAACTCAAATCTTTACTTGCTATTCCATCGATTGTTAGAGCTATTAAACAAAAACCATCTGGACTGATGAATTTCTTGCTTTCTCATGCAGATGAAATGCTTGCGATGGTATTTTCTCAAGACAAATCTATCGAAGCATCTCGTGCTTACTCAATATTAGTTCTTGGTGATCCAGCCATTTCAAGCGAAATCTTAAAAGATGATAAATTCAGAAATCACGCACTTGAAGCCTTAGTCCAGCCAGATGTCCCTGGTTACGTGCTCGGAAGGTTATCAAGTTTAACTTTAACTTTATTACAAACTTTACCAGCCGACACGATTGAGCACTGCGGATTCATATATCATTTACTCAAGCATTGCGCTAATCCGAGCGTCTACAACTTCTTCATTTCATTGACAAATGGCGAAGAAACAAGATTTGAAAAAGCCCAAGAATGGCTTGTTGATTTCGGATTCTCTGAGTACATTATTCGTGAGCTGCAGTCTGTAGACTTCAAATATCAGCCAACAAATACAAACCCTTACCTTGATCCTGTTTATGATAAATTATCTTGTCTTTATCAGCTTGTTAAGCGTTGTTCAGAGAACAAAATAATGGAAAAGGGCTTCAAAACTAATTCCGTTGTACAAGCTCTCCTTGAAGAAATTCCAAACGCTCCAGATTACGTCAAAAACGCTCATTGGGCCGCAATTACAGCTGTTACATGCCAACCAGTTGCTGTTGAATGTCTCAAGCTAATTCCAACAGCATTGAAGCTAATTACAGAACCTTTTGTCCGAATTAGATCTTTTAGAGTTTCAGCATTAACATTTTTAACTCAAATGATGGAAATCGCTCCAATGGCATACGAACTCCTTCTCCAATCATCAGTTCTTCAATCTCTTTGCACTGTTTTGATACAATTCCCTAATTGTACAATTCTCCATGGTGAATTCAGAAAATTTGTGGAGACTGGTCTCAAAAACGAACAATTCGCTGAGAAAATGGTCGGTGTTTACACTCCTTTATTTATTGATCAAGCGACTGGCAGAATCAACAGGGTTTTGAGTCCAACACTGTTTGCCATCGTAGAGCTCTTCAACAACAAGGCGGCTACTCGCCCTGCAATTAAAGCTGTTCTGAACGAAATTCCTGAATATCGAGATTTCTATAGGAACGAATTGCTTCCTTATAATCAGCTCTGCAACTCTACATATGGTGGATCAAGTATATCTCAGTTCTTTGGTTCATTTAAGAACTTCTTTTGAAATATAATTTTTTTTCTTCAAATTGTTCAATTCGAAGATATTGTTTTAATAAATAAAATACTATTGTTATATAGTTTTAAATATTACTTGTATTTCTTTACTCTTTGCTTAAAATCTAAAAAAATAATCAATCATAAAGAGAAACAACACGATATTTCAGTTATTTATAGTTCTAAAGGTATTTTCCTAAGAAGATCAATGATACTCTTTGCATAATTTATAGGTATTTTAGCAGATATTTCACAAAACAGCAACTTTAGACTAAAATAGGAAAATTGTATAAGTACTAATCACAATATCGAATTTGTTTAATTCAATGCTGTCAAAAATCTTATTTTTATTTTAAATATAGATACTCGCTCTAATTAACTCATGAAATCTCATATTTCTAAACCAGAGAAAGGTGAGAAGATTCAAATATCTGCATTAGGAAAGCTGATTGTTCCTGATTGTCCAATAATTCCATTCATTGAAGGCGATGGTATAGGCGTTGATATTACTCCAGTAATGAAAAAAGTTATAGATTCGGCTGTAGAGAAGGCATACAATGGCAAACGCAAAATTCAATGGATGGAAATTTATGCAGGTGCCAAATCATGCAAAATATATGGTGAAAATGTTTATCTCCCAGATGAAACGATTGATGCTATTCGACAGTATCATGTCGCCATTAAAGGACCATTAATGACTCCAGTTGGTGGAGGAATCCGTTCTCTTAATGTAGCATTGAGGCAATCCTTAGATTTATTCATCTGTTTGCGTCCTATCCGTTATTATGATGGAACTCCAAGTCCGGTGAAACGACCTGATTTAATTAATATGGTTATATTCCGAGAAAACTCAGAAGATATATATGCAGGTATAGAATGGAAAGCCGGATCAGATGAAGCTAAGAAAGTAATTAACTTTTTGCAAGAAGAAATGGGCGTTAAAAAAATAAGATTTACAGAAGATTGTGGAATCGGAATCAAACCAGTTTCTAAACAAGGAACACAAAGATTAGTTCGTTCTGCTCTTCAATATGCAATAGATAATGATAGAAATTCATTGACATTAGTTCATAAAGGAAATATCATGAAATATACAGAAGGTTCATTCAAAGAATGGGGATATGAAGTTTGTTTAGAATTTGGAGCCACATTGATTGGTGAAGGTCCTTTTATGAAACTTAATAATCCTAAGACAGGAAGAGATATTATCATTAAGGATTGTATTGCAGATGCATTTCTTCAGGAGATTTTACTTCATCCTTCAAATTACGACGTCATTGCAACACTGAATTTAAACGGAGATTATATCTCAGATGCATTAGCAGCACAAGTTGGAGGTATTGGAATTTCACCAGGTGCTAACATCGGAAATGATTCAGCGATCTTTGAAGCAACACATGGCATAGCTCCAAAAATCGCAGGAATGAATGTTGCTAATCCAGGCTCATTGATCCTTAGTGGTGAAATGATGCTTAGACATCTTGGATGGATCGAAGCAGCAGATCTTGTTGTTAAGTCTGTTTCAAAGACAATCTCAAATAAAACAGTTACAAAAGATTTTGCAGAAATGATGGATAATTCAACACTCCGTTCAACAAGTCAATTTGGTGATGATATCATAAATAACATGTAACATTTTTCTCTATAGATTTTTAATTCTTTTGATATCATATTCATACCATCTTTTCATGTTCTATTTGATTGTATAAAAATAATAAAAACTTTATTTCGATGAGAATTTTTATCATTTCCAAATAACTGCAAAACTTACTTTAGTAGAAATGAAATCGAATAATAATTGGAGCACCGGCCCAGGTACGACATCTAATCAATTCTGTTGCGTAAGGTTAGTTTTCACTTATAATTCACGCCTCTTGTTAAAAATTTATATTAATGTCAGATGGGCGTAAGTCCAAAATAAAAAATGTTTTTGCAAGGTGGAATTATGAAGGGCTTTTAATGTTTAGTAAAGAAATGAAGAAAAGAGGAAGTTTTTTAATTTTGGAAATATTTTTATTGATAATTGCAAATTCTGCTTGGCAATTACCTGTTGAAAAATGAATCAATTTGTTAGTAAATAGTTCTCTTGAATTAGTAGGTGTTACATTTCTATTAAATGTATTTGGAATCGAATTGTCAATGTAACAACTATCAACTGTTAATTGATATCGGGTATATATCAAATATTTACCTTCAGGAACAGTGTTGTTAATAAAAGAACAACTTTTTACAGAAAGAGAATTATCTTGATGGTAAATAATTCCATATGTTGATTTTGTAAGGTTATTATTTATAATATTACATGAATCAATCATAGAGTTATATCTAAAATATATAATATCATATTTACCTGTTCCTAAATTATTAACAACAGTTGAATAATTAAATGTTGTTATAATGTCATTATCTGATATTTTCCAAAGATCAGCAGCAGGATCTTCTTTAGCTTTATTTGATGAGAAATTTGTTGATGAAACTAAAATATTTCCATCTTCTGCATAAACTACTGATTCACCAACACTTTCATTTCCTACATCGAAAAGGGAACTTTCAATAAAAAAGTTTAAGTTATCTGTGTCAACTAAAGTATATGAAAAATGACCTTTTCCTGAGCTTTGGCATTTCGTACAACAGAATTTGCGTTGGATAATGGAACTATTGCTGCCGATTTTGTAGCAAACGCAACTTCCATCTGATGTTGAAGTACATTTACTAAATGAGCACCGATTATGGAAGAATAATGAGTCGGAGATGGGATCAAAATTGATTACGCGTTTGTTGTCATCAAAAAAAATACAAGAATCTAAGTAATATTGGCCTGGTGATGAGGTGACATCACAGTTTATGCATGATTTGGTTTCATGACCTGAAAACTGATTTCCGAAATAGTTGGTCCATTGAAAGTCATCTTCTTCAGATGACTTTCGACCAAAATTATACAATCTGACAAAAAAAAAGTCAAATTTTTGTGATCGTAAAAATTCGGGCTGTATTACAAATGAGACTTGTTTCTATGGTACATAAAAGGGGAAAAAACTCATTTTTTAGACCAAAAAAGTGGCACCTGAGTATATTGTTTCTGCTTTATCTGATCATTGAAACGGAATTGATCCACGTTATTAGTATGAAACAATGATATACTAGGGACTAAAGAAGATTAGTATTACAAAAACCCAATTATTCGATGTTCAACTCATCATATCTTGCATTAAAGTTGATACCTTTATTTTTTCGAAATATTACAACAGTAGCAACCTTACGTATTACCAATGATAGCCAGAGTACTATTTTGGCATAAAAAATTTAAAACGATATTAAAACAACAGATTGACTAGTCATTCTGGTATAGTATCATGCATACTACCAGGTGATAAAATCTCAAATATCTTAGCTTAACTTCCGTTTGATTATGAGATACATATCTAATGTTGCTCGTTTTGTAGCCATAGTCACTAACTAATAACATTATTATGATAAGAAGACTAAATGTGCGAGTTTAATATACATTTGATTCAGATTTATTATCGAAAATCAAATCACAATATATATCCTGAACTCATCTGTTAATAAAATCATGATATTATTGATTGTTTTCTAGATGTTTACAATATTTTCTAAACATGTGAAGATAATCCTTAATTTGAACCAGAAATAATTTTAAATTACTAACAATGGATTGTTATCTATATATAATAATATATTATTTTTGATAGTAAACTATGGCTGATTTATGGTTTAGGAATATATACTTCTTTTCTATATCTTTGAAAAATAGTTATATGATTTTGCTGTATAAGTGATATATTTTAGTAGAAATATTATAGAATAGAAAAAATAAAAAGGTTTTATCGATTTATAACACAATGAAAATGGTTTCTTTCTCTCTAAATTATAAATTTTCAAAAAAAATAACCTCATTTTTCCAAAAAAAATCGAGAATTGAAAAAAACGTTATCATTTTCTAGAAAATTGCATAGGCTTTTTCTAAAATGGAAAAAATTTGGAGAAACTCACCAAGAAGAACTTCATTCTAGGTGTCCAAAGCAATTGCTATCAGTCAAAAAAAAACTCGAAAATTTTAAATATTGATATCGATTTTCATCAATCACTTAAAATCGATTGTTTGCAGTCGATGTTATCATATATTATTAAATTCTAATATACATGAACATACTACAAATTGTTTTTGAAACTTATCAACATTTCGCGCAATTTAACAATACTCCAACTCTCATACACAGTTCCCATTACCACAGTCTCATTTTAAGAAGGAACGATTAATAAAATCTAAGATCTAACGATTTAATTACCCAATTCGAATAATATTTTTAATTATAAATCCTTATTTGTGCATGTTTTATATACAGATGTAGAAAGAAAAACGAATAAAGTGTTTCTTCAGAAAAATACCTGAAAGCACCCTAATCATTAAATAATTTACATTTTTAGCATCGAATTTTGCTCGTCTTGAGCCATATTTTTCGTTTAATTTTCATAATACGATAAAACATACGGGTTATCAAGTAAAATATGGATATTTTAGAAGATCTTAATATATCTCGAAATCAAACGAAAGCCATTCTATGAGTCCATACACACTATTACTATACTTCATATGTCAAGCATAATGGGAACAATTTTGGTCGATACCTTTGTTGTCGACGAAGTTCCCCCCTTTTTGGTACATATAGTCATTATTAGATGAAGGCTTGAGTAAAATAATTCCATGTTTGCATATTGTTTACATTTTTTTTTCAATTTAATGCTAAAGACAGTTGTAAGATATCTTTCATTTCCATGTTACCAAAGTGAATAAACAGTGATCACTATTTAACAACAAATATAAGCGATCATAATTATAGCATTAATTGAAGGTGAATTATAATATTATTTGACTCTGCTTCTTCATTATTAATTACAAAACTTCATTTTAATAATTAGATGGTGATAAAGATTGTAAATTATAAATATAAATATTTTATATCAAACAAAATTTAAACTAAACTAAACCAAATCCTTCAGAGTGTTCGATAGCCAGAAGAACTTTCTGTGAAAGAACTTCCTTAGTCTTGTAAGCAGGGAGAGAGAACATGTTGAAGCATGTGTGTGAGACAGGGAGCATCTGAATGTCATTCGTTTTCTGGATAGTCAACTGGACTTCACCAAGTCCTTCAACAGGAGCGCGTGGTGTTCCTGTAGAGAAACGAAGAAATTCGACTTTTTGGTCGTTGCTGAATTGGTCGAATAATTCCCAGAACCAGATGATTTGTTGGCTGTCTTTAGTGTATCCGTCGATGTACTTCGCGTTCTTCTTCAATGCTGCCCAGTCAAGAACTGCTTCACCACTAACTAAGATGTCTAATTCGTCTGCACCAAATAATTTGTATAGTTTAGAAATAGAGATTTTCATGAAACCAGACAAAAATGCTTCATATTGTTTAGCAATACTGATGTTCGCCCACCAGTTGATATATGATGCAATAAATGCATCAAGATTATCATTAGTGACATCAATGTTGGAACCGTTTTGAACTAGTGGAATTTCAATTCGTTCGCCAAATTGTTCGATTGTTGTAGTGAATGTCAAACATAGTTCTGAAACATCTTCTTTCTTCGTGCGCATGTTGATCATATCAAGTGCACTCTTCATGAAATCGGGATCGATTTCACCGATGTCTGTTAATGTGATCGGTTTGCCGAGAATCTTCTTGTACAAAAGTGTTGGAAAGCGAATTGGAAGAACGACGTTGTTGTAAATCGCAAGAGAGACTGCAGTGCCAAGCATCATGTATGCAGAATAATCTTCGAATGGTGTGATAGAGAACCAGTAATAGCCATTGATTGTTGTGAACATTCCGTAATCGGGTGAAAAGATTTGTGATGTAAGAAGATAAAAGAATTCACGTGAAACACCGCCTTGGTCAATACCTTGTTCGCCTTTGAATGTGATGACTAACTTCTTAAGAAGATCTTCGCTTCGAAGACGTGGAATCTTACGAATGGCGTCTTCAACTAAATGATCACGACGAATCTCTAAAACATTGAATATTAAATTGTTAGTGATCGTTCGACCCATCATGATGCCTTCGTTGATGACTGATCGTGCTGCCATCGTGTTCTGTTTGTTCTCTTGTGCTGTCTGTAAAACTTTGTGTTTGAACTTAAGAGATAAAACAGATGGAAATGATAAAAATGAGAACTTGCTGAATTCGTATCGCTCGAGTTCCTTAAGAGGATTGAGACGTGTCGATAACGCGGAATTAGAGAAAACTTTGTTAGGAAGGTGGTGAAGTGAGTTATCTGATGCTCTTTGGAGCAATGTGATGAAATTGCATAGAGATGCAATTGGTTTAGGGACAACATTGATCATGGATTGTTTCAATACGTAGATAGATAACATTGTCTCGCATAATGAGACAACACGTGTTAATAACGTAGAAATGCATTGTAAACATGACCAAAAGAGCATCGCTGATTTCGATGGAAGATCAATGATGTGGTCTAATAATGGTAAGAATGTGTCGATGTAATTATCTTTATTGAAGTAAATTTCGAACAACAAAATGAGAATGATACCTCTGACGTGTGAGAATGTGTCTGTTGATGGGAGTTTAATGAATCGTTTAACCATTAAGTTGAAGTCTGTGTAGAAAGGGAGGAAATACTTGTATCCTCGTTGAAAGACAAGATTGAAGTCTTGTAACTTGTCTTCATCAAATGATATGTTAGAGATTGATAGAGTTTCTTGATTTGATAATAAAATGAATGAAATGTTAATCTCGCTGCTAACAACTTCTTTAATATTATGTAATGACTGATCATCTGGAATTTGTGAAGCTCTGTTATATATAATATCTGTGACAATTGAATCAAATCTGCTTACTTTTGTTAATATTGATTTATCTCTATTTAAAGGTGAATAATGACCACACAAACATGGATTATGTGGATGATTAAGTGTTAACTCAACAGCTCTGACTGCTGCTTCTGTTGGATCTCTGAAATGATAATGAAAATTTGTGGATGAAGCGCATTCTGGCTGTTCACAATCAATTCGATCACACCCCTCAGTTAATTGCTCGAAGTATCCTTTGATTAACGATTCAACTGAAGGAGTATCAATCATATAAGAATCGAAAATAATATTCTTTTCAAAAAATACAAAGAAAATATATTTATTATGCATCAATTAGAAGAAAGGTATAACAAAAATATGTATTACAATGTACGTAAAATTGTCACTTTTCTTATGTATTCAATTCTGATTGTATCATGGACTAGAATTATTTGAATTTTTGATATTGATTAAGTGATGTTAAGAGAAATTCCGAATAATTCAGCTAGTCCCCTCAGCAATTTTGGAGAAAACTCAGCTTTTGTTTTATATGTAACAATCTATTTAAGGGTATAGTCCACTAAAAATTTTTAAGTTTTGACAATGAAAATAAGCTCTGTGATCATGTAAATATATATCTATGCAAAACGAGAGGTTATGCCATAATTTTTTTTAGTTATCAAATTTTCCTTTTTTTGAGAGAAGTCTCTCAATAATTTGAGAAGAATCTTTGATATAAAGAGATACACATTTGTAGAACGAAGTAAGTGTTTTCCAAACATTTTATATGTTCATCCTGTATAACAATATAAAGCTGCATAGTGCCATCTTGTGCGTTTGCTATTTTATGTACTTTTCATTGAGATAATCCCTCTTCTCGGGTGATTTTAACAGTCAACTCAATTTTAAAATAAAGATTTCATCAAAATGATTTCGAAATTCGGATATTGATTATATAAATAGCACTGTTAACATATTTTGGATGAGTAAAAAATACCTTGTTTTGTATGCATTTAGTACACCTTTATTTTTGATTAAAACTATAAAATTTTTATTCCTTATATAATAAATAGTATATGGTACATAAACATGAAATTCAATAGCATTCAATTTTGGATTTTTTAGATTTGGTAAATTTTAGAAGAAATAAAATCAGCAATCAAAATAAAGAAACTTTTTTTGTATCTTCTATGATTACCTTTTGGTACTAAATTTTGCATTAATAAGTAAATTATCTGTATTATTCTGTGAGCACAAGCCCTCAGTTATGCTGGTAGTGAATGAGGAATCGTCATTTTGCGAAGAGAACGCGATTATTAAGGTAATTTTGAGAATTGTCTTGAATTATTTAAAATTAAAGTTAATTGAATAGGTAGGATAACTAGCCTTTGCTAAATTTGTATAATTTGACCTTATTCTAGTTGGATCTGAGAATATTTTGCTGAAATAATAAATTATATCGCCGATTTATGAAAATTTCTCTGATGGGACCGACTCGCTGAAACGTATTAGTGTTAATGGTAACTTGTCTGAATTTTCAAATTTTTTTCGAAATCCAAAAAATCACAAACAAAAGCATCAAAATTAGATTTGCATTTAAGGTTTTCATTTTTTTTGGAAAATAAAAATATTTTTTCCCCAATAAAGTTTATTTTTACTTTTGAGAGGAATAGAAACGTTATTTTGGAATTTTGAAACGACAGAAATGTTCCATTTTTAATGTAGATTCTAAAATGGGGTCAAATTTTTGATTGAACCGTTATCCATTGAAAAACCTCGATTTTAAAATGTTATTCCAAAATATTCATCTAATGATATAGTATATATTTATTAATTATTACTTTTTATTCAATTTTCACTTTTGGCGGGATTTCATTTTTTTGTTGTTGTATGGGCCATATTGTTCACCCAAAACGGAAAACAAAGGCAATGCATAACATTTTACTCCACGAACGTCGTCGACTCTCAGCGCGACAGATGCTTGGTGCTTGCATAATGACCGGAATGCCATATACAAAAGGTGCTCGCTTTCTTTCTCTTTGTGGAACTAAGCCCCCTGTGAAGAGTGGTGTCATGAGACAACAGAGATTTTGTGACGATAAGATTAGAAGACTTAAAAGTATTTCCCTAATGCTGTCGAGAAAGTCCTTCAGTGGTTACTTATCCATTGATGCAAGATGGACGCACAGGCGAAACTCGCCAAGTTGTACAGTAACTGCGCTCGATGCTGTCACAAAAAGAGTTCTTGCATGCGTGAACATCAACCATATTGGTGGAAACAGACAGCATGCTCAGTATTCCGGAGCTTCCAACAATATGGAAAGTGCTGGAACTCGAATCATCTTGAAGCAATTAAAGAAATACAATATCTTGAAAGATGTTAAAGAGATTATTAAAGACCGAGATAACAAAAGTGTCTCTGTCTTTAAAGAATTTGGCGTCTCTCATCTTGAAAGATTCGATCCAGGTCATGTATCAAAAAATATCTCAAAAGATTTTACAAAGTTCTCAGCTTCTCATAAGACAGTTGAAGTTTTCAACGACAAGACTCAGAAGATTGAAAAAATAGAGAGACCTTTCTGGGGTCTGAATGCAAGCCTAAGTATGTGGCTTTGGTCATGTTTTGCCGAAGAAAATATTGACAAACGTACGAAAATGTGGGAGAATTGTGTCTACCATTACGTAGGCAATCATTCTTTTTGCGAACCGCACAATTACAAATGCTTTGAATGGCAAAAAGGTGTCAATTCGATCCAACTTCAATTCATGCTCTATGACTGGGTTCACAAATGGACACCCATAGTTTCCAAAGTTTCTTCCATTGGATCTACCTGCATGAATGAAGCGTTTAACTCCAAAATTGCATGCTATTTGGACAAATCAAGAGCCTGGAAGAACATTAACATTAGAGTTAACGTTGCAATCTTAGAATGGAATGATCCAGAGCATTTTCTCGGAGATATACAAAAAGCATTACATCTTCCCCCACTTCCAGAAGATTGTGTCAAATCATTTGAAGAGAATTGTTACTCCAAAATGATATTGAAACAAAAAACTGTTACAAAAGGTTCTAAAAAACAGAACAAATACAAAAAATCCATTCAGAGTGTACCAGGAGGAGATTGAGTAGGGGTAATTTTAGCTAAAAGTGACACGCCCGTGAAGGGTGTGATTACCGATCGGTAATTTCGACAGTTTAGAATTTAAAATTTTTTATGGAACTGTTGCGAGTTTCATAAAGAATTTAAGGAATATAAGCAAAGATTTGAATCAAAATCTTAGACCTAAGCCGCTCGATTCGCTCGCGGCTTCCGCGAATTACAGATCAGCAAAGATTTGAATCAAAATCTTCGAACGAAGCCGATCGCTTCGCTCGCGGCTTTCTTTATTATTTTAAATTTGCATATTTCCATCAAAAGTTCATAAGGTAAAAAATTTCGTTTATTTTTACTAAGAAAAAAAGGTTTTTGATAATAAATTTATTTTATTTCGAAAAAGTAGCAATAATCGTAAAAGGGTATTGATAGGCTTGCTAAAGTAACTAATTTTAGCTGTCAAATACTTTTGTATTTTGAAGTAAATTAGTATAAATTTGATATTATTTTAACTCCCTTTGAAAACCTCAATTTTCCATACAGAGGGAACGGGAATAGCATCCAATATTCCCTGAGAATGGTTGCGCATTCTCAGTTCCCTCTATATTTCGAACGAAGCTCTCATCGGTCTTTTTTTTTAATACTAAACGTTTTTTCCCCTGTCACTTTTAGCTAAAATTTGGGTTTGCCGGAGGAGATTATCAAGTTTTCAAGTCCGAATGGGAATCAGAAGACGAAGACATTGATGACTTTGATTAACGAAAATTACATTTTATTTATTGTTTTTGTTTTTAATTAAATTATTATTATGCTCATTTTCTTATTTTGATTTTTTCTCATTATGATATAAATAATTTATTAATGCATTTATCCAGTAATTATGCTATGATATTTTTATGCCTTATTTCATTTCTCTTATATTTGATAATCTGGTAAAATATAGTTCAGACTATAATCATTTTAGATTATTGATATATTTATATAGGTTAGAATAAAATTAGTTTCATTTTCTACTTTTATTTTGAATTAATAATTTATAATATCAAATATTATGGCGTAACCTCTCCTTTAAAATATAGATATATATAGGCCTATAGAATTTATTGGCACTCTCAAAACTCTAGAATTTTGAGTTTACTATACCCTTAAGAATCTTCACTTTTAAATATTTGCTTCATGTTAGTATCGATATCTGACAAGCAGTCCAGCTTTTTGAAGATATTATTTTTTGTTAATTGTAGACTTTACTGTTCTCATAGCAGTGAACCTTGTTAAAATTTGTTAAATTCCAATCCGAGAAATATAGTAAGGTAAACATTGTTTGAAATTGACTGTGCAATTAAATATGATCTATAATTATAAAAATTTTCCAATTTGAATGACAATTCATGACAGTTAAGGCAAATCTGTAAACATCATAATGAATTCAATTGGAAAATTTCTTAATTCAAAAATTGTAAAAAATTTATTGTACGTATGTCATTGTTTTCATTTAATAGTATGAAGCATTACCTACTAAAATTTAGATATTTCATTCTGAAACTTAAATCCAATCAAATGTATCATATAAAAATTGTAAAAATAAATAAAAAAATGTCAAGACAACAAGCAGATCCAGCTTTTGTCCTTAACTTTTTCACTGAAGAGCTTAATAGCGATAATGTTCACCACAGATTGTTTGCAGCAAGTAATATTCAATTAGTTGCTGCTGCAATGGGAGCTGAACATGCTAGAACAGAATTAGTTCAATTTCTAATGAATGCGAATCAACTAGATGGTGAAGTTCAAATGATATTAGCAGATAATATGGGTAATCTCGTGAAATACGTAGGCGGACCAGAATACGCAAGCTCGTTATTAGGACCGCTTAAAATTCTTGCATCCGCTGAAGAAGCAATTGTTCGTGATAAAGCTATAGATTCTATGAATTCGGTTTGCAATGCAATTCCAGCAGCTTCAGCTGATAACTTTTTAATGACTACAGCAAGAGATTTAGCAACAGCAGAATTTTTCACAGCAAGAGCATCAGCATCAGCATTTATTGTTAGAATTTATGATAAATTAAGTGAAACAAACAAAACAAGTGTAAGACAAATTTACAAGTCACTTGTTAAAGATGAAACACCAATGGTTAGACGTAGCGCACTTAAATACCTTCCTCAGCTTTGTGAATTGCTTCCAGCTAACATAATTGTTTCAGAAATCGCAAAGGATATTTTAATGGGTTCCGTCAACGATGATGAGGACTCCGTTCGTCTACTTTTACCTTCTTCTCTGTCAGTAATCTCAGCAAAGCTCGGAGATTCAGACAGATTAAACATTATCGTTTCATTAGGTAAAATGATTGTCAAAGACGGAAGTTGGAGAGTCAGATCAGCATTTGCTACAGAAATTCCTGCTATTGCTAAACCATTTTCACCAGATGTCATTGTAAATGAAATTTGCCCGATTTTATTCCGACTTTTACATGATCCAGAAGCAGAAGCAAAGACAGCTGCTTGCAAGGCAACAAGTGGTATGCTTCCGCTTCTTTCCAAACAAGAGAATTTCGTTATTGAAAAAGTTATTCCAGAATTATCTTCACTTACAAACGACGGATCACCAACTGTTCGTCGCGAAGTTGCTTTACATATCATGGAGCTTGCTCCGATCGTTGGAAAACAACATGTTTCACAATCAATTATTCCACTTTTCGGACAAATCCTCCACGACACAGATAACGAGGCCAGTGTTGCTCTGCTTACATCCCTCCTTCAACATGTTGAAGAAGTAGACATGAATAGCATTGTTCCAGCCGTTCTCCCGACAATTCTCGAAATTGCGAACGACGCCCATTGGAGAGTCATTGTTGCCATCATCAAACTCATTCCAAGTTTCGCTGCCGTACTAGGTACAGATGAATTCGGCAAGAAACTCTTCCCACTCGTTCAAAACTGGCTGACTTTCCAATTTTTCGCAGTTAGAGACACAATGACACAACAATTAGGTCTTTTGGTCCAAGAATTTGGCAGTGAATGGGCCACGCAAACTCTTGTTCCTTTCATTTTGCAGTTGAAGACACGTGAAAACTACTTGATAAGACAAGTAACTTTGATGTGTATCAGTCGCTTCCACGGATATATGCCTATCAATAGCATTGTTAAGTATTTCTTACCAACAGTACTTTACATGTCAAATGATAGAACTCCGAATGTTAAATTCATGGTTGCGAAAACATTACTTTTATTCTTAGGAGCGAATGACCAAAAAGTAACTCAGCAAGTTTCTGCTTGCTTAAAGACATTGTCTAATGATCCTGACACTGATGTTAAGTATTATGCATGCATGGCACTCTTAAAGTGTCAATAAACAGTTATCTATGTTTTATTAAAAAAAATATCACTTTTTTTTTCTCAAATTGATAAAACTATTGAAGTGTGATTTCCTAATTTCTGTATGAGGAATGGATATATGATCCATTATTAGCAGAGTATAAGGTATTTAGATGTTGTTACATATCGAAACATTTGCTAAATATAAATGATCCATTAGTAGCAGAGCATATAATATTTAGGAGTTGTTGTTCTTTAGGAGAAGAGTATGAGGATAAAATACTCTTCGAACATAAAAATGAATTCAATTAGGTTTCTATGACACTTTTAATGTGAATGTTCATCACATGTATTTCCAATATGAATTAAATACGGATTAATAGCTTTTTTTTAACTTGTAGGTGCGTTTTCAATTTGGGAAGGATGATTTTTTATTATTATTTTCTATTTCATCACAATGATAATAGTGTACTGGTTAAAAAGCAAATTTTGTAGAACATTCTAATAATAACAACATACTTTACAAAAATAACAAATAATCTAACAGAAATTAATTAAATCACTTATTAAAGACTAATTCTTCTCAGCTGCCATCTGCTCAAGAGCAGGTACAAGTTGTGGTAAGATTGTTGCAGGTGTCGGTGATCCGAGACAAATGAATGGAGACGGATGCTGATCCATTGTCTTGGAGTAATAAAACGACCTTTTCTGTGAGTTTGATATATCCTTTACCTCTGTTACGTTTGATGGCGACGCTGTATAAAATAAATATTTCTGTTCTGCAAGTCTTCCAAAGAGCACATATGGTGCTGTTGTCTTCTTTTGATCTATAATTCGAAGCACAACATCTGGCTCGCTATAGAATGTAATTCCAAACACTTCCATAATTGAAAAGATGGAGCAACGTGATAGGAAGTCTCTTGCATGGGCAATTCGATTATCAGCTATTGCACATACAGGAATAGCTCCGATGGCTGCTAAATCAGAGCAAGGTCTAACCCAATCCCAAGGTTTTGTAATTTTCGGCGAAATATTCATTGCTGCTTTAAGCTTGGATTGAATTGTTCTCTTTCCCACATTATTTATTCCTGTGATCACTATATCTAATTGAGATTTTTTCTCTTTAGCATTTTCTAGGTATTCTATGATAGGATCAATAGACTTTTCTGCGCATATAGCAAAAGTATGTGTAATAGTGTTGAAAAAATGAAACCATGATATAACTGACTCTCTTGGCGCCAAATCTATTTTGTTAATAACGATCAGAAGATGATCCCCAAGGAGTCCATCATATGGCGCATAGTGGCCAGATAGTGGAATTCGAGCGTCTACAACTAATAACACGAAATCTGCCGTATTAAAATTTTTTAGATTATCGATGTAGTTTTTGAATTCGATTTTTTCCATAGTTTCGGCAATCCTTCGTGCCTTATCTGTTTTGTCACCTCCTTTCCCTTTCTTTTTACTGGAACATTTATCAAAAAACATTTATCTGGAGATAATTTTTTTTAGCTTTTGTAAAGTAATTTTCCCCGCCAAAAATTGTGAAGTTTATTTTAGGTCAGTTATAATCCCGAGTTTTCAGATTTTGATTCCTTTTTCAGAATCACTCGAAACAATATATTTCGGATTTCATATTACTCACCCCGGTCTCGATAAATGTTTTCACAAGAAAAGTTAAAATCATAAAACCAATTGATTTCATAGCCACAACCATCTGAAGCATTAAGAATTGTCCAGCATCATCAGCAAGAGACCTCTTAAATATCAATTCTGGATCAAAATTTGTTTGGTAATTGAGCTAATAAGGCTTTAATTACCATAATAATATAAGAAATAAGTGTGCTGTTGGATGAGATATAGTAACGCACATGAAAGTTCATTATAATTTTATATTCGAGGAATTTTCAATTTTTATTCCGTTTTAGTACAAAAAATTGTGAATAATTCTATAGTTTACACGTAATATATTTTAAATAAAATTAGATTGCACCGAATCCTTCAGTGTTTTGCAAACAAATAAGCAAGTTATCTCTGAGTTTTTGTTCATCCTTATAATCTGGGAGAACAAACAATAAGTTGCAAGTATGAGATGAAGGGAATTTTGCAACTTCTCCTGAATATTCTATTGTTATTGGGACATTCTTAAGTCCACCAACAGGTGCAACCGTCAATGATGTAATAAATGTCAATAGATTTCGCTTTTGTTTCTCATCAAATTCTTCAAATATCTTCCAGAACATTTGGATGGTCTTTGAAGTTGGAGTATATTGTCCTGAGTACTTAACATTCCTCTTAAACTCGCTCCAATCAAATTTCTGGCTTCCACAAACTAATTCTTGTAATTCATCATAAGAAAGACACTTCAATGTCTCAGAAGCTTTCATCTTATCATTGTTTTCTACAACTTCTTTGAATCCTCGTTCGAAATATTGATAAGGAATTTCAATAGAAGTAATCATGTAGTATTCCATATACAATTGTATATATTCCTTATAGTTATCATTAGTTAATGCAATATCGCTGCCTCCTTTCTTTAATTCAATTGATTTTAGCGTTCCATCGATATCTTGAACGGAAACTTCGAAAGAAAGACCCCATTCCGCCCAGTCCCCATCAAATGTCTTGACTTGTTGAACGAAAGCTGGATCAATTTCAGCTAAATCGTCCAAAATCAGCTTCTTTCCAACCAATTTTTTGAAAAGTAAGGAAGGGAACTGGACATTGAGGTTATAGGAGTTAACAGCAGCCAATCCAACAATTGTTCCAACAAATTTGAAGTAGCCAGGATCACCTTTGAACATAATATTAAACCAATGATAAGAACCGTTCACAACAGTGAACATTGAGAAACTAGGATCGATCATTTGTTGAGATATTAATCCAAAGAACTCTCTTGAAAGTCCGCCATCGTCTTTTCCTGTTTCTCCTTCAAAATGAATTTTAATTGGAAGTTCAAATGGAAGAGATCTTGAATTCCTGAGTTGCATAAATGCATCTTCCAATATTTTATCACGGCGTACTCTGATATCTAAGTTCCTTCTTCCGAAATTTCCAACAATACTCTTCAAAACTCTTTCTTGCTCAATTGTTCTTGTTTTGAAGGTCAAACTAAGAATTGCTGGCATAATTATGTATGAAAAACTTGTTATGTTGATAAGTTCTGCTTCACAACGCGGGTCAAGCTTATCACAAAATTTTTCATTGTAAAATACATTGGAAGGAAGCGGAACATCGAAATTTAAGTTCGCGGTATAGAACATTTGCATGACAGCAGCTATTACATGCATACTTGTTGAGTGTGGATGCTCATCCGGATTATCAATAAGATATTTTCTTATAAAAGCATGAGTCGTCTCTAATATATGGGAAAGAAGTAAAGGATGGTTGGAAAGGGCTGCAAATAATACATAAATTTCGATCTGTTGAAAAGCTGCGACCGTATGATAAATATTTATGTAGTTTTTGCACGTATGAACGCCATAAAGTAAAAGAAGAAGTATGATACCTCTAATTTTCGTTAGAGAAGGTGGTTTTGCTAAAATCATGTCAATTAATTGAGGAAAATCTTTGTATTCACTCAGAATCTTGGGATTTCTTTTAATTCCTTTGTAAAAGTCATCGATCATGGAATCATCAAATAATAAGTTATTCGGAGTAATAATTCCATCATCTCCTAAAAGAATGTGACAGAATATATCTACGTGGGTAAATGATAACTGGATGTTATTTAAATCTTCATCGGATAGATGTTGTTGGCGTATAAGCTTTTGAAATGAAATTGCATCTTTTGCAAGAAATTCAATGTTTTTTGGATTGGTTAAAAGTGGACTAAGATGTTTGCATAGATGTTCTGAGTCATCTTCTGCTAGTTCTAGGGCAATGATTTGTAATTGTTTATCTCGATGTTCGAAATTTGGAGAAGAACGGCAATGTCTTGATGTGCAAGTTAGTGAATCACATCCAGATGTAAGTTGTGCTAAATACAATTGATAGTATTTGTCAATATTTGCATCACCTTCGTCAGACATGATTTTTTTGAAAAAAAAAACCAGCACTTTTTATTTGCGACTTCACAGAGGCAAATTTAGAATTGTTTACCAGGGAGTCGCTAACCAAATTTTAGTTGGATTCTCTAATAAAATATATCACTCTAACAGAAAACTTAAGAATTTCAGAAAGATTTGAGGAATCATAAAGAAATCTTTGTTTTTAACTTGTGATTTTAAGCAGTAGGGATACTACACAAATGTGTTTCAGTTCAATACTATTTATTGAACTCTGAGAAAGTTTATGAATTCAAAGATGTGTTGAGAAACGAATAAACATTATAAAAATGATCATTATTTGCTTCAAATCTGGAACAAGATAATAGTGCAATAGTTTTCGGCCGATTTAAATTTTTTAGCATAAAAAGTGACAAATTTTAAAATAAAAACGTGCAGAAAACTTTTATTTGAATGAGTCATCAATTTACAGATTCTCCAACAGAGGTAACAAATTTTGATAGAACAAGCAATGTAGCTTCAACTAAATCATCTCTTGTTACTGTTGAAGTTCAAACTGGCGAAGAATTCCTTCCAAAAAAAGTCGATCAAGTTACAACTACCGCAGATAATAGAACAGACGTTGCTACTGCAGCTCTTAAGTTAAAGCTTGAAACTGTCGAAGTAAATCCTCAAGAAATTCAGAAATTCCTCGCTAAAGTTACTCCAATTATGCTTAAAGAGCTACAACCAAATCCAGCATATCAATACTTAGAAAAAAGATCGAGTTCTGGAAAAATGGATGTTGTCAATCAAGTTGAAACTGATAGTCAATACACAGTTTCAGAAATTTGTTGCAATTGCACAGGAGCAACATATGCAGTTGCTCTTAAAATGCAGAATCACTATGGTTTTTGTCGTCATAGCTCCCAGCTCTTCTTAGTTCCTGCAGCTGGAGGACAGCCGAAGACATTTCCACTTGATTCTTGTGCAACAGCTCTTGCCTATCATCCTCACTATCCAGCTATCATTGCTATTGGTCACCATACCGGAGAAATTACAATTATCAAATCAGAAGAAGTTTGGGCAACAACAAAATTAGGCGAGCAACATACATCAGAAATTGTCTCATTAGATTGGATTACAGAAAGAAATACAGTTACGGCATTTGTCTCCGCTTCTCTTGATGGCCTTATTTGCGTCTGGACTCTTAAAGGACGTAATACAGCAACAAAAGTTCTCGAACGCGTCTCAACATCAAAAGTTTTCGATAAGAATGGTTCAATTACTTCACTTGCCGTCATTCCTGGCTCATGCGATGCTTACGTTGGCCTTTTCTCAGGCATGGTTGTAAGAATTCCACTTCCTTACGAATCAAACCTCATTGCACATGAAAGACAGTTCTACGAAGGCCATACGGGTCCTGTTCCTGCTATTGCCATCTGTCCTGTTGCCCCTGGTTTGTTCGTTTCCGCTGGTACTGATGAATCAATTCAATTAAGAAATGCTGTTTCACGCGCACCGCTTTATAACATCGACGCTGCTGGTGGCAGACCATTAACAGATATTAAATGGAGTCCTTTCTCCCCAAGTATATTCGCTGCAATTGCGGAAGACAAATTAGTCATTGTAGACCTCGCAGTTTCTACTTCTATACCTGTAGCAACACTTGATATACAGGGAGCTCATAAAGTTGCTTGGAACTTGTCCGTTCCAGGAACTTTGGCTGTAGGAACAAATGATGGAAAGGTTGCAATGGTACATTGCACTGATGGAACACTTGATCAGAAACCAGGTGCTAATATGGTTGTAGGCGAACTTGAAGCTCAGGCAAAGTTTGCTGAACAATAATTTAATTTATATCTTTTATTTTTGTTATAAAATATGAAATATCATACTACTTTTACTAAAATGTTTACTGACATTCATTAGAAAAGTCTCAAACTCGAAATGAAATTTGTTTTAAATTGTTTCCGTCTCATAAATTGAAATTATTCAAATTTTGAAAGCTTGACGGAAATAATTTTATAGAATAGCAATTCTAAACGTATAGATTCTTCAAAACAAATGTCTATTTCCCTCTATGAAAAGCAAGAAAAACTAGGAGAGGGATCATACGGCGTGGTTTACAGAGCTACTGATACTAGAGATAAATCAACTGTTGCTTTAAAAATACTAAAAATCGATAATTTGGAAGACGGAGTTCCATCAACATTACTTCGCGAAATATCTATCCTCAAAACACTTAACCATATTAATATAATCGGTCTTAAGGATGTGTGCACATCATCATTACCTATATTCTTAGCATTCGAATACATGGATTCGGATCTAAGAACTTTATTAAATCATATTAGGAGACCTTTGAAGGAAAGCATTATCAAATCATATGCATTCCAGCTAATTGCTGGAATAAATTTCATTCATTCCCATAGAATTATACATCGCGATATCAAACCTGATAATCTCTTACTAAGTAAGTCGGGTTTACTTAAAATATGTGATTTTGGTATGTCAAGATACTTTACAGTTCCAATGAGGCCATATACAAAGGGAGTTGTTACGCTTTGGTATAAAGCGCCTGAATTATTAGTTTCAACTCCATACGATTTATCAATCGATATGTGGAGTGTTGGATGTATCATCTATGAAATGGCTACTGGATCACCCTTATTTCCTGGAGATGGCCATATTGACCAACTCATGAAGATAATTAGCATTTTAGGAACTCCAACAGAAGATGCTTACCCAGGATTTTATAATAAAGTAAAGAATGAGCTTGGTTTCGATATGCCAAATGTTGAAAGAGTTGGTTTGGCCCGTGAATTCGGTGATAAGTGTGATTATGCAATGATTGATTTAATCGAAAAAGTTCTTGTATATGATCCAGCAAAGAGACTAAGTGCTAAAGATGCACTCAATCATCCATACTTCAATGACATATCAATTGACATGCGCCATGCATGTGTTGGAATTACCAACGATGATTAATAATATTATTGTTTGTTTTGTAAAATAATACTACTATTTAACAGTACTTTTCAAGTTCTCGTCAATCAAAATGATGATGTCTGAAGAATTTACAATAATTGGATTTGTTTATATTTCTTCCCAATATGGGTTCATGAAATTTATATTTTGTGAGTCAAAAATAATATAAACACTGAGAATAATGGCTTCATAATGTTATTTTCATGACGATTAATATTAGATCAAAGACACAAGAAAACAACTTAAGGATTTATTCTACACAATATTTATATGGATCTCATTACTTTGTTAGTCAAAATAATCAAAAAATTGTTTTGAAATATCAGCAAATAATTGAAAGAAACATTTGAAATATCGGTCAATAGATATAAATTTTTAATGACATTGCGGACTGTTATTCAAACTTTTTGATTCCCGATCGAATTTTTTGGAAAATCAAAACAAATTGAGAAGGAATATTCGAATTAACGGTGTCTGACTTTAAATGTTGATTATAATGCTTGAGTATATGATGTTTTACATAAAAATATTCGACCTTTTATCGTCCAACAAAAAACAGAAAAATGGATTGTAAACATTGACACTTTTTCCATTCGAAAGCAAACAAAGAATTATGAGTTGGATGCCAAAAAGCCCTCGAGGATCTCGAGAAGTATTGAAAGCAATTCATGTCACATTCTATCCACCAAAGCTTACCCTTGAAATCGAACAGAATGGCGAAATCGCAAACCACGAACTCGATTTACAATCTCTTGATTCCACTACAAACTTAGAGACGCTTGCCGACCAAATCATCGCAGAAGAATCTAGTCTTAAGCCCAAACACAGGGCCAAGCTTATTCAAACTCTAGAGTCAATGGTTAAGATGCAAGGAATAGAATACAACACATATGTTTTAGCAAGAATTATCAAGGCTCACGAGATGCCTCTTACAGATTGCTGTTTCAACAAGATGGGTGGGCTCTTCGCCACAGCATCTAACGATAAAACGTGCCGCATCTGGGATACGCTCAGTGGCAAAGAGCTTCACTGCTTAATGGGCCACAAGCAGACAGTCAACGTCTGCTGCTTCAATAACCCAATTGGCGACCTTCTTGGCACAGGATCCGCGGATAAAACGAGCAAAATCTGGAAAGTAGGAACAGGTGAATGCCTTTACACATTTACAGGCCATACAGATCAAGTTATCAATATCAAGTTCGAAAACGAAACAAAAACTTTTGCATCTTCATCATCTGACCATACCGTTCGTTTATACGATTTAACGACAGGCCAATTCCATACCGAGCTTCTTGGCCATACAGACATCGTCCCGCATATCGAGTTTTCCAACGACGGCGAGATAATTCTTACAGGATCGTTCGATAACACGGTCAAGCTCTGGGATATCCGTTCCGGCAGCGAGATCTCCTCCCTCAACGGCCATACCGACGATATCTTCGCCGCCCACTTCGACTTCCCGTGCAACAAAGTCCTTTCCGCCTCCCAAGATGGCACAGCACTTATTTGGGACTTGAGGACGAACCAGGCCATCGCTATCATGGACGGACACGGCGGCGGCTGCACAGATGCATGCTGGTCGGCCGACGGAAACTACATCGCGACTGGCGCAGGAGATGCCGTTGCAAGGATATGGGATATTGACGGAAAGAAGTTGTTTGACTGCAGAGGACACACAGGAGAAATAAACAGAGTCATGTTCAGTCCGCAGAGCACGAGATTGCTCACAGCATCAGTTGATAACTCGTGCAAACTCTGGGATACATCAACAGGCTTGTGCGTTGATACATTGAAGAGCCACACAAATGAAATTGTCTGTGCTGCATTCAACTACTCTGGAAAGTACATCATCACTGCTTCCCAAGATAATACAGTTATTCAATGGGAAGCTTCTATCACTGATCATCGTTGTTAATATAAAAATCTTATCCACACCATCAAAAAAACAAAAATTTTATTATCTTTCATTTTAAAAAAAGTCATGAAAACTTATATTTTCTTTTAGAGGTAAATGATATTATTTTTCTTTACTTTAATGGCTATCAACTTAACATATTGAAATGAATAGAAAAATGATATTATTCTCTTTGAATTTGAGCTTAACTTTAATGGCTATCAACTTAACATATTGAAATGAATAGAAAAATAATATTGTTTTCTTTGAATTTTCTTTACTTTAATGGCTATCAACTTAACATATTGAAATGAATAGAAAAATGATATTGTTTTCTTTAAATAAGAGCTTTACTTTAATGGCTATCAACTTGTAATATTATTTTTCTTCAAATGTGAACTTCTTCACTCGCTATTTACTTGATATTATTGTATGAATGATAAAATGGTATTATTTTATATAGAATGAACTTTACTTCGCTTGAATTTTGTTTCTCAATATAATATAAATAGAAAAATGATGTTATTCTTTAGAGGTGAATATTGGACCATCTTACTTTAATTAATATTTATGACAGCTGGCATCAAACATCGTTGAAAATTATTCTTAAATTACAAATGCATCATAAATGCGATAATATATTAAATGCATTTTTATACGAGAATTGTGCCACTTGATTGTATCTTCTTTACGAATGGGTCTACATCCGCTTTTCTACAACTTAAAACGATTATTATTTTCCAACTAATCAGTATTGGCAGTTTGGTACCATAAAGTTTATGATTGCTCCCTGAAGAATCTTCCATTTCGACTCTGAAAATATAATGATGGCAATTAAAAATTACTCTTTTCTATATATAAAGAATGAAAATGGATCAAAATGCTGAGTCCGAAGCAAAAAATTATTGAATTATTGCGTCAAAAAGAAGTTGTAAATATAAATGTTTATCTGCTATTTTCACATCAATCTATAATGATTTGTAATAAGCCATCGAACAAATGAAACATACATATGTCATTGAAGAAATATAACATATAAAAATGAATCAATACAGTAGGAAATTAGTAAAATTTTGCGATTTAAAAGTGACATTATTATAGCTGATGGGTATCCATTACGAAAAGCTCATGCCTCTATTCAAAGATTATAATGATACATTCAATGCTCTGTATCAGCTAAAAACAAACAGAGAAGAAGAATTAAATGAAATTGTAGATAAAATTAAAATTCATTTAATTAATACAAAATTATTTTCTCCATCAAATATTTGTATGAGTTTGTTCACTGTAATGATATTCAGAAATCGATATTTAAAATCATATTGGACAATTTTTAAAAAAATTTATGAGGAATACCATCCAATTCTTACTACTGAAACTTCATGAAGAAAACACTATTTATAAAGCAATTATGGATGATGATATAAAAACATTCATTTCATTCACAGAGAGAGAAGGATTTGATATAAATCAAGAGCTGGAAAGTTATTTATATCCAGAATTCTATACCATTATGGATAATCCAGAATTTTCTCCAGTAAATCACTATTCATATCTTGAATTGTGCTGTTATCATGGTTCTGTCAAATGTTTTATGTTTTTGAGAGAAGAATTCAAATCAAAAGTCAACTATAACTGTCTTAAGTTTTCATTTTTGAGTGGAAATGCAGATATTATCAATGAATGTATGAAATATTATGATGGTTTTGGAAATTCCATGAGATATGCTATCATTTCTCACAATATTGATTTTATTACGTATTTGATGAATGAAAAACAATTTGGATGTTATTTTGCGCAAAGTACAATAACATCCAAGCATTTTTGGTCTATTTAGATCAAACGAACTGTATTGAGGAATGTTTTTGTTACTCACCTTTATTTCATTCACCAATTCTTATCAATTATCTAATCGAACATGGTGCAAATGGCGAATATGAATCAAACCGTTACAGGTATGCAATTTCATATGCAGCAACCTGTAGTCTAGATTCAGTAATGGAGTTAATTCTTTCAAAAAACTTGGCTGTAAATACGTTTGATGATATATATAGAACTCCCCTTCATTTTGCAGCGATATTCAATAACAAAGAAATTGCACAAATCCTCATTGCAAAGGAAGCATGTGTCAACTGTAGAGATAGATATGGGAAAATTCCTCTTCATTATTCTGCAGAGGGAAAGCATAATGACATTGCTGACCTACTTATATCAAACGGTTCAAAAATCAATCTCAAAGATAGGTATGGAAAAACTCCTCTCCACTATGCAGCTGAAGAAAATAATATTCAATTAGGAAACTTACTTATTGCACATCAAACTGACATAAATTCAAAAGATGAAACTGGAAAAACCGCTGCTCATATAGCTTCGGAATCAAATTTTTATGAGTTTGTAGAACTTCTTGTGGCCAATAAAGCAAACATCAATTTAATTGATAATAATCAAAAAATGCCTCTTCATTACGCTGTTAAAAATAATAATATTGAAATTGTTAAACTTCTGGTTTCCCATGGAGCAGATATTAATGCCAAAGATAATTTTGGATGGACTGTCATTCATGAAGCAGCTGGCAATAATTACATTGAAATCGCAAAATATCTTATAAAGTGCGGGGTAAACATCAATGCCAAAACTGAAAATGGGGATATCCCACTTGCTTTTACAATGGAAAATGATTATTCTGATATGGCTGCCCTTCTAATTTCAGATGGTTCAAATGTCAATGAAAAAAACAATGATGGAATTGGTTGTCTTCATTTTGCCGCAATTCGTAATAGAGTTGAAATATCAAAACTTCTCATTTCATCTGGTGCAGATATTAACTCAAAAGATAAATTTAAAAATACTGCTCTTCATTACGCTGTAGATGGCAATGCTAAAGAATCAGCAGAACTACTTATTTTACATGGAATAGATATTAATGCAAAAAGAATTTTGGATGAAACTGCCCTTCATTGTGCAATAATAAATAATAATAAAGATTTAGTAGAGCTTCTTATTTCAAAGGGCGCCAACGTCAATTTACAAGCAATTCCTCATATGACTCCTCTTTCCCTTTCACTTTTAACAAGTGATGAAGAAATTATTGATATTCTATTTGATGCTAATATTCGTCATTAAATTTTTTACGGAGGATTTCATTCGATTAATATGGTATCTCGTCGATCTAGGTAGCGTTGACCTCATCCAAAGTTTAAAAAAAGAAAAAGAAATAAAATTCAGCAATTAATTTGAACATAGGTTACACTTACCTAAGTATCATTATATAATTTTGTTTTCTTAATATTTACAGCATTTTTTACTTTTTTATCGGAATCAAAAAAATATTCTTAATTTTGAGCTAAAAACAAAGATTTTCTTATATCTTTCACCTACCAATTATCTTTGGATAAGTTTTTTATCTTTTGATCTGTAATAATTTGGAGAATAAAATTCACCAAATAATCACTACTCTGCTTATGTACTATATATGTATAGAAACTAGGCATCAAATTTTTTTTATTATTTGTTGCCATATAAGTGATCCTTTAATAGTTATCTTAAAACGTGATCCATCTGATAAATGAAAACTTGAGGAATCTTTTGCTTTCATTAGATATATTAAATCGTTGAATTTCAGAGAATATCATTTCAAATTTTTTATGCAGAGTTTTATGAGTTTACGCGATGTGAAGGAAATAATCAAAACAATACGAAAAACAGAACCAAAACAAATATTTAATAATATTATTTGTGCTGGTATTCTATTTGCCGTTCTACATTTAGTAATAATTAGATTCTTTCCAGATCCTTCGCCACATTCTGCATTTAAGAACGTTCCATTACCTTGGAATAGATCTATTGATACAAATAATGAATTTTATACGTATCTAACAAAAAAATTAAGATTCGGATATGAAAAGTTTTCTAAACATTGCAAAGATCATGACGAAATGATGATTAATCCTATAAAATGTATTGATTCTTATGGATTACATGCAACAATAGTTGAATCTTTAGAAACATTATACTTAATGAACCAAACAGATTTATACAATGAAGCCAGAAACTATATACGTTTAAATTTTGACTGTAATCAACTCGAATGGGTTAACAGGCATGAAATGTTTTCGCGATTAATCGGATCCTTCATAGGAATCTACTTATTAACGGCCGATGAAATGTATTTACATCATGCCCAGACATGTGCAATCAATGCTATAGCTATTGATTCCGATTTTAAATATCCTAAGCCATATCATAATTATAAAACGAAACAATTTAAAGAAAGAATGTGGGTAAACGGTACAGCACTTCAAGACATATCAGCTGGATTACCAGAAATTATTGCACTTTACCATATCACGAGAAATCCGTTATATTTAAATTATTATCAAAGTATTTTGAAAGCGTTACCACGTCAAAGAGGTGTATTCTACTATTCTATCTTAACCATTCCTCGTGGTCTTAATGGCACAGTTATGCGTCAATTGGATGGTTTTACTGCTCCTTTTTATCAAAATCTTGGAATTTCTCATTCATTATATCCAACGAATTTTAGTGCTTTTGCCATCAACAAAACAAAGGAAGTTATACAGTTATATCTTGGTAGCCATGATCCTGGACTTGTTCCTGTTTTAGATGGAGCATCGCGAATTACTTCCACAGATGTTGATTTCTTTTATAACTCGATCACGAGGCAATTTGAATTGGCAGAAAAATTCTATGAAGATTGTTCCGGAATATTAGGAGATAAAAGATTTGCTTTTGATGGAACATTCCTTGGTATTTTGATGCGAAAAGGATTAACAGAAAATGTAACTAAATGTATAAGAACTGTTCTTGATGAGCAACAAAGAGAAAATGGATTTACTGGAACAAAACATAAAACTAAAAGTGATGACAATCGACAATATTCTGATTTATTCGGGTATTGGATGAAAGTTGGTGCTTTGACGCTTGTTAATGATAAGAGAATTAGAAATAGTGTTCTAAATGATAGAGGCCATATTTTGTATTCTTCTGCTTTAATTCAAATCAAAAAAAGATCGATTCTTGAAACGTGTAATGTCAATTCATCGTTGTATGATCTATTTTGCGAAAAAATATAGAGATTTTGTTGTTATTTTATTTATACTATCTTATTGTTATATAAAAACCTTCTGTTTTTTATGAAATTTAAAACTTGAAAATTTTTTGATATAATTAAGTCAAAATATAATGAAAGAGCAATGAAAAAGTTTTGTAAAATGAAATGATTCGATATAAATACGTTGTGTTGTTATTACAATAATCGCTAATTTTTTTTATAGCTATGCAATTTTACAATTTCAATGATGAATATCGATGTGATTTCAATTTTTGAAATAACAATTAAGTAAATTTGTTCAAATAAACTAAGATTTTGGAATTCATGAATTAAAAGTTTAAAGATCAGAGTCAAATCATTAATCATTCGTCCAGCAATCTTTAAGTAACTAATTGGTGCATCTCAAAGTTCAAATATGATGTGAAAAGTTAAAATTGTTTTCAAAAAATATACTAGAGTCAAAATCTCGAGCACAAAAGTGACATTGAATACTTGTAAGTATTGAATTCCCATGTAAACTATTCATTTCTATCGTTTTTTGTAGTCCACATTTCCTCACTCTCGATTTTACTCATAAAAATATTAAAAAATCACTATACAATATATAAAATATATATTTATATGGTTAAAACAATGTTATTTTTGCGAGATTTCATCTGAAATTAAAATTAGGGATTTTTTGAATTTTGAACTAAAATTTGTGATTGGCAAATATTGAATAATCGATTGGAATATGAAAGAAATACTTTAAAATTGAATAGAATGTGCCGATAGAATTTTTCTCACAATTTTAAAAAGTTGTTCAAATCCTATTTTTGATTGAGTTTTTGCAATTGTTATATATCAAGTGACAAGCTAAAAATAAAATTTTTGTTGCACTACTATTTTTGCAACAATTTGTAAATTACGTGCATCCCTTGTATTCCAGTGATCAACATCGAGATTACATATTGTAAGAATCCTTTTGAAGTAGATCTCTATTTGAATTCAAATTCGGACAGTTTATTTCATGTTGCTTCGTGAGAATGTATATAATTTGCAATGTGAATATTATATAATTGATTCTGTATAAATAAGTAATTATGCTTTAGGAAACTGCTCGGCATTGCATGAGATCTAATCGAGGATGTTTTATTGTCGTCTGGAAAAGTGACAAAATTATTATTGTCGTCTAAAAAGGTGACAAATTATTATTGTCGTCTGGAAAAGTGACAAAATTATCATTGTCGTCTAAAAAATAGATTTTTCAAGCATGTTTCGGTACCTAAATAAAGGAAGAACATCAATTCCATCTATGTATATAGTATGCAAACACGCATGATATATGGAGTAGCTCTTTATCTGGCTAAAAATCCTATTATTTGAAAATTCGCATTGTCGTCTAAAACCGCCAGACGACAATAATAATACCCCGATCTAATCTTATAATAATTTTTTAGATATGTTGAAATATGTAATATTTAGCTTCAATATCATTTATTATGGTGTGTCTTTGCTGTTTTTTTGATATTGGATATCAATGACTCTTCTGTGAACGAAAAAATCATATAAATCATTAAATTCTAAACGTAAGCGAAACTCATTCAATTTATTATTAGAATCAAATCTATTTTAAAATTGAGCTATTCGTTAAATCACAAAAGGATACTTTATATTTTTAGTCAAAATATGTTGATAGGAGCTTATTGGCGCAATCTCATGTTCTTCCTGGAAGCAGCGCACAGACCAGTCAGAAGCGCTCCTTCCAGGACCAGAAAGACTAGAAGGGGCCCTGACCTTGAGAAAGGACCCCCTTCCAGGTCTTTCTCCAAGGAACATTGTGCCATTGTGGGAGACATGCAGAGGCAATGTCTCCCAGAATGATACATTGCGACCAACACGAGTGAATGGGACACTCTATTCTTTCAATTTTCTCATTAATATTTTATCTTTTTTTATTAGATCAATAAATAAACTCTTTTAATGTTCACAATTACATAAATCCATATGAATCAATTCGCTATTTATTTAGTCTCTAATTTTAATAGCTTTTTTGAATCTTGCAATCTAAATAATTAATATATGCAGGTCATTTTATTTTTTTTCTTAATTACATTATATATAATAATAGATTATATGTCCAAATCGAACAAATTGTGAATTTTTACTTTTGAATGGTATTCAAATTTACCCTCTCCTAAGAAAATGCCCCAACAATATGTTTTCTAATAACTTTTTATTTAAATATTAAAAATATTGTACTTTCGAAGTTGGATTTATAAACCCGAATCAAATATGATTTATCGTTTTCAAGGAGAAAACATGAAAATCATTATCAGAATTTTGAAAAGTTTACATATTACATTTTCTTTCAATATATCTCAACGTTCTTCATCAACTTAATCGTAATTATTAACAACTAAGGCAGAAAAGAGTTTCTTCTGAGATATCAATTTTTAAAATGATCGATTTTATTATTCAAAAAATTTTAATATGATAAAAGTATATGTAATAACGGAATACATTAATTTTTTGAAAGTAATCGCGACATGCATTCAATAAACAATATCATTTTGTGAAGTTTATTGCAAAGTATTTGAATTAAACTTTATTATGACACTTATTATGTTTGATTCAAAGAAGTTGTTTTATGTAAGTCCGATTTTATTTCAAATTCAAATGTATTCAATTAAGTTTTTTGTCGTTGGACGTTTTTATTTATAAAATTTCTTTCTCTACTATTTTAGAATAAAATGAATTGATTTTGAATTCAATTCAAACTATTAAAATGATTTTGTTCCTGATAAGTATTAGTATCCACAACTGCACACATGATCAATTCATGAAGAACATCCCCCGATATTCTGCAAAAGCGTATTCCAAGCGTTCACTTAAATCCCCGACCTGGGAAAACATTCGAATTACATTCGATTACCGCTATATGGATAAAACAATTGATGATGGTAAGACGTGTTATAGTTCAAGTTCTTGCTCTAGTGAAGATGTTCTCACAGATGCGAAAATAAATGTAGTAAAACAGACAATGGAGAATGTTAGGAATTTCCTTCAGAGATTATTGAAAGTAATTCCGAATACAAAACCAATAGATGTCCAAAATTTTGGAGGTGATACTAATTATCGTCTTCCATACCGAGTTACAAACACCGACTTATATATGGGCATCATGGTTAGGACATATGGTGTAAACGGTATAGTAGCAGAAGCTGGATCTAATGTTCATGATGATATATATTCTCGACCTTTAGCTGGAATCGTTTTGATTAATGCAAGAAAAATACCTGCAAGTGCACAAGATGAAAACTCTAATGATAATGAATTTTTCTATGTTTGTATCCATGAAATTTTCCATGCTCTGGGAATTGAAGGCGGTCAGTTTTATAACTATCATCCCTATGAATCAACAACTAGGCATAATCAAATAACCTGTTCATTTACGAAATACGGTAGGTATTTTAACTTCCTAGTTACACCATATGCTCACAATTTTGCAGTTAAACAATTTGGAGTCGAAACATTCCAAGGAGACGACGGAAGTTGCCCATCTGGTATCGAAATTGAAGATGCATGTGGTGGTGGAACTGCTGGCAGCCACTTAGAAGGAAGAGTATATATGACGGAGCTGATGACAGGCCAGACAATTCAAACAGAATCAGGATCTTTCAATAGATTAACTGATGCATCAATGGCAATTCTTCAAGATACCGGAAACTACAAAGTTGATTGGCGCATGGGTCAACCTCTTGTTTGGGGACATCCAGAATCAATTGATGGCAATCCTATCAAGGATTTCGCCCTCGGTCCACCACAAAGAGTATTTCCAGAACTCTACATTTGGAATGGAAACCAGAGAGATACTTTGCCTTATACCGGATTTGACTTTAAGTTTTGGGGCCCCGCCAAGCATGTCGGACCACCATCATGTCCCGGACACAGTTATTGCGATGCAAAATCATTCTATAATCCAAACAATTATATCACCATTAGTGATTCTGCTGTTTTCGATTATATGAAGTTTATTTACCCTAATAACGTCTGTCCAAGAGGAGAAGCTGCAATTCCTTCAACATATTACGGCCTTCAGTGCTCCACCTATCAATGCAATGGCTATGAAAGTTTTACTTATGATGTGAAAAAGGAAAGAGGATATTATAGACTTACATGTGACAAATCAAATGTGGGCCAAAGGCTTAATGCCGCAATTGATAGATATCATCCTAGAACTATTTGGTGTCCTGATCCAGAAAGATTTTGCAGAACAATGAAACTTTATGAGATGCATTTCAGAAACGATCCATTCCTTAATTATACAAAGCAACTTGTTGATGTTCCTCCTCCAGCAACACCCACACCTACACCTCAGACACCAACTCCAAACACTCCAACTCCACAGACACCAACACCAAAGACACCCACTCCACACACACCAACACCAAAGACACCAACACCAAATCTTCCAACTCAAAAGACTCAAATAGAAAGTAGTGTATCAACAGTTACAGAAGAACCTGACCCTACTATTAAGTCGGAAATTGAGTCAGGTAGCCCGGAAAAAGGAAACCCAGCAGTTGAAGAAGAGGATACTAAATCAAGTGATAAAGGAGGAGATAACAATGCAAGCTCTGGCAAAATATTTGGTGGCCTTAGCAAGAAGAACTGGATTATTATTGGTGCTGCTGCAGGTGGTGCCCTTCTTCTTATAATCATCATCGTTTCTGTTATTGCTGTTAAGAAACATAAAGCATCACAATCGGATAGCGATGATGAAATTCTTCATACTGACTTCCTCGTTTAATTTCATCAAGATTTATTTTCGGATTTCACTTAAACATTTTAAAATTTTCATTAATATATTCATTTTTCAATATAATTAAATTTACAAGTTTGTTGTTTCATTTATTTTATAAAAATAATCAAGACATAATAATTATCACCATGAAGTGAAGTCGTTCAACTTACATCTTCCACATTGGTATCCAATAAATGAAATAAACTATAATATAGTGTTAGTATATTCTAATGCGCTTCTGAAATCTTAAATCATGATAAATTTAAAATATGAGACGTAAAATCACCTTTCATTCATTTTATGTTTATACTATGCATCAGTTCTTAATTAATAATTGAATCTCGAATACAATGGAGAGCAAAATGAAAAAAAAAACTCTAAATTATTCCTTGAATTCAGGAAGAGGATTACAATATGCTATTTCTAATCAAATACATCGATCACATTCAAATATTGATCAGATAAAAATTTAAATTGTGCGGAAATCATGTTTTCGATATCATGGTACCCACAAACATAATAATCTAAGTAATTTCACCATATTTCAGTATTTTCATTATTAATAAATTTGATTTTGCTCAGATTACTTGAAAATTGCAATAAGAGCATCAATATATGCAATCTTCTATAATCATATATGAAAATTTAAAGGTAGTAACTGTGATGAAAAGAGAAATATAATTTGAAAAAATTAATAATAAAGTTATTTTTATATCTCGGATTAAAATGAATTTATATCATGTACCAAATGTTCATTTTATAATCCCGAATCAAAATAAGATTAAATTCTTACAGGCAAGAAAAAAAAACAACCACAAAAATTTGAATGGACTATCTCTTCAACGTTGTAAACAACTAAATCAAATTAATGGGAAATAAAAAAAAAAAAAAAAAAAAAAAAAAAAAAAAAAAGGTAGTGGGGCTTCCAGGCACTTCGTGCCTTCTAGCCCCGAAGATGTTTAGTAAAAAATGAGGTTTTTATTCGGAAAATTGTTAGTCTTCTGGTGTGAATTCGGAGGACTCTTCTTGGATTGAGTCTTGTGGTTCATCTTCTTGAGTAGAGTCTTCTTCTTCAACATCAAAGTCATCTGGTGTATCGAACTGAATGTATGAAAGCCAAATGTTGTATGTGTTTTCCAATTGGCTTTCAAACTTGAGATACATTCCATGCATGAGTGTTATTTCAGTTTCAACGTAGAGTTGCTGACGTGGCTTGAAGACATGCATGAGAATTGGTCCTCCAAATTCGTCCTTGAAAAACTTGCAGTAGCAAACATAAACTGAGATAGAGTCTCCTTCTTCAATGTCTTCTGCTTGGTTAACGAAATGAATAGCAATTTTGCGTACTTGAATTGTGTTGTTGTCTGAGTAAAATAATGGTTTGAACTTGGGATTGAGTGAGCTAAGACATTGCCATTTTGCTGTTTCTTGTCCGTACTCACGTTCTTCTTCGTCATCCTGATATCCATAACTCTTTAATTTGAATTCGACCCAAAACTGTTCGACTTTTTTTGCAGCTTTGGGTGGAAGACTTTCAATAAGCTGACATATAGTTCTGTCAACCATTATCTTTGTTATTGTTGGAAAATAGTTGACAATTGTGTCACCTAATTCGAATGGGTCAGGTGTTTCTTTTTGTAGTTTGGTAAAGTCTGCAAGAACTTTGTTGAGTTGTTCACAATATTCTTTGTTAAAAGTTGCAGGAACTCTTTCTTCTGGCTTTGAATTGAAGTATTCTTCAGACAATCTGAGTAGTATTTTGCGTAGTTCAGCGTTGCTGTGGTTCTTTGTAATACGGAGCTCGTTTGGTATTGTTTTTGGTAGTGAAAGTGGCTTTGGATTGAGCGAATTGTCTGTTCTGCTTGGAGAATGTGTAGATGCTGCAGTTTGATATTGAGGCTCTAAACCTGTGGGTGCTGAAAGTTTGCAAGCAATTTCTTCAGGTGAATTTGGAGCGAACACGCTAGCGAATGCCATTAGACAAAAAATAAACTGTTTTTTTTCGGACTACTCATAGAAAAGTTTAAAATAAACCGTTTTCGTCAACGGTAACCCCCTCTATTTTTTTATTTTATTTAATAGTTACCGTTGGAAAACCGTTCCATCTCAAATATTGAATGAACTATAAACGTTTTTTGTTTTCTATATATACTTTTTTGTCCAACGGTAAAACTTTTTACACAACGGTTTTTGAGAGTCGTCGCTGTTGACTTTTTTGTAGAACACTCAAAATAGTATAACTTTGTCCGGACAAGTAAGGGTCTATCGTCGCTACAGGAAAAGTTACAGGCGTTCCAAGGAAGTATACTTTGAGAAGCCTTTTCCCCTTATAGAATGAGATAGGACCGTTATTTTACAAAACTGACAACACTTTGACCGAGTAGTTTTTTGTGCTGAACAAAAAGTGTCATATAAACATCTGTCGAAAACCGCTTTTTAACTTCACTTAAAATGCCACGTAAGCTACGTAAGAATATACGTAAGAGGAAGAGAGCATTGAAACATCCAATAGTAAAACTGACACCACAACAACAGTTGCAACAACAAATGCTGAATGACCCCACTATGTTGCAACAAATGTCAAGCAATCCTATGCTTTTAAACCGAGTCATTGGTGCACAGAGTGGAGGTTTAAGAGCGGCACTTTTAGCGAAAATGGCAGGCTATGGTGGAGCTGCAGACGGAACAGCTTATAACCCTCAAAGTCAAATGAATTTGAGTTCACTCAAAAATCAAATAACAGATGTCAAAAAGTCAAACATAGACATACAGAAACAAATAAGTGAAAACGAAAAGAAACTAGAATATGACAGACACACAAAGAAACTCAATGAGTTAAACGTAGAGAAAAAGAAGAAAGAAGAACAACTGAAAGAACTAAGTACAGAGGAATATGCGAAAAAAGTGTCAGAAAAAGCAGCAGAAGTAGCAAAAATGGAACAAGATGTCATAAATTTGAAAAACCATACTACTCAATATAAAGTACTGAAAGATGAAGAGATAAAACAAAAAGCCCTGAAGACATATATGGATAGCGATGAGTATAAAAAAGAAGTTGAAGCAAATGTAAAGGCAGAAAAACTTTTACAGTTGCAAAACCAAACCGTACAGTATGAAAACTTAGCACAAGAAAGTAAAAATAACGACGCAGCCATGCAAAAGGCAATGAAAAGCGCAGAATATATAAAAGCTAACAATGACTGGTTAGATGCCCAAGCCAACGCTAAAGCAGCCCAGCTTATAGGGTCAATAAGGACAAAAATACAAGCGGATGAAGACAGTTCAAATGAAGCTTTAATGAATGCTGACTTTAAGAACGCCTTCGAAGCTCTTCATAGTAAGGTGAAACTAGTGAACGACTTCTCATCTGGAAAGAAACTGAAGTCTGAAGGTTTCGACAAAGAGTTAAGAGAAGTAGCACAAAATATGACGAAAATAACAGATGCAGCAACGAGACAGGCAGTTCAAAGTGCCTATGACTCCGTTAGAGCAACTGTTGTGGAAAGTCAAGAAAAAGAGTTACAACAGACCAAAAAAGACCTAGTAAATGCTTTCTTAAGAACGAAAAGTCAGGTAGGACATTATGCTGCAGATGGAACATATGTGCCAGCTGGTGGAACTTATATACCACCAAACCCTCCAAGAGAAGCACCTGCACCAGGACTACCTAACACATTTACATCGTCACATGGACACAGACACAGGCATGCACCAAAACCAGCACAACAACCACCTCCACAACCAGCACCACAACCAACAGTTCAAAACACTGCACCACAACAACCACAAACAGAGCAAGGACATAAAAGAAGTAGAGAACAAGGAAACCAAGAATTCTTAAAAATGCTTAAAGAAGAGTGTGGTTTCCCAGATACTGTTGACTTTAGTGACAGATATAAAGAAGCTATTGGAAAGTTCAAGGATGGAAATACTGACCCGAACCTATTTAGCTTTATGGCTCAGCACCAAAACGGATATAATCTCAAACCTGGAAAATACAAGCTCGCTAAGGGATATGATTTAATAGCATATCATCCAAATGACATGGATGAATTTACTCCGAGATATTTGATGTCAGAGCTAAATGACAATTCAACTTTCGTCATGAAACGCGTAAAAAATAGAGACGGAACGAAAGAACAAAAGCTTATGAATGCGGATGACGTAGATAGGGAAATTGTTGAAAACGGTCTCGGAATATATGAAATGCCAGCAGATGAGGTACAAGAAACTCCACAGGAAGAAATAGTTCAGATACAACCAGACATGGAAGAAATAGTTCAGCAACAACAGCTAGAAGAGCCTGAAGGAAACGAACAAGTCACTCCTTTGGAAACTAACCTCACAGAACTAGATGAAGATTTGGAACAGCCGAAAAATCTTGACCCTCAACAAGAGCATGAGGTGAATATGGAATATTTCCAAGAGTCTAAAAAAAATTCGGCTGACATAGTAGAAGAATATCGAAAAATGTTTGCCGACATACGAAAGACTCCAACACCAGATGAAAATATTCAGCATAGAATGGAAAACTGAAAAAAAATGTACACAAATACAACAACCCTTTTTACTTACGAGCATTTAACGTTCAATCTTCGGATGAACTCGGTGAAAATAAAAGGTTAAATTTCAAGAAAACATATAGAAATGAAACATTGTTTAAAGTTCATTCAGAACCTAACCAAGATGGAAACAAACCTACTTTTGTTTCTGCAGACGATGGAACTACAATGAGATGGGGTCATAAAGCTAACTCGGATAGGTGGTTCATAAACTTACAACCACAATTCCAAGAAGTTGTAGACGCAATGGAAGTCAATGGTGAACCAGATATAGCTGGTATTTTAAGCGCGGCTTTAATGCCATTGAAAGATATGAAAGATGCAGATATTTTGAACCAGTATGAAATGAACATGGCTGATGGAAATATAACACCTGACGTTCTAGAACATTTATCTCAAAGAACTACACAGAACCATAGAGATGGTATATTTGGTGAAGAGTTTAGAAAGAAAGTTAGGGAGAGAGAAGGAAGAGAACCTATTGTACATGACCTTGCAAACGAAAGTTTACAAAATGTCATAAAAACTTACTTTGCAGACAATGAACTGAGAAGGGATGAATATTTAAGAAAACTCAAATGGACAGTACCAAATGAAATGTTAGTATTGAAAAACATGTTCCTTGACAAAATAAAACCAACTACAGAAATAAATGACGCAAGACTGAAAGATTGGGTAAAAGCTTTCCCATTCACAAAAGATATAGTTGGTAACATGGAAAGAAAACCAGAATGGCTACAAAAACATATATTTGGAAACGAGCATATTCCATATGGACAGGCACTGTTTGAAGAGCTTGAACCGGAAACTCAGGAAAGAGTCATGCAAACAATACGCGAAGACTCAAATACAGACTATGACAAACTCTTTCTAGGATATAGGTTACCTGAGATGGGCGACCAGAGCCAAAAGGCAAAAAGGACATGGAAAATTTGCAACATACTAGATGAACATAATGCAAAGATGCAACAACTTCAAGCAGAGGGCAATGAAGGAAAAAGAAGAGTTAAAAACTCAGTCAGGAAGAAAGTAAAGCTTGGTCGGAGTGGGTTCTATTATGACATATAAATCCAACTATTCTATATTTTTACTCATATGAAATGTACGCCGCTCAGAATATAACGCCAACAGTTTTGGATGCTATGAATGGAAATGTTTCCGAATGGTATAACGAATGCGACAATGCCATTAGAAGGTCAGAAATAGTTCCTGGAACTTACGAATATACAACTGCTGTTTCTTATGGAAACGTAGGTGAGTTTGGAGAAGGTTCTTCAACAACAGTAGATATTGCTTGCGACAGGTTTCATATAATTTCTATTGACAACTCTTTCTTATACGTGGAACAAGACATTGAAATAAAACCTTCTGCCAAGTTGTCTGACAAGAAAGGTTGCAATGGAATTTTCTATGTCGGATACCAATATGCTCCAGAAGTTTTCATGGGATATAAGATATATTCTAACTCTGACTTAGTTCAAACAGTAACATGGGCAAACTATGAATGGTTCGCTTTGAGAAACTCAGTACAACCACAAGCTAGAGAACAAACAGACCAGTATGCCACCATTGAGAAAATAAGAAGACTTGACCCTAACGTTCCAGGAGTTTATGTTGACCTTTCTGGACAAACTGCAGCAGCAGTAACCAAAGTAAAATTGAAACTTAGAGTTCCTTTGTCATCTTTCCTCATCTTCAGGTTTTTAAGATACTTGCCAAACTGGGCAGGAAAAATTTCTATCGAACTTACTCCAAGCAAAAATAACTTAGTCATTGCACCAACACAAGACCCATTCACTCTTACTGTAGCTGGAACTGGTGGAGCCAAGTTCTGTGACTTTTGCAAAGACAAAGTTGACTTAGACTTTGGTTTCTCAAACCTCAACACTGAAGTAAACTACTACTTCAATGCTGCTGGAACTGCTTGGGACCCAGTTAAGTTCACATGCGAAAAGTTTGAATGCAAGAGAATAGAAAGCAGACTTGCAGTCTATATGTTGGACCCAGATATTTCAAATGCTTTAGCTGCCAAATATATTGCAGTTCCACTTATGTTCCCTATACACCAAATATCTGTCAAAGACTTTGCAGGTGAAGTTGGAAACCAAAGTGCTGACCCAGGTGCAAGAACAGATATTGCTTTAACAACTGCAATGAAACATGCAGATACTATGTTTGTACTGTTCAGACGAACTATAAATGACTATTCTTGTTTCTACAACCCTGGTATTAAATATCATATAAACATAGATGGCAAATACTATCCAAGAGAAGAATATTCCACAGTTGAGGATATGAGGTCATACAACTTGACATTAGATGCTATGAACTTTAACAACAACTTCACAACAACCATTAACCCTGAAATGCAAAGTTCTATTATGCCATATGTGAAAGTATGGACTCATACAGGAGCTCAAAACACTCAATATACAAATGGAGACCGTTCAAACTTTTGGCTTGGCATTCCATTTGCTGACTCAGAAGACTTTATGGGTGGTATTTCAACTGTTGGTACAGTTCAAATACAATATACTGGTGACAGAGACGGTCCAAATGAATTGAAAGCAAAGAAGTTTACAAAACCAATAGCACTTTTCACGGAAGATGCTCTTTTGAAGATTCGTTCGATGAAACCTGCTGGGGCTCCTCAGATTGGTATAACGACAGCTTCCATCGAGCAGATTTTGGCAGCAGGTCAGTAAGTTGTTCTTGAACTGACTTCTCTCCGTCAAATATTGACAGTACGCCAGTTTTGACATAAAATTGTATTATAAACTTACCTTTAGAAATATCGGTCAGTTTTGTTGTTATATTTTTGTCAACGTCAAGAACTTTCACCATTTCAGTTATACCAACTTTCTTTGCTTTATGAAAATATTTTGGTTCAGCAAAGACTGCTATTCTATAACATTTTCCATTGTTTGTGTAAAGAACTATTCTATCAATGAACTTGTATTGTTTGTGTGTGTAAACTTTGTTTTGCTTCAATTCGAAGAGATACTCAAATACGTCCATCTTTTTATTCTAAGTAAAATGTCATTTCCGAAAAATAGAAGCGTGAGTGTTTCAAAAGGTTTAATGGCGATGGCAGATGTGAAGTTAAATTCACCAACTCAAACAAACAGTCAAAGTGTTGTTGTCAATGTCAAAGAAAGAGATGTTGAAGTGGGGAAACCATACGAAGACCAAGATGGTATAACAATTGTTCCTGTAAAAGAACAACCAACATATCCTGAAGTTAGCAGAGACTTAAGTTCTGTTGCAGATATTCGAAACGACTACCAACAACTTAAAGACAAACTTAAAACTCAGGAGAAGATTTGTCAAGCTTTGGGTATAATGTTAAACTTGGTCGAACACAACCCTGTAAAAGTGAACTCATATGTCATTGCACCTCATGAAGTTTTGAAAGAACTATTGAAACTTTTGACAGAGGCAGACGATATAAACATCAAAGAAATAGAACCCGACATTGCTTGCTGTGGTGTTTCATACAATGTCATTGACAAGATATACGTTATGAAAGGAGGTGAAACGTTGAACTTAAAATATAGTTTCCCAGACGTCATAAAAATATTTGACGACCACAACATTTCATTAAAATTTAGTTGCTAAGTAAATGGCAGAAGACATAGTGGTTTATACTATTACGACTAAAAACCCTGAGTCATATAATTCTATAACAACAAACTTACAAAGTCCTCAAGGACGATATTGTAAACTGACCTTAAACACGATGACGACTAAAGCCTGTTTTGCTCTTTTGACACCAGAAGACTTTATTGTTGTGAATGGTAAAAAATACTCCTTTGAAGATACTTACTCAGATATACCACCAACAGGTTTTGTTGACTTATTTAATACTTTAAGGACGGATGTAACATGTGCTGCAACTAGAGCAGGTTTCATTATGTTTGGATGTCCGACTGAGTTTAGTATAAACGATATGAGCTATAATACAAAACTTATATCTGGTTTTTACTACCAACAGTTTCCTATAACAGGAAAAGGTGTCATACAAGGAATGTCTATTCCATTGACATTAAGTACACCTATTTTATATATTGTTTCAAACTTAGGTTCAAAGTGTTATTCGAATGTCGACAGAAACTACTATGACCAAAAGATACTTATGCGTATAAACAATACTTTCTCTGCTGGTTTGCCTATTGTTCATTCGAATGCAGAATTTTCAACCTTAGTGAACTCAAACACTTTGGCAAGTATAACGTTGACATTAGTTGACGCAAACTTTGTTCCTGTAAAACTTTTATGTCCTATGTATTTGTCAATGACGGCAGAAAGTTTCGAATTGGAAGATGCAACTGGTGAAAGTATTGTATTACAAGAACAACTTCAACAACAAATAGCTCAAGAACAACAAATGCAACAAATGGAACAAATGCAACAACAAGCTCAAGAATAAAAAAATATTTTTTTTTATTTTTATAAAAATGTACAGAATAGACGTTTCAGATTTTTATGACTTCCAAGCGTTCAGAAATATGTGTCCATTTAGAGACTATAACAAAGCAGTCGAGAATTTGAAACGTTTAGTCATTTATGTTGACTCTGCCCCAGAATGTTATGTCATGAAAGAATGGGATGTTGTCTTTAACAAACCAAGAGCAACAATAGTTTCAGAACAAGAATGTAGACAGAAACTTAAGAAAATAAAAGTCGTACAAGTTGGCATGAAGATGTTAGATGCTTGGGATATCTTATTGTCAAAGTTAGAAGATTTTTCAGTTCGAGGTATAAAGTTCTATACACCTTCTCCAAACTTCTATTCTATCTTCACTGGATATAAATACGAACAAGTAGAATGGAAAGAAAATATTATAGAAGCTTGGTTAGACCATGTCAAAGAAATTATATGCAATGGAAACGAAAAGGTTTATGAGTATATCTTATGTTGGTTTGCAAACATCTTACAACATCCAAGTGCTAAAAATGAAACTGCTCTCATTATAATTGGAAAACAAGGAACTGGTAAGAACACATTCTTTACAGATATCTTATGCAAACTGTTAGAAGGTTATTCGAACCCTAATATGACAAACATAGAAAACATCTGTGGCAAGTTTAACTCCTCAATAGAGAATATGAAACTTATAGTTTGCAATGAACTTCAAAGTATAGATACAACAAAAGTTTTAAACTCAGATGCTTTGAAGAGTCTTATAACAGATAAAGTTGGAGTTGTTGAAAGAAAATATAAAGACCAAAGAGTTTGTGAAAATGTTGCAAATTTCATTATGGTTTCAAACAACCTGTTCCGATGAAGTTAGAAAGTTCTGACAGAAGATATGTAGTTGTCAGAACGTCAGATTTCTCATATGCAAGATACAGAATATTTTGACGACTTAGCAGAAACTTTGACATCTGACTTTTACAACCACTTGTTCTCATATTTTATGACATTAGATATTTCTAAGTTCAATCCAAGACAAATTCCACATACCGAAGAAAGACAAACATTGTTAGAAGCAAACAAGAGTGTTATGAACTGTTATAGATGAGACTAACTTTGAGTGTTTAGATGAAAGGTCATTGTACGATGAATATAAACATATTGTCAAGAATATGGTTATATGACAGCGTCTAAACGAACATTCTTGGCAAATGTCAAAAATCTTTTAGATGTTCAGAACGGCGTATATACAAAGAAAAATTTTTATGAGTAAATTTAAAAAAAAATATTTTTTTATCCGATAGAAAAGATGACGAAATTCATCTCAGTAAATAAGTACATGACAGAAGTCAAAGAAGAACTAGACCCATTCGCTTATTTGAATGTTTACTTCTACCATTTTGAAAAGTCTACATTTGACAAAGTTTGGAACATCGAACCAGTTAAGTTTGCTATTGTGACTAAAAATGGTGCGAAATTGAAGACTTAGACATAGAAGGTTGTTACAGTCAAAGAAAATTTTGACAGAAAGGTTCTCAAAACTTAAAGAAGGCAAAGCATACAAACTTGTTATACCTTATGAACCAAAGAAACAGACGACTATGAATATTATGAGTCTAAGATAGTTGAAGTTCAAGGTAAGTTGGGTAAAAAGATTTTAGAGTCTAAGCCAGTGTTTGCCCTAAAGAGGAAGAGAACATTGACATTGACCCAGAAATGTTCTAAAAATAAAATTTTATTTTTACATGTCAAATTTCTTTTTCTCTGGAACTGGTTCAGGTTCTTTCTTCTCTTCTTCTACTTTCTTTTCTTTTTTTCTCTCTTCTTCTTCTTCTCTGGTGGAGTTATGTCAAATTTGGCGCAACCATATATGTAAAAGTTCTTTGTCCTTTAATAGCTCATCTATTCTGTTTTCTATTTCATCTTCAAGAACAGCGCATGTGTCTTCTTTGCATTCTAAGAACTTTTGTTGGACTTCATCTTTCCAATCGGCGTCATCTCTGTCAACAAGTCTGTCATTGACAAATTTTAAGACTGCTCTGTAATGTTTTATGGTTCTTGTCATATTCCAGAAACAGAACTTTAGAACAAATTCACCTTTCTTGTTTACACTATGTAAGATTTTATGGTCGACAGATGTTTTGCTGTCAAAAAGTTTGTCTCGAATATAGATAGCGAAATCGCTAGACATTTTCTAAAAGATAAAAATTTTTAATTTTTCTAAAAATATGTTAGAAAAAAAGTTTGCTGACATTGACAAGAAATTTGAGAATGTTTTAAACAAGAACAAGAGAAGTTAGAAAATGCTCAGATAAAACCCATACATGACAAGTTCCTATTTGCTCAAAATGGTATAACAGGTCTAATTGCACCACCTGGGTCGGGTAAGACTTTCACTTATCTTAAAATGGCTGCACAACAACAAGAACTAGATGAGAAGAACCCATTCTATGAGTTAGTTGTTATTTGTAGTACTTCTGGTCAATTTGACCAAACCGTCAATTCGTTCAAAGATATTATAAAGAAGTCTAAGTTAGTATGTATAAAAGACTCTGAGTTGTTAGATTGGATAAAGAAGTACCAAAGAAGAGTTTTGAAGTACAATGCTATAAATGAGTATATAAATTCGAAGTTTAAAGACCCAAATGAGGAAATGCAGAGAATATTAGAGAAGAAACACTTCAGAAACAAACAGAAAGAGATAGAATACATTTCGAAGAAATTGCAATCTTACGATTGGAAAACGTACCCTCATAGATGTCTTCTTATCTTAGATGACTTTGCTTCTCATCCTTTGTTAAAGAACAGAGAACAAGACATGTGTCGAATTCTTAAGAAGCTCAGACACTTTAACATCTCTGTTGTCATTTGTGTACAGACAGCAAAGAGTTTAAGTAAGGATGTTAAAAGAATACTTACTGATATCATACTTTTCCCTGGATTGTCCGAAGACGATTTCATGGAACTTATGAAAGAGTCCATGGCAGGTAAGTTTGACAGACATGAACTATGGGAGAAGTACAAAGTCATACAAGACCCTCATACTTCTTTCAGAATTCATATCTACGCAAACAAAGTTCAAATTGTAAAAAGTCAAGCTTGAAAAATAAAGAGTTTTGGCGACCAGGGTTTTTTCACTACTCGCTGTTCTTCTCTCGGTTTTTCGAGGGAAGCAAGCATATGAGGAAATTCATGAAATTTCATACGGAATTCAGCAAAAATATATTTTAGGTGAAGAGGTGAGATTTCACCTCTTTTTTCACCTGTTTTTTCACCTCAGTTATTTTATAAGCGTTTCACATGGTAAACGTTATTTTTTAAATTTTGTGAAAACTCAACGGTTTGACACAAGCCCTAAAAATTATTTTACTCAGAATTTTGTTGCTGAATTCAATAAAAATAATGTTTAGGTGAAGAGGTGAGATTTCACCTCTTTTTTCACCTCTTTTTTTCACCTGTTATTTTATAAGCGTTTTACATGAATTGTATGATGTATATTTGAAATCCTAAACAATTTCGTAGCTTCTATTTCTTCTGTCAGTACATCGAATGTTTTAACGATACCGAAAGTTTCTTTATACTTCTTCTTGACGTCAGATAGAAGGAAATCTTCTGCTGTTGGATAGTTTTTATTAAGAAATGTCAACATATCCATTTTATCTTCTGCTGGCTTTTCTGCTTCTTTCTTTAAGTCTGCATAGTCGTTTCTCATTCTTTCTATCTCTTTGACTGAGTAGTTATATTTCCTAATTGCTGCCTTACATTTTGAACATTGCGGGTTCATTTTGCGTTATATTCTGAAACCTTACCTGCTAAAACAACTAAGGCGTCAATTGCTCTCTTCATCTCGAACATAGCGGGTCTTATTTGTTCGTTCCATACCTTACCCCTACTATCTTTATCTCTTATTTCCCAAACACATTTTGCAACTAATGAAACAAAGTTGTCGTAGGTCTTAAATTCTTCGGATTTATATATGTCAGAGATGTTATATACCATGTCGCAATCTTTGTCCATGACTTTGTGGTTGCAATGAAATCCAAGGAATTCATAGTTTACCTTTCGTATGAACTTCTTTATTTCTACTGAGTCAGTTGGTTTCACTTCAATTTCGTCAAATTCGGGAATAGTGAGTTTTTGCTGCTGAATTTCAGGCAATTTGGGTAAATGGTCAATAATGTCCTGCATTTCATAAAGATACTGTTCATTTGTTTCATCCTGTGCGGTACAGTCTAAATTACTTGTTAAAAGTTCTTGCTTTATCTTCTGGATTTTTGTTTCGAAAGTATATGAAGAAGGAATGAAGTTTTTCATCTCTACTAACATAGATGTTGGATTCATAACTAACGAGTTTGGTGCTGTAGTTGCTAACATGTTCTTACAATAAAAATAAAAAAATATTTTTTTAAAAAAACCAACTTTATTTTTTATTTCGGGAAAATTCATGAGGTGAAAAAACAGGTGAAAAAAGAGGTGAAATCTCACCTCTTCACCTAAACATTATTTTGGGTCATTTACGCTCATTACGATGAAGTTTCGACAAAACATTTACGATGAAATCATGAAAATTCATGAGGTGAAAAAACAGGTGAAAAAAGAGGTGAAATCTCACCTCTTCACCTAAACATTATTTGGTGTAAATTTATGACAAAATTCAAATTGTAAAAAGTCAAGCTTGAAAAATCTAAGTGTTTAGTCTTAGGTAAGATGGTAGCTTCTTAAAGCATATGCCGTCCTTGAGTTTTTATGTACGTGAAGAAGAAGTACAATGAATTCAATTACGAGTACAATTGCAATGACAACTAAGGCAACTATTTTTTGTCTTTTGCCAGCAAGAGTACTTCTTCTCTTCCAATGGTTCGGCAGAACTATACTCACTCATGAGAAATGCCAAAACGGTTTAATAGAAAAAGTGTCATTTTTTCATGTCCGAAGACTCGAAGGTGCAACACTTCCAAAATACCGACGAACTCAGAAGAGCAGCATGGCAGTATCTTCTTGACAACTTCTTTGAGTTCTCCAGGTACACCTTGGAAAATGCTGAAGAACTCCGACACAGAGAATTTGGAGAAATTGCACTCCAATACTACATTGACAAACAAAGGGTAAACAAAGGGTAAAATAAGACTAAAAACTTAACGTTTAAAAAGTGACATTTTTAATGAGCTCCGAGTCACCGAGAAAACTTGGTCAGATGTTAGCAGCTTACTTCCCTGAGGAGGATGGAAGCGTTACATACGTAAGGTTCAAAAACAACGAACCTGGAATTGCGTACCAAATTCGCAATTACATGACCGTGGAAGAGTACGAAAGGTTCCTACAAGAGAAACCAGCTCTAAACAACTCAGAAAAGAAAGAATAAAAAGTTTAACTCGTAATTGTTTATTTTTTTACTTGTATGGGCAAGCTGCAAGAATGAAGTCGACTATCTCGGTCTTTGTTTTGACCAGTTGGACTGCTCTTGCGAGTACGTCTGTTTTACGGTCTCCAGCTGGTGTCTGACCTTCGTAATTGCGCATGTTCTTGAGAGCTCCAACTGTAAATGGTTGTAGGATGAAGAGTCTCTCAGACTGCTTGAGGTAGTCTTCACGGTCACGAACCGAATCTGTGGTACGAGTCGAATCGGTCGATTTGAGGGAAGAGACTGAAAGCCTGTCGTCTTCCATAGGGGCAGTAGCATAATCTTTGCGTAAGCGGTTCAGACCTTCTTCGAAGTCTTGGTCTCTCTTCGATTGGGATTGGAATTGTGGGGCAGGGTTTTGCATAAACATCCAAGGGTTGGGGAAGTAAGGCATAGGCTGAGGAGGGTAGTTCGGGAAGCCTTGTAGTGGAAATTGGTAGTAACCTTGAGGTGGAAATTGGTAGTAATTTGGTGGAGGGACTTGCTGGAACTGAGGTTGCTGAGGTGCAGGGGCTGGTGCTTTAGGTTCCTCTGGTTTGGGAATGGGCTCGGTTGGTGGTACGTCGGACATCTGTTTGTGGCTTAACCGTCGGAAGGAAAAACCTTTCCTGTCGGAAGGAAAAACCTTTCCTGTCGGAAGGAAAAACTTTTTCTGTCGGAAGGAAAAACTTTTTCTGTCGGAAGGAAAAACTTTTTCTGAAGTTTGACCAAAAAGTTCTCAATTTTCGAAAATTTGAATGGTTTACGGACGGACAACTGGAAGAGTTCTTCCTGTCGTCGGAAAAAATTTTTCCCTTTGTCCGGAAAAGTTTTTCCAGTTGTCGGGAAAATATTTTCCTGTCGGATGGAAGGACTCGGAATGCCAGAAGGATTTGACGAGGCAATTTACCTTATAGAGATAAATGAAGTTGTTAAGCAGTACTTGCGCAGGGTAATGAAGCCCAAGGTCAAGTTCACCGCTATTTCTGGAAGGGCTGTCTTGAATCTCGAGACTTCGACTGGAATTCCAATTCAAATACCAGACGGGACAGCCTACGATGGCATAAAGGACGCCAAAAGAGAAGCTCTTGTTAAGTTCCTAAACAAACGTCCTTGGATAAAAATACCAAACAAGGAGAACCCCCTACCCCATATGAAATTGGCAATTCAGTCTCTCCTTCACTTCTCGGGTCAGCCGTTCTACATAACCTGTGAAGGCGACATCCAACCAATTCAGTAAACCTTAACGTTTAACTTCACTTTTTTTATGTTTTTACTCACACTCGTACTCAACAGGTTTGTGTACAACTATTTCAACTGTGAACCTTGTATTGACCGGTCTTCCTGCAAATGCAAGTTCGGTCAATATACAATTTATGGTGGCAAGAAGGACAGTGGGGAATGTTATTCTGACATCTGTTTGTTGCGCTCGAGAGAGATTTGAAATTTCAGAGCCACCTCCCCCAAGAACTCCAACACCAACACTCAAGTTGCCAAAGACTCATGTGAAGAAGAAGCCTTCTGGTAAGTTTCTTATAGCCATATACATGGCACGCTTTGAGTAAAAACATTTTTTTCATTTTTTGAATGAAGCAAGTTAAATTCGTCCCACACCAATCTCAATGGACCGATGAAGAGTTTCAAGCCATGGTTGAAGGCGTTGAGAACGACATAGACGGCGAACTTGAAGGAGCTCAAACCACAATTGCAACCAAAATTGCAGAAGTCAAGGAACAATAGCTCCACTTAAAGCTACCAAAGCTACTCTTGACCTCATGGATACTTACCGTTTAGAAGTAAAGAGTGGAATAAGACAATTTAAAATTAAAACTTCTAAACTACGAAGCTATACTCCAAAAGTTAGCAGAAATGAGAAGACTTTACCAGAGCTACTTACATGTAAGGGACTTACCTTCATGCAGTCCGACCAAAGATGAATTTTCTGACATTGTCCCAATTTTGTCCGAAAGTCAGCTCAGATGTTTTGAACTGCTCCCAACATATCCAGAATATGAACGTTTGCCTGAACTCTTCCGCAATCTCAAAAAACGTTTTTTGGTTCTCATGTTCGAAACTTTTATCGGAAGAGACAACAAACGTTCAGAAAGAAGAACAAGATATTATTTTAAACTTGTTGTATGACTTAACCGTCATAACAAGCTTTTTGAAGTAAAACCGTCATTCTCAAACCACTTCATTTTTTCGATGTCCGAACAAGCACCGAAGCCAAACTCAATGGCAGATGTCCTTTCAATGTTGCCAGACAAGCGCCCAGTTCAAATTCAAATTTTGAATTTGAAAGCTCATCTGACAAACACCGTTAAGACTCTCCAAAGTAGTCTTATGGAAGAGATGAAGGGACTTAAAGGTGAGTTCCTCATGAACCAAGCTTCCAATGAGAAAGTCCTGAACGATTTGACGGAAACCTTGCGCATTTACGCGAGAGAGAACCGAGACCTTGCCAGACTCATCTACCGTTTCTTCGAAGAGATAGACGCCATCTGGAAGGTACTCGGAAAGGACAGAACCTCCAACACCGTAATTCGTGAACACAGAATTGAAGAAGGAATTGTCGAGGAAGAAGAGAAACACGAAGAAGAGGAAGAGGAAGAAGAGAAACACGAAGAAGAAGAGGAAGAAGAAGAAGTTCCTGAAGCCGCTACATGGGCAACCCTTGTTGCCGATGACACTTACGAAATTTCCCAACCCTACCCATACCAAATCCGCAACAAGGAGACAGGCAAGGTTCTTACCCCAGTCCTCAACAACTTGGGACACTTGAACCTTAACCTTCGGAATCGCGGTTCAATCTCCATGGGCAAGCTTGTCGCAATTCAATGGGTTCCAAATCCAGACAAGAAGACGAGGGTCAGACACATTGACGGTGACAAGCTCAACAACCGTAAGGAGAACCTCGAGTGGTTCTAAGAGTAAAAAAATTTTATTTTAGGGGGAAACCCCGAGTAAATTTAGGTGTTTAGTTCATTAAGTGGGTTAAATTAAGGTCAATTTGCAAAATTAGTTCCCGACCTTTGAATTGGACTCTTTCGTTCTCCCAGTTGCGTAGGAGGTCGTCCCAGAGAAGTTGGTAGAATTGCCAATCCAAGGACGATTTGTCCTCCCAGGCATTGAGGATGTACTGCTCGTAGAGTCTCATGACCTCTCCCTTGCACCAGACACCCTCTCCCTTGGAACGTAAGGCTTCTTCGAAGTGCTCGAATGCGATTGGCTGCGTGACCATCCGAAATGACACTTTTTGTCCGTTTGGTCAATGTTTGTGTCTCGTGCCATAGTCGACGAAAATACAGACAAACAGGTTATATATGAGTTTGAGACCAAGAATGGTGTAACTCGACCTGTCCGATTCAAATTCGAATAAAAATTTTTTATTTCATGCAATGTTTTATTTCTGTGCCGTCTTCAAGTATGCCCCAGTACTTACGCTTGGAGAGGACATGAACTTCGGTGAAAATTTTGTCCAATTTGAATTGACCCATCTTTTCACCGACCATTCCCATTTCAATGAGTTTGTTGTATCCTTCTTCGTTCGTCATGAGTGCGTCAATGTTCTCATAGTAAACCTTCACTTTGGATTTGACTTCGGAGAAGAATTTGTTGTAGTTGTCAAGGACTGCCTTTGCGAACTGAGGGTAGGACCAATGTTCGACAATAGGTTTTAATGTGGTTACTAAGCCACTTTGACCTTGAGTGAATTCGTACTTCAAAACAAAAGGGGAGAACCTTTCAACAAAGTTGTCGACCTTCTCATAATGTTTACTCTTCATCTCTTGAGGTTTCTTAATGGAATATCCCCATGTCGAATTCATAAGCAATTTGAGTGTCATTGCAAGTTTGGGGTTTGAAGCTTTCCTAATATCATACAGTTGTTGTATGACTTTTCCAACTGTATAGTTCCTTCCTGGGAACTCACCATCTTCGTTTGGGATTCCAGTCGGAATATATTGGACGAACCTCATGTATGCAGCGTTAAGGTCGACATAGTATATCTTTTCGTTTGAGTCGAACTTGTCGCAACCAATGGGTCCAGTTCGTGGAAATTCAAGTGAGTCTCTTATCTTCTGAGAAACTTCGCCTGCTATCTCATAAACATCGTCGAAGCAACCTGTTTCATATAAAACCTTCTGACCTAACTCCGATGCTCTCCAATACAATTTGACGTCAATTGGATGTCTCAATGGAAGTTTGTTTATAGCATCTTGAAGTTCTTGCAACCTCATTGGAAGTTCTTCTGGTTCAGGTTGGTATCCGAACAATCCAACTCCTTTTGGAACAGTGTACTTCTTTTGTGCTATAACTTTGTCTGGAACAACTTTTGGTCTTGCTAACAATGAAAAGTTTGTTTCGTCTTTTGGTACAAAAGTTTCTGTCAGCTTGTCATCTGGAATTGGTTCCAACAAACCTTTCTCGAAAAGAATGTTTACAGCTCTGACAATGTTGCACTTGCCTTTTCCGAACAATGGGTTTGTAAGACTTTCGTTCAACATGAAGTGGTTGTGGACAATTACAATCTTCAACCATGGTAAGTCTTTGTCAACAACATAGTCGTCATGTGAAGAACCTTTCTCAGTCGGAATGTTGACTCGGATATTGACATTTGCCAACGGTGCAATTTTTGACAATTGACCTCTGAGAATGTACCTTGTCTTCACACATGACTCAAGATACTTCATCTTCTCTTCTGTAACAAGACCAGAGTTCCTGAGACATGTAAGAATACAAGGTTCATTGACAATTGTTTCAATTGAATTGTAAATTCCATACCTTGTCAAGTCAATGTCAGACTTATTTATGAACGGGAAGTATCCAGCATGTTGTCTGACTGCTTGAGGGTTAGGTTGGTACCATTCGAACTTGACACTTGCAATTCCTTCAATTGCATTCAAAATGTCTGAGTCGGAGTCAACCATTTGTTCTCTCTTTGTAGTCTTGAAAGCGTCAAGAAGCATTGCAGCTGTTGTGACATTGCCATGTGCATAGTAAATGTGACCATCCAAATCTGTTATGGTCAATCTGAGATTGTATCCTTTCTTATTTCCGTCTTGTATGGCAGCAAGTACTCCCATGAAGCCTTCTTTGTTCTTTCCTTCGTCAAAGTTTACTGTAAAGGTTCGACCAGATGTAATTTGACTTCTAACTTCACGGTACTTTTCATATGCATATCTTGTTCTTTCCATGGGAGCATGTTTGTCTTCACCTTTTCCTTTTTTCCTTCTCAAAGGATGCAATTGTTCGTCATGTTTCCAATAGAATCTGGCAAAGCCGTCGTGTCCTTCAACTTGCGGTTCACTAACATTGAAAGGCATGTCCATAAGACGTTCTTCTTCTAACCTCTCTAGTCTGTTTGGATAATTGGCGCGCGCTGTTTCCAAATCCATTTCGTAGCGAAGACCAGACAATTTGTCATAGACTTTTATGGGTCTTCCCTTCCTATATTTAAAATTCTTCGAAACTTTCCAACCATATCTTTCTAACTCTGCTTTTATTCTAGCAGATTTTCTATCCATTCTATATGGGGGCATTTTTATAAAAATAAAAAAATATTTTTTTTCTTTACTTTACATAACCGCCTGCTGCCATAAGTCTTTGACGCCAACCCATACCAGCTAATGAAGGTTGACTTGGTTTAGTTTGAAACTAAACTTTGGTTTTGGTTTATCTTCAGTTTTTGGCTTCTTCTTCTATTGGTTTTTCGTCACTTTTCGGTTCCTCTGACTTTACCTCACCTGCAGGAACAGTTGTGTCGTCAACATCTTCATAAATATCATATGCCATTTGTTTTTGTTTTCCTTTCAACTTTTTGTGTTTGTTGTAAAGTTTAGAATATTTCGACTCTAAGTCAATGAGATGTTCTATAATGAACTGTTGGTCAGTGAAGTAAACTTTTCCATCTGTTGTCTCGAAAGCTCCTTCAGACTTCAATATTTTATTTGTGAGAGTCTGTTTCTTTTTTGAGATACTAGCCGTTCCATTTCTATGAAAAGTGACTTTATAGTTAGGGTTTGTATTTCCAGACCTGGCACTTTCTATTATTGAATTTTTCTCTTCATCTGTAAGTTCTTTGACAGGTTTTGACAATGGTTCTGAACTTTTTGTTTGTGGTGTCAAATCTACCGTTTCAACTTCTTCGGTCATTTCATCTCAGTAAAAAATTTTAGTTTGGTTTGTTTTCAACTGGTTGTTTGTTTTTTTAAGTCGGTCTAAAACTTCCTGAGGTATAGGAAGAACTTGACAAACACGTTGTGTAACTGCTGGAAGTCGACAAATCCATCTTGAACCCATTTGTCTCAATGCTGTATTGTTCATTTCATCTCAGTAAAAAACTTTACATTCCCCACGTTTGAGGCGGTTGAGGTTGGTTATTGTTTACCCACTGTTGTGCATGGTTATATCCTCTGTTAAAGAATCTTTCACCTTGGTCCATATAGTGTCCTGCTTGGTTATAGTAGTCATTTGCTTTGTTATAATAGTTTCCTGCTTGTCTTCCTACATTGTCCATCCATCCTTGAACTTTTCCTCTTGTTTCAGGATTTGGAATAAGATTTGCTGCATCTCGTGCTACATCCCAACCTTTCTGTACAGTTTGTATAATAGGTTGTGCTTTCTCTTTAAGTATACCTAATGTACTCAAAATCTTCCTTCCAACTCCAAATACACCTCTGGCTATTGTTCCCACTGCGGGCAAAAATCTGGATGCAACTCCTGCTAATGCGCCAAATAAACCCATTTCTTATAGGGTAAAAAATGACGAATCCAAACAAGGACCCCTATGTTTCTAAAGCGACAAAGAAAGCACTCATGATAAAAATCTTTAGTTCAACACCAAATGCTTGGTTTATGGATATCTTGGAAAACATTCCGAGGTATAGAGAAGATGGACCACCATACTGGCTAATATTTGTGGTCAAAACACAAGATACTGTGAAGCCATACCATTACAGTCCAAAAATATTTTAGATGTGAAAACTGCTTTGACAATATTCGTTGACAAATACCATCCAACAAAACTGACATCTGACTGTGAAAGTTCTTTCAAATCAGACGATATTAAAAACTATCTGCGTTCAAAAAATGTAAACCAATATTTCATTGTCGACCAAAACCATTCTGCTCTTGGTGTCATTGACAGTTGTATAAAAATCTTAAGAGACTTAAACCAACCACAAGGTGGTGAAGCAAATGAAATGTCATATGACGACAAATACAGACATTTCTCCATGGCAAAGATGAGACAAGTTTTAAATATTTACAATACCGTAAACAAAAAGGTTTGGGAAACCACTCCCCCGAAGAAATGAAAAACAACCCGACTTAGAGAAAGACTATATATTTAATAGTTTAGTCAAAAGAGACAAACAAGAAAGAATGCCAGGCTTCAAACTTAAGAAAGGTGACAAAGTAAAAATAGAAATACCTAAACGCGACCCATATGAAAATACTATTGACTATGACAACAATGGGAACTCGACAGGTACTCACGTTCGTGTTCGTAAAAATAGAAGAAAGTATACAAGAGAATATTATGAAGTTTTAGGCAAACATGGCAAAATGTACAGACTGCAAGCAGAAGATAAAACTACTATTGTCAGACCTCGTTTCAAACTTGTCAAAGTTCAAGGTGGTATACTTTCAAAGACAGTTCCTAACAAATATAAGACAACTCCTGACGAATATGCTAAAGAAGTTGAAAATGACGACTAAGCAATTCTATACCATGCGTAAACTGTCATGTAAGGTGGCATGTAGTCTTTACTTTGTCCCGTTGTTTGCGTATATCCTGAAACGAAATGTGTATGGTTTCCTTCTCCCTGAGTGTCACTCCAGTAACAATTTATAGCAAACTTAACGTCGTCTTTAACATCATATCCTTTACCTTTTGTCATTCCTGACCAATCCCAATATCTATGCTTATGCCAACCTGCTTGAGATGTACTTAAATCTATGTAGTGACTGTGTGCAGGTAAGTTTTCACCTGAAATCGTTTTACTTCCACCTGTTTCCTTTGAAGAGTTTGCACAATACAAAAACCTGTCGACTATTTGTTCCCATGCACCAACACCAAACGTTACTTGAGGACCTCTTGCATCCGTAGATGTATAAATAGAACCTACTGGGTTCATTAAATCAAACATATGAGATATTATAGGATTGTCTCTTTTGAACTTAAAATATAGTGCAACTATTTCAGGTTTCTTCTGGTTTGTGTTAGAATATTTTTTATAATATAATCTTATGTTTTCAGGGTAGGTAAAGTCTTGACTATAATATTTATTTCTGTCATCTTCATAATAGTATACTATTCTCGTTTTTTCTATTGCATTATATCTTTTATATCTATAAAAATCTAAATATAATGTTAGCTTTTGTTCATCTACATGTGGTGTTCTAACGTCATCTCCATAGTCATAATAATATGGTGCTGGAGCTGGGTCAGGCAATGTCATATCTGCCATTTCATAAACTCTTAAATATTTCTTTTGTTCGTCTCCATAGAAGTTTAAGTAGCAGTTGTTGTCTAATGGAACTTTAACTTGTGTACCATCGTTCTTTTTATAGCTTACATACATTTCATTGTTATTTTTCGGAATGAGTTTATACCGTGTACCATTTTCTAAGGACTGTACCAACTGCCATCTAAAATATTTATTTTCTTCATTGACAGAAAGGTCACCAACAATAGTCTCAATATTTTTTGTTCCAACTAAACTTTGGTATATTTCATTGACATATGTTTTATCTGCTTTATTTTCAAGGCTAACGTTTAAGTCTGTTATTTCAGAAGATGTATGTGTATGTCCAACGGCACTTTTACTGTTTAAGGTTTCTTGTAAGTTTGTAATATTTGCAATGGTATGTGTATGTCCAACGGCACTTTTACTGTTTAAGGTTTCTTGTAAGTTTGTAATATTTGCAATGGTATGTGTATGTCCAACGTCACTTTTACTGTTTAAGGTTTCTTGTAAGTTTGTAATATTTGCAATGGTATGTGTATGTCCAACGTCACTTTTCCTGTTTAAGGTTTCTTGTAAGTTTGTAATATTTGCAATGGTATGTATATGAGTCTTTTTAGAATATTCGTTTTCAGCTCTTGTCACTTCACTTGACATTTTATTGTCAACATATGTTTTGTCCGCTAGTTCAGGATGAGTATGTTCTTTCGTTGCATATGTTGCATCTGCTCTGTCATGTTCTTCTTGAACTTTTTCAATGACATACTCTTTGTCAGCTTTGTTGTCAACATCTGCTTTCAAAAGAAGTTCATCTATAGGTTTCTCGTTTAAAGTTCCTTTTGTTGGATTTACACAGACAGTATGGTTCTTACTGTCTTGAAACAGAAACTCGTCTGTCAATGGGTTTATCGTCAGTTTTAAGTTTCCTTCTTTCAATGACTCAGATATCTTAGAATAGTTTGAAAAGTTTGTTGTGTTCTTATTTAGAGCTTGCAAAATGAGTTGTCGGTTGTGTTTTATTTCTCTCATAGACGCTGTTTCTTTCGACATTTTTATTCTAGATAAAATATGCTTCCAATAGAAAAAGAAAATTCAAGAGTTGCTACAACTAAACCATTAGATGAACTTTTTACTAATGTCGGTCAAAAGTTTGAGACAGAGACCGTAAAGCATGAAGGCTATCGTTTTGACTACCCGTTAAGATGGTTAAGAGACCCATCCGTCACAAAAGCTGTTGGCTTTCGTAGAATGAAGTTCATTTCAGAAGCCATACATGGTTTCCCATTTACGGTCGCTTTTGAAATTCGATACTATAACAAAGAGAAACGTACGTATGAGAAATTTGAACAGGGAAAACTTTTACAAGTGAATTTGCTTGTAAACTTAGAAACAACTCTTCAAGCTTTTCAAGAAAAAATAAACGATATCTATCTCGAATATGCAAAACAGTACAACATTGACGAAGGAGAGTACCATCTCGATATTGTTTATGACAGGAAAAATGCAACTGTTAAAATCAATAGAATAGAAGACCTTGGAGAAGACGTTTATATTTCTACAAAATATAACAACTTGGCATGGTATAGATTTTTGAGGATGTTAAATCAGCCTGCAGAATATCCAGTACACCCGAACTTTTATGAAGTCGAAAACCCTAATGGAACATATGAAAATGTTTTCGACTCAGATGCTATTATAGTTCATGCTTCATTTTCTGGTGCACAAAACTCTTTTTTATGCTTGGCAAATGACTTTTACGAAAAACCTACAAAGCTATATGAACCACCGAGTGGAAGTATTTCAGACTTTCAAGTATGGTTTACTACAGATGGAAGAAAGAGAATAATTCCATTATACCATGCGTTTTACTTAGAACTTAGTTTCATATACAACTACTATCGAACGGTAAAAATATAATTTTTTAATACGGTTGAGGTGTTGGATTTGGTTGCCAACTAGACTGTGGTGCAGGTTCAGGCTGTTGTATAACAGGAGCTTGTTCTTCTGGTTCAGGGTCTTTAGGTATAATACCAACGAACTGACCTACTCTTTTACCAATATTTTTGACTCCGTTCCAAATTCCTCTTCCTACGGTTTTTATTCCATTCCATATACCTCTTCCAACTCTTCTGAAGAAGTTTCCAATACTACTGAAGAAACCCATTTTACTATATGTAAAAATCTAATGTCCGCCTAGTCTCTTACGTTTCCTGTTGAGTTCCATAGCATTCTTTAACTGGAGCTCATACATTCTGTTTCTCCTCTGGTAGAAAACATATTCTGGTCAACTCCTGTGTTCGCGTCATCTGCATAAAGTTGTTTATATCCCACTTCAGGGTTTGTATAAAACTCTTTCCATCTCATATTTGCATACCATGGTGGCAAACCTAACGCAGCGTCATTTGACATGGCAGTTTGCATTTGTACATCTGTTGGCACTTGACCATAGTTTGCCATTGCAGTTTGTATTCTAACTTCATTTGGAATATTCTCTGGGTTTGGTTGTCCAGGTTGCTGTGCATTCGCTAAGTTCTGTGCGTCCATTTAATATTAGATAAAAATATCTCTTACGAGTACATATACTGAACATTTGCAGGCATTGGTTCATCTTCATATTCTCTATATCTTTCTGCCACGTCAAATAAATAAATGACACAATGGAAAAACCTAAAACAAGTAGTCCTATTTCAAACCACATTTACTTACTAATAAAATTTCTTTGTTATGACACTTTCTCCAGTTTATAGGACCTCTCTCATATTCTATCTTGTCATATATAAACTCATAGTCATGTATGTCCTCTAACCATCTCATAACGGTTTCCAAACCACTTTTATCGGATGTAAAGTAAAAGCATGGATGGTTATGTAAAACGTCTAAAGTTTCTAAAGAGTCTCTCAAAGTCCAGTCTACTTGGTATTGAAAATCCCATGTGTTATAGAACGGCGGGTCCACTATAAAGAAAACATTTTCCTTGTCTTTATATTTTTCATACAAATCTGTCCAATGACATCTCACAAACTCTATACCCTCAATATATTTATCTATGTCCTCTTTGAAAACATTTGTATAGTTAAGATATAAAACTTTTGACATAAGTGTTTCAATGTCATGAACTCTTATAGCACCACTATATAATAGTCTAGCAGATATACTATCCCAGTCTATATATTCTGCTTTTTTCAAAACCTCTCTCACAATATTTTTCTTATCTAATGGTATACGTTCCATCTTACCTATAGGTATCTTTTCTTTTAACTCTTTCAATATATTGTTTGTGTCTGGAATATGTTTGAGACGGTCCATATAGTTGTCGAAGTCATTGCATATAATCTTTGAGTCTGGAAATATTATATGGCACAAATGGGATATATAGAAACTTCCACCGAACAAATCTACAAATGTTAGACCATTCGGTAGTTTCTTAAGTTCTCTCAATAGAATATCTTTACATCTACTCTTATTTCCAAAGAACGGTAACGGTGGTTTTGTAAAATTCATTTATATATAATAATAAAAATGTTTTTACCCGAAAAGTGACAGAAAAGTGACAAAACATGAAAACATATATAATTTGTGAAAAGCGACACATTATATAATGTTTTCGACCCAGAAGAAGGCTTCTTCCCAGAAGCAATGGAGGAAGAAGAAGAGTCCTCCGAATAAAAACTTCATTTATACTAAACATCAACATCAGGGCTAGAAGGCACGAAGTGCCTGGAAGCCCCACTACCTTTTTTTTTTTTTTTTTTTTTTTTTTTTTTTTTTTGAAATCATATCAGAAAATAGTTTCTGTATTAATTTTTTTGTTTTTGTTGCTTTCTGGAAAGTGTAATGCCTATTCAAATTTGTTACAAATTTGACATATTTGCTGAAAGAATTGAAATGGAAGTTATCGTATGATTAAGAATACATGTAAATAGTTTTTTATAATTAACATTATTCTACCGAAAATTGAACTTCGCATAATTTTCAAAAGAGAGATTGGATTTCTATTTCAATCAACTTGCAGGAGAAATTTGAGGAAAGTAAATTCCGTCCTCTCTCAAAAATATCGGTTTTGAAATAGAATTACCATTCAAATGTATTCAAAATTATTTTATGGTAAATAACAAGGTTGGTTCATTTTGCTTTACTCCATCTATTTTAATAAAAAGATTGAAATTATTCAAAAATTCTTATAATAATTCAAATTTTTTAAATGATTTTGTTCCTGATTAGCACCCAAATTCACAACTGTACGCATGATCAGTTTATGAAGAATACTCATTTATATTATGCAAAAGCATATTCCAAACGTTCACTTAAAGCTCCAACCTGGGAAAACATTAGAATCAATTTCGATTACCGCTACATGGATGGAACTATAAATGATGGAATGACATGCACATATTCAGGGCAGTCAGTTTCATATGGTGGCTATCGATATTCTTGTTCTTCTGATGATGTTCTCACTCCGGCCAAAATAACTGCTGCCAAACAAACAATGGAAAATGTAAGAAATTACCTTCAAAGATTACTTAAAGTAATACCTAATACAAAGCCAATAGATGCACGAAATTTTAATTCTGATACAAATTACAAACTTCCATACTCTGTAAATAACTATGACCTATACATGGGTATATTAGTTAGGCCATTTGGAGGTACAAACCCATTAGCACAAGCTGGATCCAATGTATTTGAATACACATACAATAGACCAATTGGAGGAGCTGTCTTTATTAATGGAAGATCAATTCCATCGTCCCCACAAGATGAAAACTCCGTTAATAATGAATTTTTCTATGTTTGCATCCACGAAATTTTCCATGCCCTCGGAATTTCATCTTATCATTTCAACAATTATCATCCATATGAAACATCTAACAGGCATAGCCAAATTACATGCACGATGAAGAAGTATGGAAGGACCTATAACTTCCTTGTTACACCATATGCACATAATTTTGCAGTTAAACAATTTGGAGTTCAAACATTCGTTGGTGACGATAAAACATGTCCTTCTGGTATCGAAATTGAAGATGGTGGCGGTGATGGAACAATCGGCAGCCACTTAGAAGGAAGAGTATATATGACTGACCTTATGACAGGTCAGACAATTCAAACAGAATCAGGACCTTTCAATAGATTAACTGATGCAGTAATGTCTGTTCTTCAAGATACCGGAAACTACAAAGTTGATTGGCGCATGGGTCAACCTCTTGTTTGGGGACATCCAGAATCTATTAATGACAATCCTATCAGAGACTTCGCTATTGGTCCACCTCAACAAGTTTTTCCAGAATATTACATATGGAAAGGAAATCAGAGAGATACTTTGCCCAATACTGGATTTGACTTCAAATTTACAGGTTCAGCTCATTCTTTCAGCCCACCTTCTTGCCCAGCAAACAATAAGTACTGCAATTCAAAGTCCTTCTACAATCCTAATTCATATGATGTAGTTGGTGAATCAGATATATATGATTTCATGCGGTACATTTTCCCTAATAATGTATGTCCAAGGAACCAAGCTGCAATTCCTTCCACGCTTTATAATTATGCATGCTCAACATATAAATGCAATGGATACGATAGTTTCACTTACGATTTGATTACAAGTACTAGCGGAGCAACAACAAAAATCACTTGTGATAGATCGAATGTAAACAGGAAAGTCGATTCTCGACTTTACATTTCTTCAACTAGTTATTATCCTAGAACTTACTGGTATCCTGATCCAGAAAGATTTTGCAGAACAATGAAGCTTTATGATATGCATTTCAGAAACGATCCATTCCTTAATTACACAAAGCAGCTCGTAGATGTTCCTCCGCCAGCAACACCCACACCCACTCCAAGAACTCCGACACCACAAACCCCAACACCAAGAACACCCACTCCAAAGACGCCAACGCCTAAGACACCAACACCAAAGACCCCAACTCCTAAAACACCAACACCAAAGACCCCAACTCCTAAGCTTCCAACACAAGTTATTCCAACGCCTGATCAACCAACCAAAGAAACAGAAACAAAGACAGAGGTTGAGGTAACAAACAAGCCAGAAGATTCAAAGCCAGCAATTGATGAGAAGGAATCTACATCAGGCGAGAAAGGAGGAGACAACAATGCAAACTCTGGTACGACAAAGGGTGGCCTTAGCAAGAAGAACTGGATTATTATTGGTGCTGCTGCAGGTGGTGCCCTTCTTCTTATCATCATCATCGTCTTTACTGTTATTGCTGTTAAGAAACACAAAGCAGCAGAAGCAGATAGTGATGATGATATCCTTCATACCAATTTCCTCGTTTAATTTCATTTTTATCAACATCTTATTTCACCCAACATTTTTTAAACATTACGCGATTTTATTAATATGGATATATTTATTTTACATTATTATTTTTAAATAGTGCATGATGTAAAGTATATTCTTGTTTATTATCAAATTTGAATTCATTATTGGTAGAAATAAGGAAGAATTTGTAAAAAATCAATAATCACATTATCACATGGATATAATATTGACTACTCAAAGATTTTCATGTAAAAAAAGATTGATTTCTAAAAATTTTATTTTTATAAACATTATTGTACAATTTATAAGACAAAGAATAAAACTATTGCATCAAAAATGGCAATTCTTGTAATGCATGAGAAATTCGATGCTTATTTGGCAAAAGTTATTGAATTTATCATGAAAAGTTATGGCCTTATCAAATTCCTGGTTTACAAAAGGAAATTCAATGATTTTTCTATATTAATATACAAAAAAAAACAAAAAAAATGAAAAATGAAAAATTTCAATGATGATGTCTATGATGATGACGATGGTGATGATGTCTGTGCTTCCTTCTTCTTTTTGCTGCTTCTTCATCTGATCCAGAAGCTGAACTTGAATCGGAAGATTCAGATTCCTTCAAAATTTTTTGTTTTCTTTCATCTACAGCGCGTTTTTGCTCCAGCAATATATTCCTTAATTTTGTTTCTTCATCATTTTGTTCTGGATTTTCCTTTTCTTCAACATTATTTTGCAAATCTTTTTCTTCTGATCCAGAGCTATAATCGGTATCATTTTCCAGTAGCATAATATTCGGTTGTGGTTGTGCCATCATCATTGCTATCTTAGCTTTAACACCTTCAACAAGATATTCCAAATTTATGACAGAAAAGAACTGTGTAACTATTTCTGCGTGTTCGATTGTATCTGTTAAAAAGATTCCGCTCGTTGCAGCTTCAATTTCTGGCTCTTTGAGCTTGTTTACCAGCCAAGATGTTGATGACATCTCTGCAGGCCCTTTTGCGAGCTCTTCGATTAAATATCTGATCATAAGTCTTTGTTCTGTGTTTGTGTCTTCAGCCGTTAACCTTATTATCGATAAAATTCCCCAACTTATTGAATCATGAGCCAAAAGATAGGCAAATAAACGAGCAAGGTTGATAATCTGGCTCTCTTTGTATGATTCGCAATTATTATATATCCTTCTGAAGTTCTCTTCTATCAGATTTTGTGTATCTGGATGGGCATTCATTAAATAACGAGGAATACTGGCTAAATTTCGATCGAATGTCTTGCTGTGGCCTATATATTCAATAAGCGTCTCAATAAGGATCTGTTTATGTGGTTTTATGAGAGTTTTCTTCTCCATATCTTTTGATCTTGTAAAAACTTTGTCATCTTCATTCAGAATCTTAATTAGCTTATGTGCGGCTTCACTACCTGTTGCTGTTGATGTAATTGTTAAGTAAATTGTCTTTTGGAACTCTAAATTTGCTGTTTTTTGTTTGTTTTCCGAAATTGCAACTTGTGTTGAGTCATCTTCATGTTGTTCTTCTTCAACAACATCTTCTTCGTGTTTGTCTTCTGTTTCTATGGTTTCTGGTTGAATTGGTTCTTGATTTTCCAAATTTTCTTGAACAATTTGTTGATTTTCTTCAAAATTATCGTCAATAACAGAACCAACAATATTTTCTATCTGTGTACTGTATGTATCATGAGCTCTATCGAATGCTTCATAGTCATATCCTTTGTATAAGTTGGAAGTTGGATCTTCCGTGATTTCTTCAATGAGAAAATCATTGAGAGGATCTCCGTATTCTTCTAAGGCGTTAAGTCTGTAAGGAATTCTCGAATATGAGTAGTAATCTTTGCTATATACGCGACCAGCCCATCCTTGAGCTCTCCAACGTGTCAATTTCTGTATCTCTGTGTCGTATTTAGGGTCTGCCATCCTTATTATTTGTGTAAATATGTTAGTAAACTCGTTCGGAATTTCTTGGTCCAAAATCGGAGCGCAAAGACGTAAAATCTCGATTACAATTGGCATGTATTTGTTTTTGAACCCAAGAAGTCCTAATAATAATGAAAAAATAATGTTTGGAGAAATTATATAAAATCTGTAGAGAGAAGTAAAGAAAATAGAAGCACATATGATTCCATTTTCGTCATTCTTTTTCATACTATTATTAAATTTGTATGAAACGTAGTTCAAAACGTTATATGAAACAGCTGGTAATTTCGAATGTATAATTGCGAGCAATGATGATGCAACCATTGAATTCTCTTTATTCTGAAATGCAAAATCATATAGAGTTCTGGCAAAGTATGGCCATGTCCATTGTAAATACGATTTTATCAGCATTTCTGAAGGGTCAATCAGGTCCTCTGCGTTTTGTACTTTCAGCTCCTTACTTAGTACTTTGCTAATATTAGATGTATATAATTCCCAGCGCTTTCGTGACTTATCTTTAGGATCCAAAATTTCAAATGTCAAAAAAAAAATCTCAGGAGTTTCTCTAAGTCAATATAATGAGTTTTTTTACTAATAACCGCACATGAACATATTATATATCTGCACAGATTTTGTTTAAGAGGTAATTGAATAAACAGACTAGCTTAATTCATAAATTAAATCTCAATAAAAGCTTATTTATTTTAAAGTCAGGTTGCTTATTATGTACACTTACGTAATTTATTGTGTGAAACTTACTCATGCTTAAATACTTTGTAAATATAAATCCTTTTATGAAGACAAATAATATATAACAAGAAAGATAAAGTTTTTTCATGAATTATGTAGTCGGTTTTAGATTGTAATATGGCATTCCAAACGGGAACCGCGGTTGGTTACCATGGATTTCCGTCACCGGTCACATTTTAAAGATTTTTAAAGCCTTATAAAAATATGCTTTGTAAATCATTTTTTGTAAATCGGCAAAAATTTGGTAATTTTCTTCAACTAATAAATCTGCGAATAGCATTTATAATACAAGAACAATCTTTTAAAATGCGTTTGATTCATTTTTGTATAATTTCATATAGGCACATATATTCTTCCGGGACTTTCCGTGATTTTACCGTAAAATCATTAGTTTACACCAATTTTTCCGTATTTTGAATAGTTTACTGCACTTTTTCCGTAAAATTGAGTTACGGGAATCCGCAAAATTTCCGGACCTCATTTTTCATAGAATATAATAATAATATTTGATAAAAAGATATATTATTTATATTTTTGATTTTTGAATTACGGAAAAAGTGAATTGTTAACTTGATTTTTTTATATGGTTAATTTTTCAAATGATATTATGAAGATCTAAAATATTAAAAGTAAAAAATTGAATTACGGAAAAAGTGAGGTCAAAAGTGAAATAAATTTGCAGAACAATTTTCATTGAAATAAGACATTGAGTATCACACTTTAGTGAATCAACATCTATAAGAATGAAGTGTTTTGAAGCTGAAATAATATTGAATAGAAATTAATTTTTTCTGAAATTTTGAATGAAATTATGGGAAATAAAAAAATTACTAAATATTGTATTCATACAAATATATTATTTTAAAGGAAAAATAGATGCTGATAGAAACGATGAAAAATTTTGAAAACTTTACAATTAATTTATGTTCGTTAACCACAGAGCTTGCAATCCAAAGCTCACGTTAGACTACAAGAGTCATGAAGTCTCATACTAAGGGATATCCAACATATATTTTAATAATCTAATGTTTGTGACAAATATTCAACATAAAATTAAGTTTTCGTTTCGTTACAAGGCATTCATACTTTGGAGATATCATATTTAATGTACAGAAAAGTTAATATTAAACAATACATGCTAAAGAATTAATAAATAAGATAATAAAATAAATTTATACGTAATTACTTTCATTTAATATGCTTTATGCTGTATAATATTGATTAAGAGGCATTAAAAGGTTCCATAGTCTGCTTTTATAGGCAAGATTTTTGATAAAAATTTAAAATTTTGAAAAATGATGAGAAAAGGAAAAAAAGGTAAATGAGAGCAAGAGGAGGGAAAAAAAAGAAAAAGAAAAGAAAGGGAAGGGAAAAATAAAAGAAAGAAGGACATATAAAAATTTAGATGCGCATTCTTAATGCCGAGGCGGCTTGCCGCCGAGGCGCGATTTTTTTAGGCCTCTACGGTAACCCGGCAATGTTTTTTTAAATCTTGTACAGCCCTAGATTGTAAAATATGTACTTTGTTATTTTGGAATTTTACTGAATTATTTATGTGTCCTGCTAAATTTCATAAACTCATAATGAAAATTAAGAGGTAAAATAGGAGAAAACAAGATGAACAGTTGATGTTTCGTATGTTGGGATGTTATTGATAAACCTTGAAATTCCAAATTTCTTCGAAATCCAAAGAAATGCCAACAAAACTGTAAAAGATTGAAATGAAAAATATTATTTCCAAGATTTTTTGAAAAATTTTCGAATTTTCAAATTTAAAATATTAAAAAACTCATTAATCTTCAAATATTTTCAAAATATAAAACTATCATTAGATTTTATTTTGATAATAATATCTATGTATTAAGCAAATATTGTTTAATATATTGTGAATTAGTTTTCAGATAAATTAATTGTGCTGTTTCTGAATTTTTAATCATAAATCATCCATGAACTAATATAAGGTGATCCATAAATCCAATAGTTGGCTCGTTTCACCAAATGTCAATTCGAAAAATCGGATCTCGGAAATATTTGATGGAATTTGGATAATTGTCCAGAGTAATAAATGATCTTATTTTTCGATAATTTGATTGAATTCAATAATCTGAAAAAAATTAACATTGAGAAACCTCATAGAAATAATTGAATCTAAGTCTCACCGAAATTTTTTTGTCAAATTTTTAATCAGAGAATGGAATATACAAGTGATTCTACTGTTAAAGACAGCCTTATGGGTAGAGTTTTACCCAATGATACAGCTGCAGAGCGTGAACTTAAGAAAGGCAATCTTTATTACATTTTTAAGTTCCTTATTGTGGCAATTTTCTGTTTTATCTTTTATAACACAGGCTCATCATGGATTGGAAGAATCATTAAGACAATTTATAAGTCAGACATTGATATTAACATTAGCCTTACTGCCAGAACAACATTAGCTTTAGCATTATGGTATGGATTACATTCTTTAATAACAGTTTGCAACAAAAACCTTACCGACTCATGGCAATTTATCTTCCACACATCATTCCTTTGGGCCCATACACTTGTTTTCATAGCAATCTGGGTCGGAATGTGGTTTATTCCAGATAAACTCTTCGATATTTACTTGGAAGTTGCAAAATTCATTTCAGGCTTCTACCTTCTTCTTCAGATCTTCTTCCTTGTTGATTGGTTCCATGAACTTAACGATAAATTCTATGATGAAAACAATATGAAAGTCATTATTATTTCTACAGTTATTTTCACCATCTCTGCTATTGTAGGATTTTCTTTAGAGTTCTACTTCTTCTGTCTCTCGGGTTGCGGCTTAGAAACAGGCATTGTTTCCACAAATCTTATTTTATGCATCTTAGTTTTCTTAGGAGCCATGTTTACAGAGCGCGGATCAATCTTTACAGCTTCCCTCGTTTGCTGCTACATTGCTTATCTCACAGCTGCTGGTTTAATGTGCCATACTTCACAGAGGCCAGGGAAATCCCCTGCTACTTGTTCCAGAATTTCACAGACAGCTTCCAACAACGTATTCAGAGTATTCTCATCATTGTTTACACTTGCTTGGATGACTTATTCTGCATTTTCAGCATCAAATTCAATTGATGCTTGCAAATGCAAAGAAGATGATCCAAATGATGACACACCAAAGTTCTCACTCTCTTTCTTCCATGGTGTTTATGCTCTCGCCGCTGTTTACTTGACAATGATTGTTACATCATGGGCAAGCGTCGGCGGAAACAACGAAACAGCATCTTGGACAACAGATAAAGGAAAGGTCGCAAGATGGGTCAACTTTGGAGCTTCTTGGGTCACATTGGCTCTTTATATCTTATCCCTCATCGCTCCTCTCATCTGCCCTGATAGAGATTTCGATTAAACCTTTTTACTCCACGCAAATTTTGAATAAACATTATCTTTTTATTTCTTATTCCAATTTAACGTAGCACATTTTTCTTGGTCCGTGCGGTTTTTTAATTCAATTTTTGAAAAGTGTGTTTGATTTTGATAAGAGAACGATATAAAACCGATTGTAAATTTTGTAGACTATTCAAAATTCCATAAATATTCATCATCTGCAATATTTCATATATAAGTGTTTTTATGGACAACTGTTTTAAATAATATCCAGGACCCTCAAGAAAATATGGGACCCAAAGAATGTGCAACGTTATTTATTTTTTAAATCTGATTTTTTTTTCTTATTCCAATTTATTTTTTTTGAACCAGCTTGCGATATTTGGAAGTGATGTCTGGTTCAGAAAAGCTGAAAATGTAAAATCAAAATGCCAATTGCTGTCAAAACAATTTGAATGCGGATATTTCTTAGTATAAATTATATTGTTACATCCATTAAGGGTTTCGTTTTGCTAAAATTATCACTTTTATAGCATATTTGTTTTTGGATGTTTTGCGAAACCAAAAAAAAACTATGATATACAATGTGTGTGTAAAGAAAATACTTTATTTACTAGTTAAAAAATCATTTGGTATTGATCAAGTTATTTTTTCTGGATAAGATATTATATGGATAATTGGATAGAAAATACAATTATATAATCTTGTACCTGGTTTAATTAAGCTAATTGTCATCAGAAACTGAGTAGGGGTAATTTTAGCTAAAAGTGACACGCATGTAAAAAGTGACACACCCGTGAAGGGTGTGATTACCGATCGGTAATTTCGACAGTTTAGAATTTAAAATTTTTTATGGAACTGTTGCGAGTTTCATAAAGAATTTAAGGAATATAAGCAAAGATTTGAATCAAAATCTTAGACCTAAGCCGCTCGATTCGCTCGCGGCTTCCGCGAATTACAGATCAGCAAAGATTTGAATCAAAATCTTCGAACTAAGCCGATCGCTTCGCTCGCGGCTTTCTTTATTATTTTAAATTTGCATATTTCCATCAAAAGTTCATAAGGTAAAAAATTTCGTTTATATTATTGCAAAATAAAATCTTCATTATTAAGATAAGTACCTTAATATGTACGTAAATTTTAATGAAATTTATACAACATTATAAAAATTTATGAATAAAAACTTGATATAAAATAACATTTTTATTTTTACTAAGAAAAAAAAAGGTTTTTGATAATAAATTTATTTTATTTCGAAAAAGTAGCAATAATCGTAAAAGGGTATTGATAGGCTTGCTAAAGTAACTAATTTTAGCTGTCAAATACTTTTGTATTTTGAAGTAAATTAGTATAAATTTGTTTTTACTTTTATTTCGAAAAAGTAACAATAATCGTAAAAGGGTATTGATAGGCTTGCTAAAGTAACTAATTTTAGCTGTCAAATACTTTTGTATTTTGAAGTAAATTAGTATAAATTTGATATTATTTTAACTCCCTTTGAAAACCTCAATTTTCTATACAGAGGGAACGGGAATAGCATCTAATATTCCCTGAGAATGGTTGCGCATTCTCAGTTCCCTCTATATTTCGAACGAAGCTCTCATCGGTATTTTTTTTAATACTAAACGTTTTTTTCCCTGTCACTTTTAGCTAAAATTTGGGTTTGCCATCAGAAACTGAGAGAGGGTCAAAGTTGCTATTTGTCACTTTTCCACAAGAATATAATGGGGAAAAAGTTATCATATAGTTGATCTCATTCACTGAGGTGAGAGATGCATGTAGTGTAATGGGATAAACGGTGGGATTGCTGCTCTAAGTCCTAGGTTCGAGACACATTGGCTTCATTTTTCTCTTTTTTATTGACGTAAACTATTCAATTTTTGTGTTCTCCATTCAAATTTCAGAATTTTTTTTGCAGATTTCACGCTACATTCGAAGTTACCTTTTGTAACAACCACCACTGCCTACGAAAGACGAAAGTGTGTCACGATTTCACCCGGAAATCCGACGGTTGTTTAAGAGTATGCACTTTTGTCACCTACTCTCAGAAACTTGTAATTTTTATGAATTTCAGATTTTCTTTTCATTACTGCTTTTCTTAATAGGTCAAGTTCTTATTTACGTTATAAAGTATGATATTTACAAATATCAAGTTATCATGTTTTTTGAGAAATTATGAGAAACAAACAAAAATGAAAAAGATAGGAATAGCAATGAATAGTGATGTGGGTATAGAAAATGTAAGAGATATGAATGCAAAGCAATCAGTATTTAGGATATTGACCATAGATTTCGAAAAAAAATGCTGCATATTGAGCGAAAACTATGATTATATTATAAGGCTGTCATTTAAAGCATAATGAAACTATTCCCTTTTCATTTTAATCGAATAAGATAGTAAAGATTTTTGAATTAGCTAGAAACTGATGAGATGTTTTCACAAATCAGATTTTTAATCTCTATAATGCATAATTCACTCAATATCTCAATTTTGATATTGCGAGATATTTTTGCTATCGGTTTCGCAATTTTGACACAATAGCAAGAGGGTTCTATAAGCATTATTATCAACGTAGAATCTGAATATCATATCAGAAAATGTCGCAAATCTGACATTTACCCGACCAAATAGCAAAAATAATTGAATACTTTTCGCCAAAACTTTAAAAATCGATAAAAATATGAAATATAGATATTAAAGAGACTTTTTATATAATATTCATAAAGATTTTCCAAAAATATGATACCGCAAAATTAAAAAAGTAACATCTTGAGTGGAGTCAAAGGTCGAAATTGCTAGCTAAATGTTTTTTTAGCGAAATTGCGTATTGTACGTTTTTTTCGCAAAACGAAACCCTTACATCCATCAATTCAAATTTTATTGGGTACAATTTTTAAATGAATTACAATATACTAAAGTTGCCTCAAAATCTCGATTGAAAGACATTGAATTTAGTTTTGAGAAGACTGTTTTTCATTTTGAGAATTATTAATTAGCATATAATTATAATCATATTGTATGAAGTTATCAATTCTCTTAAATTTTGAAAGCTTAAGAAATTTAAAAGCACAAACAAATATATATTATTAAAATCATGGTATCGATCAATTTGAAAAATTTTGAAATTTTGAATACGAATTTTAATGTAAACTTTAATAGTTGTAACAGAATAGGAAACATCACAGATGGCAACTTAGATTAATGAAAAGTTGGAATTTTTTCAATAAAATTTTATTCATGAAAAAAGATGCATGAAATACAATAATAGTAATATAGATACGTTATACAACATGTTAAATAAGTGATCACTATAAGCATAATAGCTTTAAACAAAATAATAATATCAAAATTTGTATCTGTAAGCAGCAAGAGTGTTATATCCTAATATTAGGTGTAACTACTTATTAGACAATGAATACAATATAATGCATTGATTAATAGGCTAAAGAAAAAAAATTATATCCTTCAATTTGGACAATCCGAAATTTTTCTTAATTAATTGAATTACATATACATTAATTTACAATTAAGTGATATCAGCGAGAAACTTATATGCACGTTTAACTTTATCAGATTTCAAATGAAAACATGGATTTCATTGCATGTTTTTCAATACTAGCTCCAGAAAAATGATACAAAGATGAATAAATAGTAATGTCCCTAAAATAAGGTACAAAACAAAAAATTATCAACAATATACTTAATTTCGGCTATTATGATAAAAAGTGAATATGTCAAAAACATTTATTCCATCATCTTGTTATCTGTACCTCACCACGGACTAATATGAAGAGAGATCAATTTCCAAAATTTTACCAAAAAGAGATTAGGCCTAATTTTTATGGCCAATCTTTATGATTTGTTATACAGATACTAGATCTACTACTCCCCAAAACAATTCATTTTTTGAATGGCCCCCTTTTTTAGGCCTTCATTTTATAAAAAATGCCAATATTATACGATTATTAATATATTTATTTTTTTGTTCTCAATAAAGGTATTCAAAAGTCAATATAAACCATTCAAAATTGAGAGGAAACTCATTGAGAGGCTCGGAATTCGAGTAGTGAGGAAGGGTAAATTTTAAGAGCCAAAATTTCAAATCCCCTCAATATTTCAAAGCCCTTCTACTTAGATTTTGTGACTACCTTATATATTAGATTTTGTTGTATATTGAAGGGTGTTCTTTCCTTCATGATCTTTTTCATTGATATTTGCACCATGTGAGATAAGAAGTTTAGCAATTTCTTTAAGATTATATTCTGCAGCATATTGAAGAGCAGCCATTCCATATTTATCTTTTTCATTGATATTTGCACCATATGAAATAAGAAGTTCAGCAATTTCTTTACTATTAAATTCTGCAGCATAATGAAGGGCAGTTTTTCCATCTTTATCTTTTTCATGTATATTTGCACCATGAGAAATAAGAAGTTCAGCAATTTCTTTACTATCATATTCTGTGGCATAATGAAGAGCGGTTTTTACATTTTCATTTTTTTCATTGATATTTATACCATGTGAAATAAGAAGTTCAGCAATTTCTTTACTATTAAATTTTGCAGCATAATGAAGTGCGGTTTTTCCAATGTAATCTTTCTCATTTATAATTGTGCCATATGAAATAAGAACTTCAGCAACTTCTTTACTATTAAATTTTGCAGCATAATGAAGAGCGATTTTTTCATCTTTATCTTTTTCATGTATATTTGCACCATATGAAATAAGAAGTTCAGCAATATCTTTACTATTAAATTCTGCAGCAAAATGAAGAGCAGCTTTTCCATATTTATTTGTTTCATTGATATAGGCACCAAGTGAAAGGAAGTATTCACAAAGGGGTGGAATATCAAACATTGCTGAATAAGGAAAACTTATGTTAACATCATTAGTTTGATCGTAATAAACTAAAAATGATTCAAGATTTTTATATTTTCCGCAAAAATATAAATCAATCTTTATATTGTACTCATTCATCAAGAATGTGACAAAATCAATGTTGTGTGAAGTTATTGCATATTCCATGCATTTTTCATAGGGCTTTTGATATTTTAAACATTCACTCATTATCTCTTTATTTCCTCCTAAAAATGAAAGATCTAGACATGATTGAGTTATTTCTGAGTTGAATTTCGATCTTAATAACTTGAAACAATCAGCAGCTCCATGGTAACAACATAATTCAAGTAATGAATATCCTTCATAATAAGAACAAACTGGATATAAATCGTGATTACGTCTTTGATTGTGATCGAATCCTTCCAATTCCGTGAAAGCAATGAATTTTTCTTTGTCATTTTTCATGATTGCTCGGTAAATTGTATTTTCTGAAAGAATATCTAAATTTTCAGTTTTGATTTTTTCGAAATTATCACATATGTTTAATTTAATTCCATATTCTTTATAAAACATGTAGTTGGAAATACTTTCCACACTGTGGACCTCTTTGACATGATAATCATCAGATATGAGTTTGGCAAGAATCAAATATGACTTTATATAGCGATTATTATATGGAATAATATTTAAAATATCTCTTACAATATTTTGAGGGAGATGTTTCTTTGAATCAATCAATTCTGTTTTGATCATTTTGTAAATCGAGTTTAATTCTTCTTCATTTTCCGTTTTCAGCTGATATAACTTAATATATGAATCAATGTAGTATTTATATATATTTCGCAATTCACTATATTTGCTTGGATGAATGACTTGTTCAGACATTAATAATTATTACAACATCTTTGAGGCACTATTATATACATATGTAAAACATTGAACTCTATTCGTAACCTGCTATGAAAAAAATCTTTACTACACATTCTAAATTATAATGATATTTTTATCTGACTCATTCTCTGACATATTTATACTATAATTTAAAATTCACAGCATTTCTTCTCGGAAATTACTAACTAATTATCATGTAAAATCTCAATGATTTAGAAATGTTTAAATTTAGAACTAAGTATATGCCAACATTTTATTCTCAGGGAGATTACCAAACATTTTCATGTCACAGATCTAAAATATAAATTTTTCAGATTTCTTGAAATTTCTCACCTACCATAAGAAGGAATTAATATTTTAAAACAGTTATGCGTACACCTTGCTCTATTTCAACAGAGAGAGGGCATCAGATATCGAGCTGTCGAATAAAATTCCGCGTAAAGTTTTCAAATAGAATTTATGTTCTTCTTTCGAGACGAAAACTCAAAGGATCTTTTGTTTGAAGCCGTATTTCTAGTTGAAAGAACGGATAAAGGAATTAGCGGATTTAACATGGTTTTTCCTGAAACTGATACTTTTTTGACTCATATTAAAGAACAAGTCAAAAGGCTTTCTTTTCCGTTAGTTGAAGACCAAGGTATAACATGGGACCCAGAAATGACAGTGAATCTTATTCCAAGTGAAAATATTCATTACTATCTTTACACAAAATATTATACTCAGCAAACCAAGTTTATAGCAGTAGCGATTTTATCAAGATATCATCACTTTAGACTTTTCAAATCATTATTCTCTACAATTACATCTCAAATTCCAAAAACATTTTATCAAGATTCTTCTAAGATCGAATTCGAAAAAACGACATACGAAATTAGGCCAAAGAAGCAAGTAAACGATTTGAACTTAAATATGGATGTATCTCCGCTTTCAGAAATCGCATATTTACAGTCCTATTTCTTGGCAAATTATCCACCTACTATAATTGGCAGTTTAATACCTCTTGTTTGCGCTGGATGCAGAATTTTTGTAGTTTCATCCAATACAACAAAGATTACTCAAACTGTTTTTGCGATCGCTTCATTTTTCTATCCAATCGTTGCAAATGACGTTTTCTATCCTCTCATAGCTCACCAGAACATAAGTACATTGAGCAAGTTACACGAAGGCGTCATTGGAATTCACTCCTTGACTTTCTTAGCAATACAAGACCGAATCCTTCAAGCTGACATTATATTCAACTTAGACGATGTTTACATTTCTAGTGGACAGCCTCCAAAGTTCAAATCTTGGCTGAATGTGCAAATTTCTGAATTTGCACAAACAGTTCGGAACGTTACTAAGAATTACGAACCAGCATTTCCTGCTTACAATATTAGATGCTTAATTACAGATTTCTTTACAAATTTCCTAGCAAAGATTTTGAATACCACAAAAGTTACAGAAACAATCATGATAGAACTCAAGAGATACTCAGGAAGTGGCAGTAATTTGGAAAACTACGTTGCAAAATCTCCAATCATCAAACAACTTTATAGATTAACAAGGGAGAAGAATAAACAAGTTCAAGACCTTATCTGGGATTTACCAATAGATGTCAGCTCTTATCAGCGTAATCTCGTACAGAAGAATGAAGAAACGCCAAAAGCTGGCATGCCTCAAACTCGTGATCCACAAAGAAGAGGTAAGAGTTTTATTTCTTTCCGTAAAAAATAGTTTTATTTATAGTTCGGTGCGTCAAAGTAAAAATTTTGTTATTTTATTTAATTTTTTAATCTTTTTTAAAACAACAGCTAATACATCTATATATACTCAATCCATATGTCAATGTTTTTCTACTCACGATCTTTAAAACGAAGATATTTGATCAAAATTAATTTGAAATATCAATCTTTGCGACCAAAAATTTGAAATTTATGATCTAATAAATAATGTCAATAATATTATATCACTACCAATGTAAATTTTAATCAGAATGAAATCTTTCGACATTCCTTCTTTTATTGCTGTTAATCCATCATTGAAATCAGATGGCTTTATTAAGTTTTCAAACAAGTACAATTCATTTGAATACACAGTGGACAAATCGAATCGCAAATTCAATGTTAATTATTACTTTGATTTTGGAAACATAAATATTGTGCATGCCAATCAATTCATGTCCATTAAACTCACACCATACATTCACGAAGATACAAAGTTTAACATTGCAATTGAAAACAACGGAGTTATGAAATTAAAATCAGATTTAACACAAAAGGTAAACTTCAAATCCAGCGTTTTATCAATTCAGGGCAGATATTCTCCCTATGAGTTGGCTATGGCTTTTGCATATACAATTTCTGGCAAAGATTATACTTTTACCGCAAGCTATGACAAAGAAATCAATGCCACATTGAAATACTATCGTCCACACTTCTCTACAGATACCAAATTCTCGATTTCTGATTTCAAGACTTCAACATTTTTCAAATTCAATATCTTCAGAGTCGGAATTAATCATGGTGTTGAAGAAGACGGCTTAATATTTGGTATGGCTCCTGAAAAAGTACATACATTTCTCAGACTTCATCCTGTAGTTGCAATTGACGCTGAAACTAAAAAGAAGATGATCACAACACAATGGAGTGCTCTATGCCAATACCAAGTTAAGCCAAATTTGAATTTAATTTGCAAAGTCAACCAAGATATTAAGCATCCAATTGTTGGTTTCACAACACCATCACTCAAGGCGTTTGCTCAATATGACCAGACATTCAAATATTCTTTTGAATTGTGTATCTAAACATTTTTTTTTAAATAATTTTTTTTTCCTAAATGAAATTTCAATATATATCAAACAATTAAGTATTTGTGTTAAAAGAGACAATAAATGAACATTTTAATAGAGATAAATAAATAAAATAAAATTATTCGTCTGATTCTGATGTAACTTCAGATGAATACTTAGAAGATCTCGAATCGCTATCATAACTCCTTCGTGGTTTGCTCTTAGGCGAGCTTAACGTAGCGCTTGATTTCAAAAATTGACGATGATTTTTAGCTTGCTCAGCCATTAGCTGATCAATACTCTTAAGGATTCTATCTGTTTCGGTTTTTTCACCTTTTTGTACTTTCCTCATGTGCTCTTCGAGTCGATTACGATTATCTTCAACTTCTGTGAGCATTTTTTCTGTCCTTTTACGAAGTCTTTCAGATTTACGTTTTTGATGTTCGTATTTCTCAAGAAGAACTTTATATTCAGTTGATTCAGTAGGATTAATTGCTTTGCGGCAAATTTCACCTGTCATATCAACAAGTAAAGCCCTCCTTTGTTCATCAGAATTCGGTAAAACTGGTGGATTTTCTGTTGTTTTTCCAATTAATTGAATTAATAAATCGAATGTAGTTCTCCATTTTTGAATTTCTGAATCTCCACCTTGATTTTCTGAATCATCCGGCGAATTTTTACGATGTCTGCTTTGATGAATACTGTCATAAGATTTATTTTTAGTTTTTTCTTCTCCGTAATCTAAATTTCTTGAGCCATGACGCACATGCTCACGCCTTTCAACGGAATGCATCCTATGCGCATGAACATACTTGTGCTCTCTTTGAACTTGACTCATCCTTTTATTGAAAACGGCAAAAAATGTAAACTTTGGCGCCAAAATCAGAGAACTGGGTATTTACGGGGCAATTTAATATGAAAAATCAAAAGCTAAGCAGATAAGCTATTTAAATACAAATTGCAAAACAAAATTCGTTTGTTAACTTCTTTTCTAACGCTCAAAAAATGCCGAAAACAAAGAGCTCTGCTAGCTCAACAAAACAAAAATCAGAATCAAAAAAGGAGCATGTAAGACGTTCAAAAGTAAAGGCAGAACCAGTTCCATGGGAGTCTGCCACAACTGGCTTAACTCTGGGCCAATTACCGAAAGATGCTGAAGGTGATATGATAATTTCAGCTTCAACAATGACAAATGAAAGATTAGAAGCTATTTTAGTATATTTTCAGAAAATTTATCTTCAGCAAACAGGTGAAAGAATGTCTAAAGATCAGCTTCGCTTTATTCGCGAAAAACTGAAAGCTCAAGAAGAACCTGTATCAGTTGCTTCATTCGTTTCAAGTACAATTGCAGAATTAACTGGAACAGCTACAACAACAATCGATCGTGTTGTCAAATCTCAGATTGATATTAATGGTGGAATGCCAAAACCTAGATCAGATATAGAAAATACTCTTTTCCCATGTAAAATTTGCAATAGACCAGTTTTATTATCTCAATTACCTTTCCACGAAGCCCTTTGCGTGAAAAATCAACCACCTGGTGCACCAGGATACACACCAGAGAATTAATTTAGAAGTTATCCAAAAATTTTATTTTATTCTCAGTGTAATGAATCATCTATGATCCATATACATTTGAAATACTGTATTTCACGATTTTATAAACCTCGACTTTTTGTTTTTATAAAAATCATAATTCTGAAATTTTTTATTTGCAAGGATCAGGCATTTCGCCAATATAGTCTGGAATTTAAAACATGTTGCCTGTTTTGAGATTATTTTTCGTTACAGTTAACTCACGTGTTTACCGTAAATGATCGCATTCCGATTAGACTGACAACGCCAAAAACTATTCAGGAAAAATGAACTTGCCGAAAGACATTTATATCTACAATCTTTGCCATATTTGTAATAAGCGGTTTCGAAGTAGCGATTTTTTAACACGTAAGTAAAATTGAAAGGAAAAATCCGATAGGAATTGAGGGGGTGCAACTATCGTCAAAAATCTTTTGTGTTTTTTTAGATTTTCTAATTATCCAAGATGACGGCTACTGTTCTCAAATTTGAGGATGTGCAGCCGTTTGTTCCATCATTAGACGAAATAGAATCTGATTTTGCAAGAAATTATGCAAAAGATAGAATTTTAAAGAACTACCAGAATTATGTAAAGCAAATAAATAATAACTACAACGACTTAATTTGTGTGTGGCCCGAAGCACAACCTATTAATTTGTTTTTCGGACTAATTGACTCAGCAGATATCGCCCAACTTAAGGAAAATTTAGCAAACAACTATCAATACAAAGAAAAAATCCTTGCAGAAACAGAAAAGAAACTACAAGAAATAGGAAGATTAGACAATTCTTCTTCAAATTCAACGTTACTTTTTCAAGAAGATCAGCAAATAGATGATATAATATCTGGATGGGCACCAGAAACCAGAGAAAAGTTTATTTCCCTCTATACCGATTTTTGGAATGACGTATCGAACGAAGAATTTGCAAGAAAAGTCGGATACTCAGTAGATATATGCAAAAAGCTTGTTGAAAGATTATCTAAAGATGGCGAGCTTAACAAAGAAAAACCAAAGAAAATTGACAAAAAAGAATCAAAATACGTAAAAATTTCGCCGATAACAGGTATAACATTCATTAGGAATGGAAAGAAATATAGAATTGGTAAAGGACTTACTGATCCTAACGATAATCCACTCAATCCTTTACATGGAGTACCAGATCCTCTCACAGAGAAAGAAATGTGTTTCCCAATGATATGCCCGCAGTTTTACGTACTCGATAGATCAACATGGGCTAAGTCGATTTCAGAAAAACACGAACATCCTTATTTAAGAACTCACATGGGAACAAAACGTGATTTAATACCGTTAACTATTGATAATTTCAATGAATATAAGGACAAAATTAGAAATATTGACCTCGAAAAATATGGATTGAAATAAGTCTTATTCTATTGAATTTGTTAGTAATATTTGTCCAAAATTTTCATTTGTTATACCTTCTATTCGGGTATATTAGAATATTCTGCTATTTACTTATTAGAAAATACGTTCCCAACTTCTGGAAAACGGTTTTTCACCCTTATGATCAGTTTCAGACACTTTGGGAGTCTCCCAAACTTTGATATTTTGCATTATGATAGAGAAACGTGTCTAGTTTAACACACAGTTGTTTTAAAGGCAAATGATGATATCACATGAAATTATCAAATTATCAAATTTTGAAGTACCAGTCCAAAGGGTTAATTAGATCCTACACAGATGTGCGATAGTGAAACATATGTGTTCTTGATTTGAGAAGTCCTACTGATAGAGGTATGAATCTCACAGCTTTGTGTGAGTGTGTCTGACACTTGTATAGAGTGGAATATGCGCCGACATATATTATATAATAACATGTAGTTGATAATTATGAAAAAATAGAATTTGATGCGAATGATATTGAAAGTTGTTTTGTAATTTGATATTTTTCTTATATGTGTTAATTAGTAAATGGCTTGTTTGTTGTGATCGTACTGTGAAAAATGAAAGGTATTTTAAATTAAAAAAATGAGATTTTGAGATATCTCTAGAATTAAGAATTTATTATGTATTTGACTTTTATATAACTATGTGTAAAGGATCTCGATGTCTATATGCTTTAAATAAAATTAAATAAAATGAGATAAAAAATTAAAATGGACAAGAAGATATATGGAAATGTAATTTGTATTGTGTTGGTTGTTAGCAAAATGATTTTAATACAGATTTAAGGATTTGGAATGGATTTGAAATTAAATGAATTTAATTCAAGGAGTAATAAGATTTTGAACTAGTTTTTATTTTGTGAATGTAAACTCCTTCCATAGGATATGTATTAGAAAAATCAATGTCAAACTTTTTGAAAGAATTGTTTTTTTGTTGAGCGATTTTCTCATATTTAATAATATATTTAAGTTGGCGTATCTTACGCCCTTCCAAAAATATGTATTAGAAAGATGACTTATAATTTCATAAATTATTTTGTCCCGACGGTTTGAGCTGTTATCAGAATGGTTGCTTACACAATGCGTCAGCAAAATGTCGGTTAGGGTGCCCTTCTTGGCCTCCTGAGTACTCACCAAGATACCCCAGCTCCCGCAAAACACCTCCCTTAGGTGCGCATTACCTGACGGCATTATTTTGCAATTATTTCAAATTTTTTAGATGTCTTTTGTTAAAGTTTGTTAACTAAAGACTTGAAAACAGCTTACCGCTTCAAGCTGCTCTCTTCCCGGTTCCTCTGCCGCAATCTTCTGTTTGATTGTGCGCAAAGCTCTCCTCCTTGTGAACCATGGCTGATAGAAAGAACTGAAAGACAGGATAGGAGGAACATGCCGGTTCAAGTTAACTTGCAATATGCTTCTGATTAGTGATTTTAGATGAAAGATTAGCGAAATCGCATTTAATTTGGATAGAAGGATTCAATTTTATGAAGCAGGCTCGTAGAAAATATGCAGGAATAGCACAATCTTTTGCAATCACAACGCGATTGCAAAACTTCGACCGACAAGAGTGTATTGTGCACTCTTGTCGGTCTGCATGTCTCATTCCGGGAGACATTGTCACTGCATGTCTCCCAGAATGAGACAATCTTCCGCATTCATAACTTGAATGCGGAAGTTTGACCGACAAGAGTGCACAATACACTCTTGTCGATCTAAATGTATCTTACAATCAAAGACACTTTCATACAATCTTTTCGAAGTTAAAAAAAAAATTTAATTATTTCTTTCTTTTGTTTATTAAATCGCCTTACTCACGTACTAATCTCTTTTAGAGACTCTATCGAGCTATCCCCACATATAAACCTGTGACAATAATACATATTTACTCTCTTCATATTCTGATCTCATGACACATTATCGCAAAAACTATAATTATACAACACATCTCATAAAGTCTCATTTTAGCCCTATCTAAGCGTTCAAAACCTATTTTCCACACGTAATCTGATTCTTCTGGCTCCGCTGATTCGATTTCTGCTGTCAGATCGTGAAAATATGCATCACATAAAGAGATAAACACAACTCAAAATTATTGCTTTTTTTTTCAAATTGTCTATTCATCCATCTTTACATATTTATTATCTCCTCCGTTTCCCCTCACAAATTCTTTTAATTTTCTGAATAATACGTATAATAAAATGAATATCTCAAAAACTAAAACACAAAATTAATGTTGGAAAATGACTAGATATAATCTGAACTTTTGAATTCATACATTTTTGGAAAAAATTGAATTTTCAAAAAAAGAGCTTATTTAGGTATGAACCTGAAGAGAAATTTTAAGGAAAATATTAAGTTGTGCAATTTGCATTTATCTCTTTATGTGATGCATATTTTCACGATCTGACAGCAGAAATCGAATCAGCGGAGCCAGAAGAATCAGATTACGTGTGGAAAATAGGTTTTGAACGCTTAGATAGGGCTAAAATGAGACTTTATGAGATGTGTTGTATAATTATAGTTTTTGCGATAATGTGTCATGAGATCAGAATATGAAGAGAGTAAATATGTATTATTGTCACAGGTTTATATGTGGGGATAGCTCGATAGAGTCTCTAAAAGAGATTAGTACGTGAGTAAGGCGATTTAATAAACAAAAGAAAGAAATAATTAAATTTTTTTTTTAACTTCGAAAAGATTGTATGAAAGTGTCTTTGATTGTAAGATACATTTAGATCGACAAGAGTGTATTGTGCACTCTTGTCGGTCAAACTTCCGCATTCAAGTTATGAATGCGGAAGATTGTCTCATTCTGGGAGACATGCAGTGACAATGTCTCCCGGAATGAGACATGCAGACCGACAAGAGTGCACAATACACTCTTGTCGGTCAAACTTCCGCATTCAAGTTATGAATGCGGAAGATTGTCTCATTCTGGGAGACATGCAGTGACAATGTCTCCCGGAATGAGACATGCAGACCGACAAGAGTGCACAATACACTCTTGTCGGTCAAACTTCCGCATTCAAGTTATGAATGCGGAAGATTGTCTCATTCTGGGAGACATGCAGTGACAATGTCTCCCGGAATGAGACATGCAGACCGACAAGAGTGCACAATACACTCTTGTCGGTCAAACTTCCTAATACAAAATTTGATTCCCTTATTATCTTCTTAACAAAACTTAAGATTTCAATAATACATCATGAAAACATTCATTTACTACATTCACACTGTTATTCCTTTCTATAAATTAACTCATTTAATAGAATCTTGTTTTATATCTTATTATTTTCTCATAATACTTCTAATTCCTCTATTTCCTCTTCCACATAAAATTTAATTTTGTAATGCTATCATATACACTTAATGTTTTCAAATTTTCAGATTTAAATTTAATCTTTATTTTCATCATCATTTATAATCTTGTTCCTATATAAAGTTATAATAAATTATCGTCAGATTCTAATATTTATGATTCTTACTACTCAATTCAATATAATTATGTTAGTCACTCATATTCAGGAGAATAATTTAAAAATCTATAGCTCATATTTTGATAGTTATATATTTAGATGATATATATTGCAATTCCGGTTTCAACACGATCAAATGCCAAACCAAGACAAAATATATATGAATTTTCAAAATATCGATTTACATTAGAATCTATATCTAATTTTATCAATACACAAGTAGGGAATGTTCAATACATCTTTGAGCAACGTGAATAGCACAATTTTATAGGATTATTTGTTGATTATATAAAATATAAGCCAAATCGAATCTGCTGTATAGTACTTTAGTTTATCATTGAATGTTAAATGTGTTCAGATAAATATTTGAGTCAGATATCGCATTTTCTAATTTCAAAATTTATCTCATGAAGTTAGAATTTATTTGATCATACAACATCATGTTAGTCAAACTAGAGTTCAATGGCGATTCTAAAATTGAACAAATGCTTGTTTTATCAAAATGTTAAAATATTAATCTAAAAAACTTAATATCTAACCAAACCATTCTAGAATTATTATATACAGGTATAGGCAATCTAAATGCACACGGAATTCGGAAAATTAAAAAGAATATTTATGAGATTATTAAATCTTATGTAATTCAATGAAAAGTAGATAATATGAATATCTATAGGCTATATATCAACATATGAGTTTTTGGTTTGACCAATACTATACTAATGTGATCAAATTAATCTGATTTCTTAGATTTTCATTTGAAGCATTTGCAGTAGTAGGGGTACCTTTATATATTAACATATTAAAAAATTGCGCTCCGATTCGCAGTTTCTTCATGATTTTGAGATTGCATTAGATTTCGCGATGCAGAAAAAAATCACTTTAGATTCCCGTCAAACTCTAAGTATAAGCATGTCTCTATATGTAGAAACTGTCTGCGCTATTTATTTCCCGGCTCAAAAAACCACGGTGTCTGTGTGAGGAAAATACCCATTTTAGGACCCTGGGTAGGGGGTCATGAAAATTTTCCAAGAGTTGGAAATATAGGGTAATAAAACTTTGTATGTATTGTATTAACTTTTATCTTTTTTAGATAACCATTTATGATAATTTAGTTAAATGGTTGTTTTATTGAACGAATGATTTCAAATTGTAATTCAATCACATTTCAATGTAATATACAAAGTTATTTCTATTTATCAAACTCAATTTAGACACTCTGTTGCATAGGATTATCCCTAACATCTCATATAATTTAAATAAAAAAAATATTCAAAATAGCTGTGACACTTTTCACGGCTTATTCATAGGCCCGTAAAAAGTGTCACAACTATTTTTCTTTATTGAGAATCAAAATAACATAAGAAAAATTAAATGAATAGAAAATTTGATGCCAAAGCATAATTTGCTGCCTGTACGAGGAAGGATTTGCTGGATGATGATAAGACCGTTGCCTGAGTGGCCTGTTTCAATTTTACCTGATGGAGATTTAAATGCCTGATTTCCGCTTCGAAAAGTGACAGATGTAAGATCACTTCTGGCGAAGCTACTACCTCCACCTCCACCGCCTAAGTCAACGCCTCCACCACCACCATAATAACCACCTCCTCCACCTCCTGACGAAGCATCCCAACAAGTTCTTCCATTACCTCCATGCAAGAAGTATCCGGGTGATGAATCACAAATCGCTTGATTAAAACTAAAATGACTTCCAGACCCACCTTGACTTTGAGTTCCTCCTCCTGCATGTGCAGAATTATATTCAAGATCTTGACCAATTCCTCCGACGTAACCGCCATAACCGCCGGGGTTCTCTTTATGATACTGCCCTGAGCCACCACCAGAACCAGCAGCGATAAGGACGTCATTCTTATTGTCATTTACACTGATAAATGTTGATCCACCACCAGTGCATGAGCTATATCGTTCACGACCAATTTCATTAATTCCAGCTTGGAAAAAATTACTGGTGAGCTTTGTTGAGCTGCATTGGCCATGACTACCAACATAAATGTTGAGTTTTGTTTGATTTTTGACGTGAAAAACTGCTTCTGTGTATGCGCCCAGACCAGATCTCGCGTTGTTTACGAATCCACCTTGGGCACCCCATACCTGGATGAGATATTTTGATGGACTTAAGACAATATCTTGCTTTTCACCTGTATATTCAAATACGTAAAGGATATCTCAGAAGATTAAATTAAAAATGAAACAAAATTCTCTATTTTTCATAATTTATCACTTTCTCATGATATGATTAACATACATTATTGAGAAATCTTACATCAAAATGATATATGAATTTAGTAAATGAAATGGAATTATTTAAGCTAAGTTTATAATTATTCACTCCAAGTTTGCGTTAACACGAAGAAAAGTAAGTGCAGAACAATTCTTGAATAACTAAAATCATTCAGATGAGATTTACACCTTATATTTTTATTATAACAGATATAAAACTGATAAGAATTTATATATATAAGGGGACTAATAGCATAACCAGAGTACGAAACGTTACTTTGACAATTAGACAAAATAATTTTTCCTCCTCCTAATAGTAAAGTGGGTGAGGTATTTATAAAACAACTATCTATAATGGTTATTGTTGTATCGTAAATATAAAATAAATAATTATCGTGGGTTTTGTTTATAAAATTACATTTTAAAATCTTGTTGGATGTATAATACCATTCTAAGAAATTTCCATCTTGAATATCGACACATTGAATGAAAGACACTGCTGTGCCATCAGAAGGTCTCATAAGACTAATGCTTCCTGCTCCCCCAACACCAAAATTTTCTGTTGCATTCAAATTTTTGACAATTACAACAAGATTGGATAATGCACAAGCTGAATCGCCGCCATTTTGAGGATCAGGTCCACACTTATGCATTATATTCATTTCAAATTGCGAGGCACAATTTGGACCATACAAACAATTTCCAAAATTTGCATTTGTGTGATTTCTAACAAAACATGATTCAAAATTAGTATTTGATATACTATTATTTGAATAATTCAAATATATTGCCCCTCCATAACTTTTGGCTTGACAATTTGAAAACTCGCTGCAAAATATTTCAATTCCATTGTTTTGATAGTTAATTGCACCACCATCCCCAGTTGATGAGGAATTGGCGAACAAAGAACTAATCACATGAGCAGAGAACTCATCAAATGTCAAATAGAATCATCAAATTATAAAAAAATGACACTTTTAGATAAATAATTATTTTGCCTTTCTGCATATTTAGTGAATAGAATTAACCATAACACACACACAAAAAAAACATCTTTATTTTGAATCAAACAAAATAAAAATTAAGTATGGAGAAAATTCAATACCGAAACATGCCTTGCTGACTGTACGAGGAAGGATTTGCTGGATGATGATAAATCCGTTGCCTGAGTGGCCTGTTTCGATTTTACCTGATGGAGATTTGAAAGTTTCATTACCACTACGAAAAGTGACAGATGTAAGATCACCTCTCGCGAAGCTACTTCCTCCACCGCCACCTCCTAAGTCAACGCCACCACCACCACCATAATAACCACCTCCTCCACCTCCTGAAGCAGCAGACCAGCAACTTGCACCATCACCTCCACGTAAAAACGATCCAGGAAGAGAATCACATGAACTGTGGCCATTTTCAAAATGACTGCCGGAACCACCTTGATTCTGAGTTCCTCCTCCTGCATAATAGCTAAAATATTCTAGATCTAGACCAATACCTCCAATATAACCGCCATAACCGCCGGAGTTCTCTGTATGATACTGCCCTGAACCACCGCCGGAACCAGCAACGATAAGGACATCATTCTTGCTGTCATTTACACTGATAAATGTTGATCCACCACCAGTGCATGACTTATATTTATCCTCAAAAATATCATTAATTCCTGCTTGAAAAAAATTACTGGTGAGCTTTGTTGTGCTACATTGTCCATGGCTGCCAACATAAATGTTGAGTTTTGTTTGACTTTTGACGTGAAAAACTGCTTCTGTGAATGCACCTAAACCTGAGCTCAGATTGTTCATGCATCCACCTTGGGCACCCCATACCTGGATGAGATATTTTGATGGACTTAAGACAATATCTTGCTTTTCACCTGTATGTTCAAATACGTAAAGGATATCTCAGAAAATTAGATAAAAAATGAAACAAACTCCCTTATTTTTCTTAAAAAAATACTCGGCATGACATATTTAATATTCATTATTGTTAAGTTGTAAATCAAAAGCTTATGCACAAAATTATTTTCGAATTACCCAAATTATTCTAGTGAGATTTGCATTCAACGCTTTTATTATAACAAATTGAAAACAGATAAAAATTTAAATGTAAATGGATATTTATAACATAGCCTGAATATTAAGTTGACAAGGAATTAAAAAGTTTAACAAGAGAATACAAACTGTCCAAATACGATTCATGGTCTATATCTAGTTCCGAGAATCGACTCAAGCTGACAATGAATTATGTGAAACAATTTCCAAAGTAAGCTTTTTCTGTATTTGATAGACAGCATTTGAGTTACTTAACTCAATCGTGTCACCATAACTTGTTATATATTAAATTATTACGCGGACGAGATATTTTTAAATAGTTGTGACACTTTTTACGGGCATATAAATAAACCTGAAAAAGTATCCGAACTATTTTGAATATGTTACAATATCTACCATTCGCATGAAATAATATATTTTTCAATTCTAGCATATAGCATTAACCTAAATACTGTCGTAAACACATATAAATAATATTAATACAAAGTATCAAACAAGCACTTTTCTTTAATTTGAATCAAACAAAATAAAAATTAGGAATGGATAATTTTTCATGTAAATATGTATATTATTTCCTGAACAAATAAGGATTTGCTGGATGATGATGAGACCGTTACCTGAGTGGCCTGTCTCGATTTTGCCTGATGGCGATTTGAAGGTTTCATTACCACTACGAAAAGTGACAGACGTAAGATCACTTCTCGCAAAGCTACTTCCTCCGCCACCACCTCCCACGTCAACGCCACCACCACCACCATAATAACCACCTCCTCCACCTCCTGGGGCAGCATCCCAACAAGTTGTCCCATTACCTCCTCGCAAAAACGATCCAGGAGTAGAATCACAAGAAACTTGTTCATCAGAATAATGGCTGCCGGAACCACCTTGATTCTGAGTTCCTCCTCCTGCATAATGGATAAAAAATTCAAGATCTTGACCAATTCCTCCGATATAACCGCCGTAACCGCCGGGGTTCTCTTTTTTATAGTGTCCTGAACCACCCCCGGAACCAGCAGCAATAAGGACGTCTTGCATGTTGTCACCTACACTGATAAATGTTGATCCACCACCAGTACATGACTTAAATGGATAGCGCCCAATTTCATTAATTCCAGCTTGGAAAAAATTACTGGTGAGCTTTGTTGTGCTGCATTGTCCATGACTGCCAACATAAATATTGAGTTTTGTTTGACTTTTGACGTGAAAAACTGCTTCTGTGAATGCACCTAAACCTGAGCTCAGATTGTTCATGCATCCACCTTGGGCACCCCATACCTGGATGAGATATTTTGATGGACTTAGGACAATATCTTGCTTTTCACCTGTATGTTCAAATACGTAAAGGATATCTCAGAGGATTTTTTTAAATCTAATGCATAATATTGTATTTTTTTCTCTACAAACAATTCGTAACAGCGAATTAAACATATCTCATTTTAATTTTTTCACATGCTTTGATCAAACTAGAAATTTTACCGTGAATAATGTTCCACATCAATAATATGCTTTATTGCATCGCTTAAACATAAGAGCAATAATGGAAGCAGGTATCTTGTCACTTTTGTTTCACTGGGGAAGTAAATTATGGATCGAGGTGCTGGATCAGAAGAAAATGAAAACAAGATGCTCCTCGAACGTCTATCAGTCCTAGTGAAATACATGTTTAATCAATCGTTCGATATTTCCGAAATTAAAGAGGCCTTATCAGCTTTAGACTTCTCATGCATGTTTTTTCACCATTTATTAGTAACAGAAATGAAATTAATCCAATTGTGCTTTAATAAACTACATAGATACGGCATAGAATTCAATATTTTAGAACAATATTCTCGCTATCCCGAAATTTTACAGAAATTCATACAAGTTTCTTGCGAGTTCATCGCAATAAACAAAGTTTCGGACCGAAATAAGCTGATTGACGAAATAATGGAATCAATATTTTTCCTAATTCAAAATTCCAAGCAGAAACAGCTAAAATTCAAAGCGCCATCATTTGGAGATGAAGTCAAAGAAATCAATCTCAAGCAAGAAGACATACGAAACGCAATAAATTTTGAAATTTCGATTTTAAATGGCTGTTTAAAGCGATTAGTTATATCATCGCAAAAAGTAATCATACTAGCATCGACAATACTATCATCCTGTGATAATAATATCCGGATTAACTGTTTAGATATGTTATCAAATTATTGTCCTCTCAATATCACTTCATCTTTCGTAGAAATACGTGCAATTGAAAAGTTCTACTTCGAAATCATCAACAACAATCTCCAAGAATCAGAATTAGAAATTTTTGATAATTTATTGACAAAATGTTACAAAAACGCGATCAGTAGGATTCCAAACGACATCATCATATTACTTGGACGAGAAACAATCAATGTTATCACGGAAATCAATGAAAACAAATTCAAAATATTTAATGAAAATTTATTAAACACTGTTTACAAGTTTATCCAATCAGATCAATCCAGTGCACAACTAATAAGACAACTGATCATCAAGAAACTCTCAGTTTTCTATGATTCCGAAGAATATATTAATATTTGTAAAAATTTTGAAGAAAACGACACAGAATTTGGTCAAATCATCATCAAAGCCTATGAAAACCAATACAACATCATTCCTGCTCTAATGAAGATAACAAATTATATTCCAAATAATGATTTGATCAAAAAATCATCAGGAACGACATTCTACAAGATTTTATCATTATTAGATAGTTTGGAATCAAATTTGGCTTCAAAACTCAATAATTATTTAGAAACAAATCCGCCAACTTTAGAAAATTTAAGGTTAATTTCAAAACACATTCCTGCGCAAATTCTTGAGAAATACCAGGCCAAAGATCTTCCTTATATATTCAGCAACAACCCGCAGACACTGGAAAGTCTTATCCAGAAATGGAATTTGTTTTCCGATGTAAGAATAAGAGAAATTATTCCTTTTATGTCACTTTTGTTACAAAAAGCGAAAAATATTTCAGAATTTGATTTCATGAAAATCAAAGAATATTTCAACAGACTGGATGATGACTATACATTGTTTTTTATACCAGAATTTGTGGATATCTTGGATTTGGTTTATGACCAAAGTGATCTCAAAAAACGTTACAAAAATTTCATTAAAAATGTCAAAACCGCCAAAATTCCACAAATTACAAGTGACGGTTTTATGAATTCCAGAATTTTGTCACCTCACTTTTTATTACATTTAATAAAGCAGCTGATAATAAGTTTAGAGAATTCTCAGGAGAAAGATATAGTTTATACTGAAAGTTTTGCTATTTCTTGTTTGCAAAGGAACCAGACGAAATTATGGAGTATTTATGATTTAAATAAATACAAGATCAGTTATGAATTATATTTATTATACAAAGAAGAAGAAAAAATAAATTCTGAACCGAGAACATTTCGATTATTAACGAAAATGATCTTTAATTTGCAGCATAGAACTAATCTAAGTATATTAGAAGAAAGTGTTATACCTGTTTTAATTCAGAAACAAGATTTAAATGACTTAAAGTTGTTTATTAAAAAGAGTACAAGTCAAAATGACGAAATCTCTTTTACAAACAAAATTAATGATAACATGGCTGACATTTTATGTTATTTGTTTAGTAATTTCGATAAACATGAGATATCTAATTGTTTATCTTATATTACGAAAACAATTTTGCCAGGAGAAAGAGCAATGCATCTAATGGAAATGTGTTTTCCTGATTTCGCTTGTAAAATGTTGTCACTTTTGGGAGATTTTGACAAAAAAATCGTTGAAAGAACTAAATATTCTATTGACGTGATGATTAAATCTAAATTACCAAAGAGAGCGTTGAGAGATAAAGAACAGATCGAACACATTTTCATTTCAAATGAAATAAAAATGATGTACGGTTTTGGAAAATATATAACTAATGGCTCATCATCAAGAAAAATTACAGCAATTCGAAGCTTGACAGAAATTGTCAAGTCAATGTCGGATTCTTTGAATGTAGAAAGATGTAGGAATTTACTGACAATGGTTAGTTTCTTGACAACAAAAGATAAATCGTGTAGACAATATTGTTATGAATTTTTGAACACGATTTTGGATTTGTTGCATAATAATTCAATTTTGTCAGAAATTTTTGGTTTTATCGTTTCCCAGTTAATTCCAAACATTTCTCAGTCACCTAATGAAACTAAGCCGCTATTGAAGAGATTGATTATTGATGAATACAATGTTGTTCAAAACTCTTTGTATCAAATCAGTTTTGTCAAAGAAATTTCCGAAATTCCTGAAATTTCTGACAAAATCAAACAATCAATTGAATCAATTCCGAGATTAGAACTGATAGAAAAACTGATTGGCGTGTTAAATGACGCAACACCAGCTCTACAAGTTCTAATCATCAACCAGTTGATTGATTTGTTCGAAGAAAATTTGGATTTCGTCAAGAAAAACTTGACAAAGAAAGAAGATCTCTGTGTAATGATCTGGAAAATTTTGCAAAACACAAATAGAGAGGACTTACAGGCGTGTTGCGGACGGTTATTGGCGGTTATTTATCCAAGTGAAGAAATGATGTCCAATTTCCATATGAACTTGAGAACACAAAAGAACCAAAACACTAATGTTAATGTAGTTATGAAGAATATTATTACGGACTATTTAATTCCTGCTTATGAAGATGTTACTATGTTTTCTGTTTTGGATTCAATTTCATGCGCAATACAAAATTTGTTGAATGAATTAGGTTGTTCACTGCAAAACCAGAGCCAAAGGAATATGAGGTCGCCTGAGAATTGGGACATGTTTGATAAGAAGACACAAATGATCATCGACAAATACAGATCATCAAGATATTTGTCAAAAGACGTTAGTACGATAAAAACTCCCATTTTCTCTCAAAACATAAAACATGAGCAATGGTTGACTAATTTCACAATAATGAGTTTGCAGATTGACTTCGAAGAAATCATTCCTGATCAAACAGATATCAAGAAATCAACGAGAAGAACGAAAGACTCTGATTACGAAGATGAATACAAAGAAAAATCAAAAAGAAAGAATTCGTTGGAAAGTTTAAGAAAAATTTCTTTCATTTTCAAGAGAATTCCTTCTATTTGTAACTACATTTTACCTTTGATTTGCTATTGGCAGAAATACAATCCTAAGTTCCAAGAACTATTTTCTCAAGAATTTTTGTTGATCCTTGAAAATTTGAAACAAAAAACTGACAAAAATTCAAATAAAAGTGACGACACTGCCATACAATGCATGCACACTATTTTCACAGTTTTCGATAACTGTTCTAATCTCAGGATCTTCCCCAACTGTGAGACAATTCCAAACCATGTTTATTCCCTGAATTTGGCTTCACATCAACAACTTTACGAAGCCGCTTTTTTGAGCGGTTTGTTCACACATTCATTGATTCATTTAGAAGAGGCAATAAGAGAAGAAAACATCAAACCATTGTCAGACGATAGGAAACAAAACATGCTAAAGGTCTACAAGCATTTGAACGAACCAGATGGTTTAAATGCTTTGAGATTGATGTCAAGAAATGTCACTTTTTCAGACGATAACCAATTATTCAGTGAAGCTAAAATCATCAATAAAATGAACACTAATTCCGAGAGGATTCCGAAAATGACGATAAGTTATCTAACAAATCTTCTCAAATGTGGTCGATATGAAAGAGCATTGAATGATTCATTGATGTACAGAAACACAATGAGAATGGGAAGAAGATTAGACGCTGTTATCGCAAGAGCGGCAACAAGACTCTCAAAATGGGAAGTCGTGTCACTTTTGTCAAATGACACTTCACCTCACAAAATGACAAAAGACGATGACATGACAGATATTGTTGATATAGGAATTGCGAATGCGTTGAGCACTTTAGACAAAAGACAATTTGACAGATTTGAAAATATAATTGAAAAAATGAGAATTGAATTGGCAAATCCGTTACAACAGGACTCTAATTTGTCTTTCGAAAGAATGATGCCAAATTTGATAAATTATTTGTTAATCGAAGAATTGTCACTTTTTGGAAAGTCACTTTTCCAAAATTCTGTTGATCTTGAGAAAACAATGAAATTGTTTAATTCTATTGATGAAAGGTTGATTTCTATCGATGATATCGAGAGAATAACAGTAGTTAACTGCGCAATGCTCGAAATTTATTACAAAAATGATTTTTATTCTTCGCCAAAAAGTGACAAAAATACACTTTTGATGGAACAATGGGTAAAATTTGCCAGCGCATGCAGAAAGAGCGGAGAATTGCAGAGAAGTCAGTTCGCGTGTTGGAGAGCTTTCCAACTTGAAAATAATTCAATAAGTACGATAGAAACCGCCAAAATTACATGGTCACTTCACGACAAAACTCGAGCAGTTTCTCTTTTGAATCCTGATCTTCGTCAGAACAAAATTTTTAATTCTGATGAAGAAATCGGCAAATTTACCTATTTGAGAGCGAAATGGAATCAAGAATTAGATCATTTACTTCCAGATGAATTGATGAAACAATATCAAGATGCATCTAAACTTATGAAGAAAAATGGAAAGTGTTATTATCAAATGGCAAATTTAGCTGATGAACGATTAGAAAGTTATTTAGAGTATTTCGAGAAAATCCATTATGGAACATCGATGCGAAGGAATGCAGTTTCTAAATTTGTTGGCACTAATTCAAATCCAGGTTCTATTTTGGAATTCCTGCAAAAGAATACCGTTTTAGCATTAGAATGCTACATGAAATGTCTTTCTAATTCACCAGAGTTGGCTCCTGAAGTCGTTCCTCGTGTCTTACAAATTTATTTCGATCAAGGCAAATTTTACACATTGACTGAAAAAGACAATTTACAAGATTTGCCATACGCTCTTTCAAAGATTTCTCCTTCTAAATTCGACATAATATTGTCAGGAATGACAGAAGTATTCCAGAAATGCCTTGATAACGTGAACAACTCAGTTTGGCTGAACTCAATCACACAGTTAATTTCACGTGTTGAACAACCAACGAAATTAGAAGACAAATTATACAATTTGATTCGAAAATCTCTTTACGATTTCCCAGAACAAACATTCTGGCACTTGATGTCAGTTAAACATTCATTGATTGAAAGCCGCAAGAAGTGTTACAACGCTATCTTCGAACAAATTGATAAAAACTTTCCAAACGACGATGGCAAAATTGACAAAATCCATTCCTTGAGTCGAAAATTCGAGACAATCACAGATTTACTTGAACAATTGGCATCGAAAAGCATGGGTTCAAGTAGGGCAAAAACAGGAGAAGCAAAATCTCTTTGTCCAGACTTATACAACGCGTTTAACAACTCAAACATTTTGATGCCATTGTCAAGCACTTTAACAGTCAAATCATCACAAAACAATCTTAGTTTTGAACCTAAAATTTCACAGATGCAGCAAGAAATTGTTATTTTCTCAAGTTTGCAACGTCCTAAAAAAATTTCACTTCTAGGAAGCGATGGCAACAATTACCACTATCTGTGCAAGAATGATGATGATCTTAGGAAAGACATGCGAATGATGGAATTCGCAACATTCATTAATCGAACATTTTCTAATGATCGACGATGCCGAGACCGAAATTTGTCAATTGTCACATTTGCAGTTATTTGTTTGAATGAAAAATGTGGCATCATTGAATGGGCTGAGAACACATGTTCATTCAAATCCATCCTTGACAAATACATGAAGCAAGGTAAGATTGGATTGAGTCGATCCCAACTTTTAGAACTTTGTTGTGACAAAGAACAACAAAAAGAAATTTCAGAAGCAACTAAAAACAAAAAACGACAGAATTTTGTCAACAAAATTTTGCCATTTTATCCACCACAGCTTCACAAATGGTTCATGCACCGATTCTGCCAGCCACAGCGATGGTTCCAGAGCAGACTGCATTACGCACGATCAACGGCAGTTTGGTCTATGGTTGGATACATTGTTGGACTCGGTGATCGACATACAGAGAATATTTTGTTGAATGAAAACACAGGTGGAGCTGTTCATGTTGATTTCTGCTGCATGTTCGATAAAGCGAAAACTCTTCCAGTTCCAGAGTGTGTTCCATTCAGATTGACACAGAATGTTGTTGATGGCTTCGGAGTTTTGGGCACAGATGGCCCATTCACAGAATCATCAGTTTGTTGTTTGACAGCAATGCGAGACAAGAAACAGAAATTGGTTTCAGTTCTTCAGACATTCATTCATGACCCTCTTCTTGAGTGGAAACAGAAAGCTATGTCAGATAAGAGCAGAGAGTTCAAACAAAACAAAGACTCAAATGAAGCCAAAATGGTTTTGTACGAAGTTGACTGTCGATTGAGTGGTTTGACAGAAGATAAAAGTAGACCACAAAGTCCAGAATGCGTTGTCAAGAACTTAATCACTCAGGCAACAGATAATGATAATTTGGCCTTGATGTACATTGGCTGGACGCCCTATATTTAGATATACATATATTTTTTGTTATTAAATATAAAATTTTATAGAATTTACTATTACATTTTTTTATCCCCTTCATTGATGTTCCACCAATTAGAATAGATAATAATATATTATGTTCAAAAACACTTTTGACAATTATACTGAAATATAAAACATAATCTATTATCATGATTGAAATGCCACTTCTCCAGACTATTATTGAACTAAAATTAATTGCTAAGGGTGTACTTATGCTCATCAGTTTTTCATCTAAATTTCTGACAGCTGGTATAAAGTTTCATTGAAACTTAACCTTAATTTGTTTGAAAATATTCAATTTTTTATAAATATATTTTCAATTTTCTTCTTATGGTTATATAAATGAATTTCCAATGGGATGAATCAACTAAAACTCTCACAGTTATATCAAATGACGATAAAATTGAAGGCGTTCAAACAGAACATAAGACTGATGCAATTCACATCGTTATTCAAGGACAAGTTAAAATATTGGGTGATCAAATTTTTACTTCATATTCTAATGTTGAAACAATCGAATTGCCAGATTCTATTGAAGAGTTCGGGAATAATATTATCACATTTTCAAAAATTAAAGAAATTCACATCCCATTAAATCTTAAAATATATCATAGCAATGGACCACTCGAATATAACTTTAAACTCGAAAAATATACAATTGATGAGAACCAACAAAATTTTAGAGTTGTTGATGGAGTTTTATATTCAAAAGATATGACCAAATTAGTCAACATACCTCCAAATTACCAATCAAAGATATTTACAATCCCTTTTGGTGTAACTTCTATAATTTTATCATCCGTTGACTACTTGCAAAATATTGAACAGTTAATTGTTCCTCAAACAGTAAATTATATATATGGCATGCTATTTCGCCCTAAAGTAATCAAAAAACTAATCATTTATAGGAATGAGAGCATGAACGATCAAATTACTTGGGTGAACACATATGATTTCAATTTTAGAGATTCACCCATTCAACAGAAAGATATTATTTATACAAATTCAAGTTTGTATGCAACATATTATAAAGAAAATAAAACAGTTGTCATATCTTCAACTGATGAGAATAATAGATACGAATATCAAGATGAAATACTTAGTTTGGATACAAGTATAACTACAATCATATATCCTAAATCTGTATCAAAGATATCATCTTCTTCTTTCAAAACTCTTAGTCACAATCAATTCACTGTTGAAGACTTCACAAACTACACTACAATTTCTATCTATAACTTCAAATACACATTCCTGTGTCATCAATATTTCTCTTTACCCTCTTTACTTATTTCTTCCTTATTTTTAATGTTGTTATAGTAAAGAATCCTTTTGAATATCTAATAATCAAATCCTCTTTATTTCTTTTTTAAACAGATATTCGTTCATTTTATATCATAATGATTACTATCACTATTGCGAATTACTACTTTATTCAATGTGAATTGATATTCATTATCATTTTATCTTTGAGCATTCCATATACGTACGCCTCTCGAAAAGAATTAGAAACTAGAAAATATACAATAGTTCAAGTTAATAATGAAATTATTTGATATATCATACCTCTTAGTCACAATAATTCACTGTTGAAGATTTCACAAACTATATACAATTTCTATTCATAACTTCAAATATATACAGCCCTGTGTTATCAATGTTTCTCCATACATAAATTTAAGGATCTCGTTTTGAGGAATAACGGCTAAGATCTACTAAATCTAAAAAATCCCTATTGAACGATAGGATGAGTTTCTTATAAAATATCGTATCCGATTTTTTTTTGTCTCATATGATGCATTAATTGACGGCTATGCTTGGGATCCGTCAATAAAAACCCTCACAATCACCACAAATGCAACATCGTTTGGAGGTTCACAATCAGAGAAAAAACAAGAAGCAGTTCATATTAAAATTCAAGGTCCGGTTAAAAAGATAGGAAATGATGTATTTACTGATTATGTTAAACTTGAAACAATCGAATTTCTTAATTCAGTTGAAGAATTTGGTAATAATATTATCACAAATTCACAAATTAGAGAATTTCACATTCCGTATCATCTTAGAGTATTCCATACCAGTGAACCTCTCGAACATAATTATAAACTAGAAAAATATACAATAGATGAAAATCAACCGAATTATCAAGTACTAGATGGCATTTTATACTCAAAAGATATGACGAAATTGGTAAATGTGCCACCAAATTACCAGTCTAAAATATTAACGATACCATATGGAGTAACTTCAATACTTCCAGGTGCAACAGGTTGTTTGCAAAATGTTGAGCATTTATATATACCGCAGACAGTCCAATCTATTACAGGTTTGTTATATGAGCCAAAATCAATTAAATCTATAACAATTTATCGAAAAGAAAATTCAACAAAAGAAATAGCATGGTATGATCCATATGGATTCGGATTTTATAATTCAGCAGTTCAGAAAAAAGATATTATTTATACGAATTCAAGTTTATATGCAACATATTACAAAGAAAATAGAACAGTTGTTATATCATCAACTAATGAGAGTAATAGATACGAATATCAAGATGAAATACTTAAAATGAACACGAACATAAACACGATCATATATCCTAAATCTGTATCAAAGATATCATCATCTTCTTTCAAACCTCTTAGTCACAATCAATTCACAGTTGATGATTTCACAAACTACACTACAATTTCTATCTATAACTTCAAATACACATTCCTGTGTCATCAATATTTCTCTTTACACGCTCCTTTATTAATTTTTTATGTTATTTTATAATCACATCAAAAAAAATGATTATAAAAGCCTGTGTTTTGAGTGAGTAATCATCGATTTTTCTGATATCATTGAGAAGTGCTATTCCAATGAGAGAAATTATAGTAATATTGAATTGAAATAAAAATTGATTCTTTTGCAATTTTCCATTAATCATTGTGATTCAATAGGGGAAAAAATTTGCATAAAAAATTAACAATCAAATTTTCAATTGCCGCGGATTCATTTTGAATTATTCAGCATTGAATTATTAGGGCTCTATTTCGATTCAATCTAACTTACATGCTATTTTAGAACAAAAGTAGAAATATATAGTTATCATTCAAATTTTTTCAATTTTTTCCTAATTTAACTCATACATTTTTGAACGGGATATGATTGGGATGAGCCAACCAAAACACTTACAATCACTACTAGTGCAAATTCTATTGATAGTAACCAATGGGAGCATAAAATTGATGCGGTTCATATTAAAATCCATGGTCCGGTTAAAAAAATTGAAGATTCAGCATTTATGGATTATTACAAATTGGAAACAATTGAATTTCCTGATTCAGTTGAAGAGTTTGGTAATAACATCATCTCAAAATCTCAAATTACTGAAATTCACATTCCATTTCACCTTACTACGTTTCATCACAGAGGACCTCTTGAGTTTAATAATAAATTAGAAAAATACTCAATTGATGAGAATCAAGCGAATTTTCAAGTAAAAGACGGAATTTTGTACTCAAAAGATATGACGAAATTGGTAAATGTGCCACCAAATTACCAGTCTAAAATATTAACGATACCATATGGAGTAACTTCAATACTTCCAGGTGCAACAGGTTGTTTGCAAAATGTTGAGCATTTATATATACCGCAGACAGTCCAATCTATTACAGGTTTGTTATATGAGCCAAAATCAATTAAATCTATAACAATTTATCGAAAAGAAAATTCAACAAAAGAAATAGCATGGTATGATCCATATGGATTCGGATTTTATAATTCAGCAGTTCAGAAAAAAGATATTATTTATACGAATTCAAGTTTATATGCAACATATTACAAAGAAAATAGAACAGTTGTTATATCATCAACTAATGAGAGTAATAGATACGAATATCAAGATGAAATACTTAAAATGAACACGAACATAAACACGATCATATATCCTAAATCTGTATCAAAGATATCATCATCTTCTTTCAAACCTCTTAGTCACAATCAATTCACAGTTGATGATTTCACAAACTACACTACAATTTCTATCTATAACTTCAAATACACAGCCTTGTGCTATCAATGTTTCTCTTTACCATCTTCAATTTCTTCTTCCTTATTTTTAATGTTGACATAGTAAAGAATCCTTTTGCATTTCTAATAATCAAATCCTCTTTATAACTTTTATAGATATAGTAGGATAAAAAGCAGATTATTATCTAATATTATCTAATATTCCATAAATTATTTTATTTTTTTGATGAAAATATCTTTATTTTATATCATAATGATAATACTATCGCTATTGCGCATTTCTGTTTTTCTTCAGTGTGAATTGATACTTACAACCATTCCAATGATATTCATTTATTGAATTAATACTAGCATCAAAATTATTTGAAAATCATTTATGAGTGTGTTGATTTCTTATGCAATCATTACGCATCCTAAAAAATATAATATTCAATTTTTGGTTTTTATATGGGGTGCAAAAAAAGCGCAAAACTGATTATTTAAAATTCGAATTTGACGATTATTTGGAGTTGACGATTATAAATAATCAAATCCATTAATAAAGTATAGCAACAATTGCGTATGCAAAATATATAAAAGAAAAAATAAATACATCTTTTGTCCACTTTACGCCGATAGATTTTTAAACGTCCAAATAATACGCAGTTTGAATGTAAAATAATCGGTTTTGTACTTTTAGGAAAACCCTAATTTTTTTTTTAATCTTATAAGATGCATTAGCATACAAGTATGATTGGGATCTGTCATCGAAAACTCTCACTATTACCACAAGTTCAGCATCATTTGAAGAACCTCAATCAGAGAAAAAACAAGAAGCAGTTCATATTAAAATTCAAGGTCCGGTTAAAAAGATAGGCGAATTTGCATTACTGATTATGTTAAACTTGAAACAATCGAATTTCCTGATTCAGTTGAAGAATTTGGTAATAATATTATCACAAGTTCACAAATTAGAGAATTTCACATTCCGTATCATCTTAGAGTATTCCATACCAGTGAACCTCTCGAACATAATTATAAACTAGAAAAATATACAATAGATGAAAATCAACCGAATTATCAAGTACTAGATGGCATTTTATTCTCTAAAGATATGATAAAATTAGTATGTGTTCCTCCAAATTATCAGTCTAAAATACTAACAGTTCCTTTTGGAGTAACTTCAATACTTTCCGGTTCTACAGAATGCTTACAAATAGTTGAGCATTTATATATACCTCAAACAGTCCAATCTATTACGGCGCTTTTATTTCGACCTAAAGCTATCAAATCTGTAACAATATATCGAAAGCAAAATCCATATGAAGAAATTGCTTGGTCTGACCCATATGGATTCGGATTTTATAATTCAGCAGTTCAGAAAAAAGATATTATTTATACGAATTCAAGTTTATATGCAACATATTATAAAGAAAATAGAACAGTTGTTATATCATCAACTAATGAGAGTAATAGATACGAATATCAAGATGAAATACTTAAAATGAACACGAACATAAACACGATCATATATCCTAAATCTGTATCAAAGATATCATCATCTTCTTTCAAACCTCTTAGTCACAATCAATTCACAGTTGATGATTTCACAAACTACACTACAATTTCTATCTATAACTTCAAATACACATTCCTGTGTCATCAATATTTCTCTTTACACGCTCCTTTATTAATTTTTTATGTTATTTTATAATCACATCAAAAAAAAATGATTATAAAAGCCTGTGTTTTGAGTGAGTAATCATTGATTTTTCTGATATCATTGAGAAGTGCTATTCCAATGAGAGAAATTATAGTAATATTGAATTGAAATAAAAATTGATTCTTTTGCAATTTTCCATTAATCATTGTGATTCAATAGGGGAAAAATTTGCATAAAAAATTAACAATCAAATTTTCAATTGCCGCGGATTCATTTTGAATTATTCAGCATTGAATTATTAGGGCTCTATTTCGATTCAATCTAACTTACATGCTATTTTAGAACAAAAGTAGAAATATATAGTTATCATTCAAATTTTTTCAATTTTTTCCTAATTTAACTCATACATTTTTGAACGGGATATGATTGGGATGAGCCAACCAAAACACTTACAATCACTACTAGTGCAAATTCTATTGATAGTAACCAATGGGAGCATAAAATTGATGCGGTTCATATTAAAATCCATGGTCCGGTTAAAAAAATTGAAGATTCAGCATTTATGGATTATTACAAATTGGAAACAATTGAATTTCCTGATTCAGTTGAAGAGTTTGGTAATAACATCATCTCAAAATCTCAAATTACTGAAATTCACATTCCATTTCACCTTACTACGTTTCATCACAGAGGACCTCTTGAGTTTAATAATAAATTAGAAAAATACTCAATTGATGAGAATCAAGCGAATTTTCAAGTAAAAGACGGAATTTTGTACTCAAAAGATATGACGAAATTGGTAAATGTGCCACCAAATTACCAGTCTAAAATATTAACGATACCATATGGAGTAACTTCAATACTTCCAGGTGCAACAGGTTGTTTGCAAAATGTTGAGCATTTATATATACCGCAGACAGTCCAATCTATTACAGGTTTGTTATATGAGCCAAAATCAATTAAATCTATAACAATTTATCGAAAAGAAAATTCAACAAAAGAAATAGCATGGTATGATCCATATGGATTCGGATTTTATAATTCAGCAGTTCAGAAAAAAGATATTATTTATACGAATTCAAGTTTATATGCAACATATTACAAAGAAAATAGAACAGTTGTTATATCATCAACTAATGAGAGTAATAGATACGAATATCAAGATGAAATACTTAAAATGAACACGAACATAAACACGATCATATATCCTAAATCTGTATCAAAGATATCATCATCTTCTTTCAAACCTCTTAGTCACAATCAATTCACAGTTGATGATTTCACAAACTACACTACAATTTCTATCTATAACTTCAAATACACAGCCTTGTGCTATCAATGTTTCTCTTTACCATCTTCAATTTCTTCTTCCTTATTTTTAATGTTGACATAGTAAAGAATCCTTTTGCATTTCTAATAATCAAATCCTCTTTATAACTTTTATAGATATAGTAGGATAAAAAGCAGATTATTATCTAATATTATCTAATATTCCATAAATTATTTTATTTTTTTGATGAAAATATCTTTATTTTATATCATAATGATAATACTATCGCTATTGCGCATTTCTGTTTTTCTTCAGTGTGAATTGATACTTACAACCATTCCAATGATATTCATTTATTGAATTAATACTAGCATCAAAATTATTTGAAAATCATTTATGAGTGTGTTGATTTCTTATGCAATCATTACGCATCCTAAAAAATATAATATTCAATTTTTGGTTTTTATATGGGGTGCAAAAAAAAGCGCAAAACTGATTATTTAAAATTCGAATTTGACGATTATTTGGAGTTGACGATTATAAATAATCAAATCCATTAATAAAGTATAGCAACAATTGCGTATGCAAAATATATAAAAGAAAAAATAAATACATCTTTTGTCCACTTTACGCCGATAGATTTTTAAACGTCCAAATAATACGCAGTTTGAATGTAAAATAATCGGTTTTGTACTTTTAGGAAAACCCTAATTTTTTTTTTAATCTTATAAGATGCATTAGCATACAAGTATGATTGGGATCTGTCATCGAAAACTCTCACTATTACCACAAGTTCAGCATCATTTGAAGAACCTCAATCAGAGAAAAAACAAGAAGCAGTTCATATTAAAATTCAAGGTCCGGTTAAAAAGATAGGCGAATTTGCATTTACTGATTATGTTAAACTTGAAAAATCGAATTTCCTGATTCAGTTGAAGAATTTGGTAATAATATTATCACAAGTTCACAAATTAGAGAATTTCACATTCCGTATCATCTTAGAGTATTCCATACCAGTGAACCTCTCGAACATAATTATAAACTAGAAAAATATACAATAGATGAAAATCAACCGAATTATCAAGTACTAGATGGCATTTTATTCTCTAAAGATATGATAAAATTAGTATGTGTTCCTCCAAATTATCAGTCTAAAATACTAACAGTTCCTTTTGGAGTAACTTCAATACTTTCCGGTTCTACAGAATGCTTACAAATAGTTGAGCATTTATATATACCTCAAACAGTCCAATCTATTACGGCGCTTTTATTTCGACCTAAAGCTATCAAATCTGTAACAATATATCGAAAGCAAAATCCATATGAAGAAATTGCTTGGTCTGACCCATATGGATTCGGATTTTATAATTCAGCAGTTCAGAAAAAAGATATTATTTATACGAATTCAAGTTTATATGCAACATATTATAAAGAAAATAGAACAGTTGTTATATCATCAACTAATGAGAGTAATAGATACGAATATCAAGATGAAATACTTAAAATGAACACGAACATAAACACGATCATATATCCTAAATCTGATCAAAGATATCATCATCTTCTTTCAAACCTCTTAGTCACAATCAATTCACAGTTGATGATTTCACAAACTACACTACAATTTCTATCTATAACTTCAAATACACATTCCTGTGTCATCAATATTTCTCTTTACACGCTCCTTTATTAATTTTTTATGTTATTTTATAATCACATCAAAAAAAAATGATTATAAAAGCCTGTGTTTTGAGTGAGTAATCATTGATTTTTCTGATATCATTGAGAAGTGCTATTCCAATGAGAGAAATTATAGTAATATTGAATTGAAATAAAAATTGATTCTTTTGCAATTTTCCATTAATCATTGTGATTCAATAGGGGAAAAATTTGCATAAAAAATTAACAATCAAATTTTCAATTGCCGCGGATTCATTTTGAATTATTCAGCATTGAATTATTAGGGCTCTATTTCGATTCAATCTAACTTACATGCTATTTTAGAACAAAAGTAGAAATATATAGTTATCATTCAAATTTTTTCAATTTTTTCCTAATTTAACTCATACATTTTTGAACGGGATATGATTGGGATGAGCCAACCAAAACACTTACAATCACTACTAGTGCAAATTCTATTGATAGTAACCAATGGGAGCATAAAATTGATGCGGTTCATATTAAAATCCATGGTCCGGTTAAAAAAATTGAAGATTCAGCATTTATGGATTATTACAAATTGGAAACAATTGAATTTCCTGATTCAGTTGAAGAGTTTGGTAATAACATCATCTCAAAATCTCAAATTACTGAAATTCACATTCCATTTCACCTTACTACGTTTCATCACAGAGGACCTCTTGAGTTTAATAATAAATTAGAAAAATACTCAATTGATGAGAATCAAGCGAATTTTCAAGTAAAAGACGGAATTTTGTACTCAAAAGATATGACGAAATTGGTAAATGTGCCACCAAATTACCAGTCTAAAATATTAACGATACCATATGGAGTAACTTCAATACTTCCAGGTGCAACAGGTTGTTTGCAAAATGTTGAGCATTTATATATACCGCAGACAGTCCAATCTATTACAGGTTTGTTATATGAGCCAAAATCAATTAAATCTATAACAATTTATCGAAAAGAAAATTCAACAAAAGAAATAGCATGGTATGATCCATATGGATTCGGATTTTATAATTCAGCAGTTCAGAAAAAAGATATTATTTATACGAATTCAAGTTTATATGCAACATATTACAAAGAAAATAGAACAGTTGTTATATCATCAACTAATGAGAGTAATAGATACGAATATCAAGATGAAATACTTAAAATGAACACGAACATAAACACGATCATATATCCTAAATCTGTATCAAAGATATCATCATCTTCTTTCAAACCTCTTAGTCACAATCAATTCACAGTTGATGATTTCACAAACTACACTACAATTTCTATCTATAACTTCAAATACACAGCCTTGTGCTATCAATGTTTCTCTTTACCATCTTCAATTTCTTCTTCCTTATTTTTAATGTTGACATAGTAAAGAATCCTTTTGCATTTCTAATAATCAAATCCTCTTTATAACTTTTATAGATATAGTAGGATAAAAAGCAGATTATTATCTAATATTATCTAATATTCCATAAATTATTTTATTTTTTTGATGAAAATATCTTTATTTTATATCATAATGATAATACTATCGCTATTGCGCATTTCTGTTTTTCTTCAGTGTGAATTGATACTTACAACCATTCCAATGATATTCATTTATTGAATTAATACTAGCATCAAAATTATTTGAAAATCATTTATGAGTGTGTTGATTTCTTATGCAATCATTACGCATCCTAAAAAATATAATATTCAATTTTTGGTTTTTATATGGGGTGCAAAAAAAGCGCAAAACTGATTATTTAAAATTCGAATTTGACGATTATTTGGAGTTGACGATTATAAATAATCAAATCCATTAATAAAGTATAGCAACAATTGCGTATGCAAAATATATAAAAGAAAAAATAAATACATCTTTTGTCCACTTTACGCCGATAGATTTTTAAACGTCCAAATAATACGCAGTTTGAATGTAAAATAATCGGTTTTGTACTTTTAGGAAAACCCTAATTTTTTTTAATCTTATAAGATGCATTAGCATACAAGTATGATTGGGATCTGTCATCGAAAACTCTCACTATTACCACAAGTTCAGCATCATTTGAAGAACCTCAATCAGAGAAAAAACAAGAAGCAGTTCATATTAAAATTCAAGGTCCGGTTAAAAAGATAGGCGAATTTGCATTTACTGATTATGTTAAACTTGAAACAATCGAATTTCCTGATTCAGTTGAAGAATTTGGTAATAATATTATCACAAGTTCACAAATTAGAGAATTTCACATTCCGTATCATCTTAGAGTATTCCATACCAGTGAACCTCTCGAACATAATTATAAACTAGAAAAATATACAATAGATGAAAATCAACCGAATTATCAAGTACTAGATGGCATTTTATTCTCTAAAGATATGATAAAATTAGTATGTGTTCCTCCAAATTATCAGTCTAAAATACTAACAGTTCCTTTTGGAGTAACTTCAATACTTTCCGGTTCTACAGAATGCTTACAAATAGTTGAGCATTTATATATACCTCAAACAGTCCAATCTATTACGGCGCTTTTATTTCGACCTAAAGCTATCAAATCTGTAACAATATATCGAAAGCAAAATCCATATGAAGAAATTGCTTGGTCTGACCCATATGGATTCGGATTTTATAATTCAGCAGTTCAGAAAAAAGATATTATTTATACGAATTCAAGTTTATATGCAACATATTATAAAGAAAATAGAACAGTTGTTATATCATCAACTAATGAGAGTAATAGATACGAATATCAAGATGAAATACTTAAAATGAACACGAACATAAACACGATCATATATCCTAAATCTGGATCAAAGATATCATCATCTTCTTTCAAACCTCTTAGTCACAATCAATTCACAGTTGATGATTTCACAAACTACACTACAATTTCTATCTATAACTTCAAATACACATTCCTGTGTCATCAATATTTCTCTTTACACGCTCCTTTATTAATTTTTTATGTTATTTTATAATCACATCAAAAAAAAATGATTATAAAAGCCTGTGTTTTGAGTGAGTAATCATTGATTTTTCTGATATCATTGAGAAGTGCTATTCCAATGAGAGAAATTATAGTAATATTGAATTGAAATAAAAATTGATTCTTTTGCAATTTTCCATTAATCATTGTGATTCAATAGGGGAAAAATTTGCATAAAAAATTAACAATCAAATTTTCAATTGCCGCGGATTCATTTTGAATTATTCAGCATTGAATTATTAGGGCTCTATTTCGATTCAATCTAACTTACATGCTATTTTAGAACAAAAGTAGAAATATATAGTTATCATTCAAATTTTTTCAATTTTTTCCTAATTTAACTCATACATTTTTGAACGGGATATGATTGGGATGAGCCAACCAAAACACTTACAATCACTACTAGTGCAAATTCTATTGATAGTAACCAATGGGAGCATAAAATTGATGCGGTTCATATTAAAATCCATGGTCCGGTTAAAAAAATTGAAGATTCAGCATTTATGGATTATTACAAATTGGAAACAATTGAATTTCCTGATTCAGTTGAAGAGTTTGGTAATAACATCATCTCAAAATCTCAAATTACTGAAATTCACATTCCATTTCACCTTACTACGTTTCATCACAGAGGACCTCTTGAGTTTAATAATAAATTAGAAAAATACTCAATTGATGAGAATCAAGCGAATTTTCAAGTAAAAGACGGAATTTTGTACTCAAAAGATATGACGAAATTGGTAAATGTGCCACCAAATTACCAGTCTAAAATATTAACGATACCATATGGAGTAACTTCAATACTTCCAGGTGCAACAGGTTGTTTGCAAAATGTTGAGCATTTATATATACCGCAGACAGTCCAATCTATTACAGGTTTGTTATATGAGCCAAAATCAATTAAATCTATAACAATTTATCGAAAAGAAAATTCAACAAAAGAAATAGCATGGTATGATCCATATGGATTCGGATTTTATAATTCAGCAGTTCAGAAAAAAGATATTATTTATACGAATTCAAGTTTATATGCAACATATTACAAAGAAAATAGAACAGTTGTTATATCATCAACTAATGAGAGTAATAGATACGAATATCAAGATGAAATACTTAAAATGAACACGAACATAAACACGATCATATATCCTAAATCTGGATCAAAGATATCATCATCTTCTTTCAAACCTCTTAGTCACAATCAATTCACAGTTGATGATTTCACAAACTACACTACAATTTCTATCTATAACTTCAAATACACATTCCTGTGTCATCAATATTTCTCTTTACACGCTCCTTTATTAATTTTTTATGTTATTTTATAATCACATCAAAAAAAAATGATTATAAAAGCCTGTGTTTTGAGTGAGTAATCATCGATTTTTCTGATATCATTGAGAAGTGCTATTCCAATGAGAGAAATTATAGTAATATTGAATTGAAATAAAAATTGATTCTTTTGCAATTTTCCATTAATCATTGTGATTCAATAGGGGAAAAATTTGCATAAAAAATTAACAATCAAATTTTCAATTGCCGCGGATTCATTTTGAATTATTCAGCATTGAATTATTAGGGCTCTATTTCGATTCAATCTAACTTACATGCTATTTTAGAACAAAAGTAGAAATATATAGTTATCATTCAAATTTTTTCAATTTTTTCCTAATTTAACTCATACATTTTTGAACGGGATATGATTGGGATGAGCCAACCAAAACACTTACAATCACTACTAGTGCAAATTCTATTGATAGTAACCAATGGGAGCATAAAATTGATGCGGTTCATATTAAAATCCATGGTCCGGTTAAAAAAATTGAAGATTCAGCATTTATGGATTATTACAAATTGGAAACAATTGAATTTCCTGATTCAGTTGAAGAGTTTGGTAATAACATCATCTCAAAATCTCAAATTACTGAAATTCACATTCCATTTCACCTTACTACGTTTCATCACAGAGGACCTCTTGAGTTTAATAATAAATTAGAAAAATACTCAATTGATGAGAATCAAGCGAATTTTCAAGTAAAAGACGGAATTTTGTACTCAAAAGATATGACGAAATTGGTAAATGTGCCACCAAATTACCAGTCTAAAATATTAACGATACCATATGGAGTAACTTCAATACTTCCAGGTGCAACAGGTTGTTTGCAAAATGTTGAGCATTTATATATACCGCAGACAGTCCAATCTATTACAGGTTTGTTATATGAGCCAAAATCAATTAAATCTATAACAATTTATCGAAAAGAAAATTCAACAAAAGAAATAGCATGGTATGATCCATATGGATTCGGATTTTATAATTCAGCAGTTCAGAAAAAAAGATATTATTTATACGAATTCAAGTTTATATGCAACATATTACAAAGAAAATAGAACAGTTGTTATATCATCAACTAATGAGAGTAATAGATACGAATATCAAGATGAAATACTTAAAATGAACACGAACATAAACACGATCATATATCCTAAATCTGGATCAAAGATATCATCATCTTCTTTCAAACCTCTTAGTCACAATCAATTCACAGTTGATGATTTCAAAACTACACTACAATTTCTATCTATAACTTCAAATACACATTCCTGTGTCATCAATATTTCTCTTTACACGCTCCTTTATTAATTTTTTATGTTATTTTATAATCACATCAAAAAAAAATGATTATAAAAGCCTGTGTTTTGAGTGAGTAATCATTGATTTTTCTGATATCATTGAGAAGTGCTATTCCAATGAGAGAAATTATAGTAATATTGAATTGAAATAAAAATTGATTCTTTTGCAATTTTCCATTAATCATTGTGATTCAATAGGGGAAAAATTTGCATAAAAAATTAACAATCAAATTTTCAATTGCCGCGGATTCATTTTGAATTATTCAGCATTGAATTATTAGGGCTCTATTTCGATTCAATCTAACTTACATGCTATTTTAGAACAAAAGTAGAAATATATAGTATATCATTCAAATTTTTTTCAATTTTTTCCTAATTTAACTCATACATTTTTGAACGGGATATGATTGGGATGAGCCAACCCAAAACACTTACAATCACTACTAGTGCAAATTCTATTGATAGTAACCAATGGGAGCATAAAATTGATGCGGTTCATATTAAAATCCATGGTCCGGTTAAAAAAAATTGAAGATTCAGCATTTATGGATTATTACAAATTGGGAAACAATTGAATTTCCTGATTCAGTTGAAGAGTTTGGTAATAACATCATCTCAAAATCTCAAATTACTGAAATTCACATTCCATTTCACCTTACTACGTTTCATCACAGAGGACCTCTTGAGTTTAATAATAAATTAGAAAAATACTCAATTGATGAGAATCAAGCGAATTTTCAAGTAAAAGACGGAATTTTGTACTCAAAAG